AACCACACTGATCACACACAACCACATAGATCACACACAACCACATAGATCACACACAACCACACTGATCACACACAACCACACTGATCACACACAACCACACTGATCACACACAACCACATAGATCACACACAACCACATAGATCACACACAACCACACTGATCACACACAACCACACTGATCACACACAACCACATAGATCACACACAACCACATAGATCACACACAACCACACTGATCACACACAACCACATAGATCACACACAACCACACTGATCACACACAACCACACTGATCACACACAACCACACTGATCACACACAACCACATAGATCACACACAACCACATAGATCACACACAACCACACTGATCACACACAACCACACTGATCACACACAACCACACTGATCACACACAACCACACTGATCACACACAACCACACTGATCACACACAACCACACTGATCACACACAACCACACTGATCACACACAACCACACTGATCACACACAACCACATAGATCACACACAACCACATAGATCACACACAACCACATAGATCACACACAACCACATAGATCACACACAACCACACTGATCACACACAACCACACTGATCACACACAACCACACTGATCACACACAACCACACTGATCACACACAACCACATAGATCACACACAACCACATAGATCACACACAACCACATAGATCACACACAACCACACTGATCACACACAACCACATAGATCACACACAACCACATAGATCACACACAACCACACTGATCACACACAACCACATAGATCACACACAACCACACTGATCACACACAACCACACTGATCACACACAACCACACTGATCACACACAACCACATAGATCACACACAACCACATAGATCACACACAACCACACTGATCACACACAACCACACTGATCACACACAACCACACTGATCACACACAACCACACTGATCACACACAACCACACTGATCACACACAACCACACTGATCACACACAACCACACTGATCACACACAACCACACTGATCACACACAACCACATAGATCACACACAACCACATAGATCACACACAACCACATAGATCACACACAACCACATAGATGACACACAACCACACTGATCACACACAACCACACTGATCACACACAACCACATAGATCACACACAACCACATAGATCACACACAACCACACTGATCACACACAACCACACTGATCACACACAACCACACTGATCACACACAACCACACTGATCACACACAACCACACTGATCACACACAACCACACTGATCACACACAACCACACTGATCACACACAACCACATAGATCACACACAACCACATAGATCACACACAACCACATAGATCACACACAACCACATAGATGACACACAACCACATAGATGACACACAACCACACTGATCACACACAACCACACTGATCACACACAACCACATAGATCACACACAACCACATAGATCACACACAACCACATAGATGACACACAACCACATAGATGACACACAACCACACTGATCACACACAACCACACTGATCACACACAACCACATAGATCACACACAACCACATAGATGACACACAACCACATAGATGACACACAAGACCCCATACAACTAACCAGAGACCCAATGAGCACACACAGAAACCGCTAGTAGATCGATTCCTCCCCCTCTCCTACACCCCACATCGCTGCCTTATTTTATTTATCTTTCCACCAGCGGCTCTGGGAATCGATATGTAAGGGTGGATGAGGATAGGCATCAGATGAGGCGGGAATAGGCATGAGAGAAGGCGGGGATTGGCATAAAAGGAGGCGGGGATAGGCATCAAAGGAGGCGCGGATTGGCATCAGAGGAGTCGGGGATTGGCATGAGAGGAGGCGGAGATAGGCATGAGAGAAGGCGGGGATTGGCATAAAAGAAAGCGGGGATAGGCATCAAAGGAGGCGCGGATTGGCATCAGAGGAGGCGGGGATTGGCATCGGAGGAGGCGGGGATAGGCATGAGAGGAGGCGGGGATAGGCATATGAGGAGGCGGGGATAGGCATGAGGAGGCGGGGATAGGCATGAGAGGAGGCGGAGATAGGCATGAAAGGAGGAGGGGATAGGCATGAGAGGAGGCGGGGATTGGCATCAGAGGAGGCCGGGATAGGCATGAAAGAAAGCGGGGATAGGCATGAAAGGAGGCGCGGATATTGGCAAGAAAAGAGGCGGGGATAGGCATGAAAGGAGGCGGGGATAGGCATGAAAGGAGGCGGGGATAAGCATGAGAGGAGGCGGGGATTGGCATGAGAGGAGGCGGAGATAGGCATGAGAGAAGGCGGGGATTGGCATCAAAGGAGGCGGGGATAGGCATCAGAGGAGGCGGGGATTGGCATGAGAGGAGGCAGGGTTAGGCATCAAAGGAGGCGGGGATTGGCATGAGAGGAGGCGGGGATTGGCATGAGAGGAGGCGGAGATAGGCATGAGAGGAGGCGGAGATAGGCATGAGAGAAGGCGGGGATTGGCATAAAAGGAGGCGGGGATATGCATGAAAGAAAGTGGGGATAGGCATCAAAGGAGGCGCGGATTGGCATGAGAGGAGGCGGGGATCGGCATGAGAAGAGGCGGAGATAGGCATGAAAGGAGGAGGGGATAGGCATGAGAGGAGGCGGGGATAGGCATGAGAGGAGGCGGGGATAGGCATGAAAGGAGGCGGGGATAGGCATGAAAGGAGGCGGGGATAGGCATAAAAGGAGGCGGGGATAGGCATGAGAGGAGGCGGAGATTGGCATGAAAGGAGGCGGGGATAGGCATGAGAGGAGGCGGGGATAGGCATGAGAGAGGCGGGGATAGGCATGAAAGGAGGCGGAGATAGGCATGAAAGGAGGCGCTGATTGGCATCATAAATCATTGGAGGCGGGGAAAGTCAGTAAGGATCTTGCTCTCCCATCCCCAGGTTGCTTGACCCATGTTCCCAAATCACCCACGTCAGCACATGTCTAGCACTATTAGAGCAGAGAAGGTTGTTCTCAATGATTTTCTCTCTTGAAATGGAGTGAGTTTCTCCTGTTCATAACTTCCACTGTGCCCCTACTCAACCTTTTAAAGTGCAGTTTTAAAAAGCTTTTGTTTCCTTTCCAGTGTCAGTCTGCCCTTCTAATACTTCTATCTTGTAACTCTATGTTGACACACTTCTATCTAATGCAGATATTTTAACTTTACAGATACATTCGACAGCAGAATACGCTAGAATATCTAAATTTTAATCTTATTAAATATAAATTAGTCATTATAATTATGTTAATGAAATGATGACTATTCACCTACAACAAGGGGAGACGAATTCTTCTCGCTACTGTACCAAACAGGTGAGCAACTATTTTCCCGCCTACAGAACAGATGAAAGCAAATCTTGTGTCCACTTCACTTACAATGCAAACACAAATTCTATTTTTAAATAGTTTATTTATTTTTTAAATTCATAAATAGGTTTAGAAAGCAGAAACCAAACGAAAAAAAACCTGTATAGGTCTGAGTTGAGCAGAACCGTTCATTTGAGCCAAAGAGAGCAAGCTCTGTTATTTTCATTTTCCGTCTATTCAAAATATTAGTGTTGTTAGCGTCCTCAACTCATTTAGCCAAAGAAAGCAAGCTCTGTTATTTTCATTTTCCGTCTATTCAAAATATTAGTGTTGTTAGCGTCCTCAACTCATTTAGCCAAAGAAAGCAAGCTCTGTTATTTTCATTTTCCGTCTATTCAAAATATTAGTGTTGTTAGCAATGTTTTTTATATTTCTCTATATTTAGACTCATCTCGCAATATCCAAACAATATATACTCTAGACCCCCGCCCCTCCATAACAGTTCATTCAAACACATTTTTAAATATTTTTTTACTCCCAACAGAGATGATGTTTAAAATCCAAGGGTTTAGGGTGGGGGGTAGGCACTGGTAGTCGTGTATCCAGTATCAAGGATTTGACTGCAATATACTAGTGGTATTTGGGGTATCTATGAAATATACCAGTGGTATTTGGGGTATCTATGAAATATACATGTGGTATTTTGGGGAATCAAATTTAAGAAGAAGTGGTAGTTGGGGAATCAAATTTAAGAAAAAGTGATATTTGGGGTATCAATTAAATATAACATTGGCATTTGGGGAATCAATGAAATATACAAGTGGTAATTGGGGAATCAATGAAATATACAGTATATCCTAATGTGAATCTATTAGCCAGTCTATCCTAATGTGAACCTTTTAGCCAGTTTATCCTAATGTGAACCTATTAGCCAGTCTATACTAATGTTAACCTTTTAGCCAGTCTATCCTAATGTGAACCTATTAGCCATTCTATCCTAATGTTAACATATTTGCAAGTCTATCCTAATGTTAACCTATTAGCCAGTCTATCCTAATGTTAACCTCTTAGCCAGTATATCCTAATGTGAAGCTATTAACCAGTCTATCCTAATGTTAATCTCTTAGCCAGTCTATACTAATGTTAACCTATTTGCCAGTCTATCCTAATGTGAAGCAATTAGGCAGTCTATCCTAATGTTAACCTCTTAGCCAGTCTATCCTAATGTTAACCTATTTGCCAGTCTATCCTAATGTGAACCTCTTAGCCAGTCTATCCTAATGTGAAGCTATTAGCCAGTCTATCCTAATGTGAAGCTATTAACCAGTCTATCCTAATGTTAATCTCTTAGCCAGTCTATACTAATGTTAACCTATTTGCCAGTCTATCCTAATGTGAAGCTATTAGGCAGTCTATCCTAATGTTAACCTCTTAGCCAGTCTATCCTAATGTGAACCTATTTGCCAGTCTATCCTAATGTGAAGCTATTAGCCAGTCTATCCTAATGTGAAGCTATTAGGCAGTCTATCCTATGCTACCATCCTGGCTAGTATGTCCCAATGTGCCCACTAGATTATGCTAATGTCTACACGGAACTACCGACCTGTGGTTGCTATCATCTCCATTTGCTGCTGTTGTCCCCTCAAGAAGCGGCTCCTCTCTTCACCTGGCTGTTGCTACTGCTTCTACTCAACACTTTCTCCAAACGAATCACGACAACAAAGTACAAAGTGCAGGTTTTGATTGAGCACATGTGCTACAGAGTGCAGGTTCTAGTGGAGCACATGTGCTACTTCCATTTGCGGGTGCTTCACTCCTCGAGCTGTAGCTGTCCGCGGTAAAATGGCGGCGGTGCCGGAGCCGTGACTAGTGTGTGTGAGGGTCTGTACGTCACACGGGCTGCTAGCGGGCCGGCTGGCAGGCGCCACGAATATGCAATGAGCGCTTCATCGATTGGCGAGGACCGGGGAGGATTCGTTCCCCCACCCACACCCGACGTGTCCCTCACACACCCAGAGTGAGGGGACGAAAGTGAGAACTGAGCTCTATGAATGAGTGATGCGGGTGTGGGGTTAGGGGGTGGGGCGGACGGATGAGTTTAGAGTTAGGACGGGTGGCATGACGTGGGTGGGTAGGGTGTAATGACGTGTGGTTGTTGAATAACAACAAGAGTGGCCGTAGATTTGTATCGGGCATAAATAGATTTATATAGGGCACCAATAGACTGGCACGGGGCATAAATGTATTTATATAGGGCATATATAGACTGGCATCGGGTATAAATAGATTTGTTAAAGGGCCTAACGACTAGCATGGGATAGTAAAAATAAAATATCTTTCAACTATCCCAAGGTAGGATGGGGCCATATTGGTGGCTGTTACATCAATCAATCTGACACTATTGATACTCATAACATCACTAGGTTCATGGGTCAAAAACCTGGTACTTGGGATAGCTCTAGATTTTTACGTCACTCAAGTTTATGTTATGGCCACTACACGCTCTTGTGGCCTGTACACGATAATGGCCACCACACACACTGGCCACACTTGACAACTGGCCATTACATAAGGCCTACTATAGATCAATGGCTCTAATAAATAATAATGGCTGCGTGTGAGGCAGTCAGTGCCAGTGGTTATTGATTCCTCGAGGTGCCGTGTGTGGGGCTGTGTGTGATGCAGTGTGTGGGGCTGTGTGTGATGCCGTGTGTGGGGCTGTGTGTGATGCCGTGTGTGGGGCTGTGTGTGATGCCGTGTGTGATGCACACAAGAATTTAACTTGATAGGGGCGGCGCCCAAGAGGTAGTGTGCACTACCCCCTGTGTAGGACGCCATACCAATAAAATACATGTCCAATCGCACCCTGCTGGGCCAGTGTCAAAAAAACTTCAAATTGATACCATATTTCGCGCATTGGCCGGTCAATGTGCGCACTGTCCGAGAATTTCCGTTGTAGGCTAGAGTGTGATGATGTTTAATTATTTTGGTTGCGGTTTTATTTTGAGTCATGTATTGCTCGCCTCGTGTTTGTCTAGCATTCTATATCTAGTATATGCAATGTGACAGGGACCAAAAGTGTCTTTGTCTAGCATTCTATATCTAGTATATGAAATGTAACAGGGACCAAAAGTGTCTTTGTCTAGCATTCTATATCTAGTATATGCAATGTGACAGGGACCAAAAGTGTCTTTGTCTAGCATTCTATATCTAGTATATGCAATGTGACAGGGACCAAAAGTGTCTTTGTCTAGCATTCTATATCTAGTATATGCAATGTGACAGGGACCAAAAGTGTCTTTGTCTAGCATTCTATATCTAGTATATGAAATGTGACAGGGACCAAAAGTGTCTTTGTCTAGCATTCTATATCTAGTATATGCAATGTGACAGGGACCAAAAGTGTCTTTGTCTAGCATTCTATATCTAGTATATGCAATGTGACAGGGACCAAAAGTGTCTTTGTCTAGCATTCTATATCTAGTATATGAAATGTGACAGGAACCAAAAGTGTCTTTGTATAGCATTCTATATCTAGTATATGCAATGTGACAGGGACCAAAAGTGTCTTTGTCTAGCATTCTATATCTAGTATATGAAATGTGACAGGGATCAAAAGTGTCTTTGTCTAGCATTCTATATCTAGTATATGCAATGTGACAGGGACCAAAAGTGTCTTTGTCTAGCATTCTATATCTAGTATATGAAATGTGACAGGAACCAAAAGTGTCTTTGTATAGCATTCTATATCTAGTATATGCAATGTGACAGGGACCAAAAGTGTCTTTGTCTAGCATTCTATATCTAGTATATGAAATGTGACAGGGATCAAAAGTGTCTTTGTCTAGCATTCTATATCTAGTATATGAAATGTGACAGGAACCAAAAGTGTCTTTGTATAGCATTCTATATCTAGTATATGCAATGTGACAGGGACCAAAAGTGTCTTTGTCTAGCATTCTATATCTAGTATATGAAATGTGAAAGGGACCAAAAGTGTCTTTGTCTAGCATTCTATATCTAGTATATGCAATGTGACAGGGACCAAAAGTGTCTTTGTCTAGCATTCTAGATCTAGTATATGAAATGTGACAGGGACCAAAAGTGTCTTTGACTAGCATTCTATATCTAGTATATGAAATGTGACAGGGACCAAAAGTGTCTTTGTATAGCATTCTATATCTAGTATATGCAATGTGACAGGGACCAAAAGTGTCTTTGTCTAGCATTCTATATCTAGTATATGAAATGTGACAGGGACCAAAAGTGTCTTTGTGTAGTATTCTATATCTAGTATATGAAATGTGACAGGAACCAAAAGTGTCTTTGACTTTACCGTTTTGCCCTCTGTCAATTACTCCTATGAGTATGACGGTTTATAACGAGTTTGTGTATGTATGCATGCATGTCTGTGTGAAAGTGAATGTCAGTGTGTGTATTACTGTATTTAGATGAATGTGTGAGAATGGATGTATGCGCGCGTGTGTGTATGGACTAGGTTGGCAGACATACACATGTAGAAGAAACATTTGATGAGAAAACTAAGTTTGGATCATTTGAATACATTACTGCAGGAAAAACCAAACTTAAGCTTTTTTTTTCTCCAGCAGAAACAAGTAATGTGCTTTTCCATAGGACATTAAACAAACTAAAGTAAAACATGATGTTGTTGACGCCGAAGAAAAGAAAATGTCGAAAATGTTCATCAAGTCACTGAAAATGTAGCACAGTAATATAATTTGAATTAATAATCAATAACCACATCATTTTTATTATCATAACGGTATACAAACATCGAAAATCTGCTAATAATCCTCTAATTTGGCCAAAGTCTGAAATCAAGAAAATATCGGACTTTGGCCGGTCACTTGGAGGTGGTATTAGCCAATGCTCGTATTGGCCGACTTCGAGGTTTGGCGGTAACACACACACACACATAAAAAGTTTAAGTATTTAAAATGGATTAAAAATCATAACTATGTCCCGAGTTCCCACCCCCTGTTGTTTTATTAATACTAATAGTTTCGCTGTCTGTGTATCTATCTGTCTATGTATCTGACAAGAACGCTCTAAAGAAAACACAAGCAAATAAAAAAACTTTCAGAGTAATACGGAAACGAAATATGACGTCACATTTAGCATATGGTAAAACATAATATCAAGCCGGAGAGTGCACACAGTAATATGGCGTCATTGATTCTCTAGTAAACATTGAATTAAAAAGCCAATTTTGTCTAATCTTAAAAGTGGTTTGCGTGAAGAGTTTCTTTCATACAATTCTTCGGATAGGGGCGAAGCCCATCCCCCGCGTAAGAACGTCTAAGCCGACACCCCCCCCCCCCCCCCCAACTCAAAAGAAATGTCGTCATCGATATTCTATAATAAAATAACAGCCTAATTCATGTGTCTAATCTAAAAAGTGGTTTGCGTGAAGAGTTTCTTTCGTGCAATTCTTCGGGTAGTGGCTAAGCGCGACACCAGTGTTTCTTTCAGACTTTTTCTCCCCGGAGTGAGGAACTTTTTCTAATCTAAAAAGTGTTTAGCGTGCACAGCTCTTTTCATGCATCTCTTCCGGTAGGGGCGAAGCCCCGCCCAGGTTCTTCCTTTAGTTTGTATGATCTACAAATGCGACCAGTGTTTCTTTCAGACCTTTTCCTCCCCGGAGAGGGGTGGGGGTACTTGAAATTTTCGGGGGCGGGGTAGAATTTTCTGGGAGGGGGCGGACACTGAAAAAAGTATATAATTATATTTCGTTGAATGGGACGATAGACATGTTTTGGGGGGTGTGTGGGGAAGGGGGGGGCGGGGTTGGTTTTAGTTTAGAGAAAATAGACAGCACTATCAACCTAGCGCCCGTTGTATCCTTCCTCAACGGGCCATTTTTCTCGTATAAGAATATTCGTGAAAGTTTAGGGGAGATCACTCCCGGTTTATTTTGTTTTTTCAAATTGTTTGGTTACCAAAAAATACTAAAACTATCAAATACATCCTGTCTTAAGATCTTGTAAAGTCCAACAAAATCAAACATATTTTGATAGACCCAGCCTTATTTCACCGGCCTATTAAGAAATCAACATCGTGTGTGTGATTTTAATTTACTGGGCCTTGCAGATAATTTCGAGACTATTCTTTGCAGTGTCCATTATTTATAGAGGTGTAAAACTGCGCCAAAATTTGATTTCTGTGCAAGATTCCTTCCTCCTCACTCAGAGTGAACATAGCGTCAGTTTTTAGATGACTGTTCTAAACATAGGGGTAATCCATAAATGACGTCACGATTTTTGGACGATTTTTACCTTCCCCCCCCCCCCCACACACACACACGTCGTCACAAAATTGCAGTTGAATTTTTTTTTAAACAGCTATATTTTTCCAAAATCTTGTCTGAACTCTGTCAAAATAGAGTATTTTAATCAATTGTTATTACAATTTATTAAAACAGTTTTCTAAAACGTAAAATAACGTCTAAAATTCGTTTATCGGAAATCGCTCAAAAGTTTAAGTAATTAAAAGTCATGTCTATATTCCAAGTTATATAAGAATATTTGAGAAAGTTTAGGGGAGATCACTCCCGGTTTATTTAACAAATATCAATGTTTAAAACTTAAAGGCGCCACTTTGCTAAACATAGCCAGAGGGGGAGCTGCCGCTTCCCCCCCCCCCCCCCCCCCCCCTGCGTACGCTACTGGATCAGACCAATGGCCTTTAGTGTTGTATGTAACAGCTGAAGGTACTATTTAATTCTAGTTGGAGGGAGTAGGTACAGTGTTAAAACTGTGAGCTGAAATAAAGCCCTACACAGGCTAGATACAAGCAATAGAAATCTATACTTGTCTGATGCACATAAATCTTTTTCTGAGTTTAATTTATTTTTGGAATGCGAAGAAGCATCTTAGACTATGTTCCTTTTTTTTCTTCATTTTTTTTTGTTTATGTATGAATAATCCTTCTTTTGGTTGCCATGTATGTATTAGGCCTAATATGAATTATTAATATACCCTACAAATGTGTGCGATATATATATATATATAGATATATATATATACTCTAGAAATGAATTTTAAAAAGCATCAGCTGTTAATAAAATATTTTAAGGGGAGGGTCGAGGTGTGGTTGTTCTAAACCGGTTGAGCAGTTGGTGGCTTTGCTAATATCAAGATTTTTTTTACTGCTTAGGAAAATTGTTGTGTTTATAAATTTGTGATTTGATGTTGGTAGATGGTTATCTATCAGTGGACTTCTAATATTTTTGGTTTTAGAGTTATAGTGTTGTTTGTCTGCAAAAAAAGACAGACCAAGCTATTTATCTTGTACTAAATACAAAATTACAAAACTCCACCAAATATAATTCTATTTAATTTTTTCTAGACATTCAATCACTGTAAAAAAACAAAAAAAAAAAACGGAATACAATGGCAGACAGACAAGATGTGTACACTGGGAACTCAAGAAACAATGGACCTCTTTCACACCCACACTCATGGAAGATCATTTGGCTAAACACAGCAATGGAGGCTAATTACAGTAGGATAGGTTCTGCTCTGGTATGTGTGTTACTGTTGTGTCACTGGTGTGTGTGTGTGTAGTTTCTTGTATAACAGTTGTGTCATTTGTAATGAAGCAAACTTGTAGCAACTATCTCTAAAGCCAAGCAGTCTGTTGCCACTAGAAATAGAACACAGCCTACAGAGAAAACATTTGAAGCTTAAAAAATGGTAGTGACAAATGATGTGACATACATGGAGGGGTAAGAGGAGGAGAATGAGAGTACAAGTACAAGAGAAGATGTAATCAAATGTAAGCAGGAATATTTACATCAAAAGTTTGCATTATATGACCAGTGCAATGAACCTTGTACAAAAACTGGTTGAAAATATTGCACATCAGCCCAACAAATCCTCTACATTAGACCTGCTTTTACAAAGCACCAAGAAAAGAAGTGGTTAGTTTTAGACAATCTGTAGACACAACAGAATTACAACCTTCATGGTGAGCACTAATTTTAAAGCATTAATAAGTGTTTCATTAAGCAGTTACCATCAGTTAAATTACAGACCAATGTCCACTTGAAAAAAAAACTTATTTCCTGGGTGCATTGTTGTTCTCTGGTGGCGACTATGAAGTTTTTCATTGTTTATCAAATAATCCTAGTTCAATAAAACCTCATTCTTTCTAGGGTATAAAACAATCTAAGAGAAATAAACAAATGACTATCACAGAATAAAATAAATAATAGGTCATCTACACCACTGTTTCAGGTCTGGAAGCCATCTTTGCTTCTTCATAAGCCATCTCAACCATCTCTAGTGCCTGCAAGAAAAAACATCAACACTCAGTGCATGATCCTCTATCTAGAACTCACAACCCTTTCATTTTACTCCATAAAGGTAAAACACAGCCAATGTGTCAACAAAACAGGTAAAACACAGTCAATGTGTCTCAACAAATGAAGTCAAACACAGGTAAAACACAGTCAATGTGTCTCAACAAATGAAGTCAAACACAGGTAAAACACAGTCAATGTGTCTCAACAAATGAAGTCAAACACAGGTAAAACACAGTCAATGTGTCTCAACAAATGAAGTCAAACACAGGTAAAACACAGTCAATGTGTCTCAACAAATGAAGTCAAACACAGGTAAAACACAGTCAATGTGTCTCAACAAATGAAGTCAAACACAGGTAAAACACAGTCAATGTGTCTCAACAAAACAGGTCAAACACAGTGTATCTCAACAAGTCAAACATTCACAGATAAAAATAACTTGAATATAGTAGGCCTTATACTTATACAGAAATATTTTAATCAAGCAGTCCATACCAAAATTAAAATCCATATAGAGATCTCCAGATACTTTTTACATCTTTTATATGCTCATTTTAAATCGGCAGAAAATAAACTAAACATTAATAAGGGCTCTTTTAAGGACTAAAATTCACTCAAGGTATCAACATATACACCGTCAATCAAGGTATCAACATATATGCCAGTAAATCTAAGAATGTTGCCACAAAAGTATCAAAGATAAATTAGGTGTCATTATTTGTAACTATTTTACTCAGTTTTAGCATCAAAGAAATCGGCACTCAAACATGTTCAAGAAAGAAAAGACTTCAACTTAAATAACATATACATTAGGGTTGGGCAGCATTATTATTACAACTTTTACACCCTTGCCCCATGTACAATGTCAAGGGAAAAGCCAACTTGTGTACACTTGTTCCACTGGAAAAATGTTTCCATATTACTATTACATGAACTGTTTACAAGTTTTCCCTTCACAGGTATAGTATACTTGTTGCAAGTATAAAAGGGGTATTAGATGTGGATTTATTTATTTTTGGAAAACTCAGATAAAATCCACTGTCATCTGTGGTTTGGACTACCTAATTTTATAGTTGGTACCATTAGTTTTGTTAGCTCATTTGTTACTAAAGCCTCTCAAAACCCTTTCCCAATCCCTAAGCTAAGGGAGGTAACCGCCGACAACTTTTCTTTGAAATTGTATTTAAATAAGTCTATTGTCTATTTAATTATTAAAAAGGCATAAAATATACTTATTAAATAAAGAAATTTATTATCTCAAAGAAAATATATAATTTAACATTTTTTTTTCTAATAGTATATATATCATTTAGAGTGAATTTTTGTGATGCAACATGTGGTCTGAGACCACCACGAACTTTTCTAAAAAGTTACGACGTTACAATATAGAATCTATTTAACTTTTAAAACTAAATGAAAACTACAATAATGCCAAAAAAAAAAACTTTTGTGCGAAAACAAGTGTAAAACTTTGTCTAACAACTTGACTTAGTAAACTCAGTATAAAATAATAACAAAAAATGTTAGAAACTTCAACAGAAACACGCTAGGTAAAATGAATGGCAGATGCGTCATGTGGCATTAGATGAGTTAAGATCCTGGTGCTGCAAGAAATTTTACCTTTTGATTTTCTGCCAAAGTTTTTTCTCTTTGTTCTAAATGAACTTTCTTCAAAGCTTCCACTTGGCGAGAGTGCTTGACAGCAAATCTTTTCCTTTCTTCAATAAACTTTTTAGTGTTGTTTTCATTTAACTCTCTGATTCTCCTGAAACCAGAAGTAGGTCAAACTCAATAGTAAGCAATCATTCAATCAGTGGTTCTTAACAGTTTGGACTGTACCCACCAGTTTCATATGCAATCATTCAATCAGTGGTTCTTAACATTTTGGATGTACCCACCAGCTTCATATGCAACCATTCAATCAGTGGTTCTTAAAATTTTGGATGTACCCACCAGCTTCATATGCAACCATTCAATCAGTGGTTCTTAACATTTTGGACTGTACCCACCAGCTTCATATGTAACCATTCAATCAGAGGTTCTTAACATTTTTGACAGTACCCACCATTCAATCAGTGGTTCTTAACATTTTGGATGTATCCACCAGCTTCAAATGCAACCATTCAATCAGTGGTTCTTAAAATTTTGGATGTACCCACCAGCTTCATATGCAACCATTCAATCAGTGGTTCTTAACATTTTGGACTGTACCCACCAGCTTCATATGTAACCATTCAATCAGAGGTTCTTAAAATTTTTGACAGTACCCACCATTCAATCAGTGGTTCTTAACATTTTGGATGTATCCACCAGCTTCAAATGCAACCATTCAATCAGTGGTTCTTAACATTTTGGACAGTACCCACCAGCTTCATATGTAACCATTCAATCAGTGGTTCTTAACATTTTGGACTGTACCCACCAGCTTCATATGTAACCATTCAATCAGTGGTTCTTAAAATTTTGGACTGTACCCACCAGCTTCATATGTAACCATTCAATCAGTGGTTCTTAACATTTTGGACTGTACCCACCAGCTTCATATGCAACCATTCAATCAGTGGTTCTTAACATTTTGGATGTACCCACCAGCTTCATATGCAATCATTCAATCAGTGGTTCTTAACATTTTGGACTGTACCCACCAGCTTCATATGCAACCATTCAATCAGTGGTTCTTAACATTTTGGACAGTACCCACCAGCTTCATATGCAACCATTCAATCAGTGGTTCTTAACATTTTGGACAGTACCCACCAGCTTCATATGCACATTCATCAAACCTTTCTTAATAGAAAAAATAATATAGGATTTTTTTCATTGTACATATTCTTCCAACCACTATTCTTTTTTGCTCGACATAGTATGAAGAGATTAAAATACTAAGAAAGGAATCACACGACATAGCATCATGACAGCGACTACTGGGCCATAATATATAAATAAAAAGTATGTTCAATGCACTAATCTGATACATGTTATCTCACTTTGGCACACTGTATTGCTGTGGCGCTGTCATATTTATTCTGTTAATGGCCTCTAGTTCTATGATCCACACAGACAAAATCCAAGCACTAATCATGTGAGTCGGGTGTGTGTGCCAAACCCCTGAGACTGACTGAATGAACCTATGGGGCCTGATCAAACCCAGGTTTACATTCAATGATCAAATAATCTCCACTAATTAAAAGAGGTTACTGACCTATCCCTTTCAAACTTGTTTTTAATGCTCTTGTCATTCAAGACAGTTTTGGTAGAGTCCATTGAGTGCTTGGCTTGGTTGGCTTTTAATTCTTTGTTCTCTCTGTAAGAAAATGGCAGCCAAACTAAGATAAGTGTAAACATAGAGCATATAACATGGCTTGTGGGCTCATCATTAGGTCTTGACTTGGGTGGACTCAGGGATCTTACATAGAGAGCAAAACTTGCAGGAATCAAAGTCAGCGTTACCTCTCCTGTTTGGCCTCTAATTCTGCCATCTGATCATGTTGAGCATCTTCCAACAGCTTGGCCAGCAGCTCATTCTGCTGAATGATGTGCTCCTTCCACAGCTCATGTTCCTCTGTCATCTGCTTGACCACCATCTCTGACCACTCTTTGGTCTGACAAACAACCAGCTCTTTCACCTGGATATATTGTCATGCCAAAGGTTAAATGGAGCTAAGAGACCAAGTTTAAAACCCTGCCCTCGGACTGACCTTGAGCCTATGGTCAGAGACCAAGTTTAAAACCCTGCCCTCGGACTGGCCTTGAGCCTATGGTCAGAGACCAAGTTTAAAACCCTGCCCTCGGACTGACCTTGAGCCTATGGTCAGAGACCAAGTTTAAAACCCTGCCCTCGGACTGACCTTGAGCCTATGGTCAGAGACCAAGTTTAAAACCCTGCCCTCGGACTGGGACTTGAGGTCTGTGCTGCTGTCCCTGGTGAGAAAAACAAATGCTGGTGTTGAAGTTGTTGAGTCGAGCTGACATGAGAGAGACATGCCTCGTCACTTACTTGTTTTTCTTGAGTTTCTTCTCCATACACTTTTCTGTGGCCGACTTCTCTTTGTCATGTGAGGCAACCAGCTTATCCACAACAGTGCAATGTGCCTTTTGCATCATGGACCTCTCCTTCTGATGTCTGCGTTTGAGAAGCTCCAAGTCTTTGGGCTGCTTACGCAACAACTTGAGATAGATTTTCTCAGACATGAGCTTGTCTCTTGTGATGGCTTCAAAGATCATCTCTTCTGGACCTGACAGGAGGAAACAGAGCAGCACACAGATCATGGACTTGATAGCCACACAATGTCCACATGGGAGCCTCAAGATATGCACAAAGTAAGAAAGAGTTACCTTTCCTTTCATCCTTCTTGCCAGCAGCAGTGCTAGACTGGGACTGGGACATACTGTTTGGGTTGGTGGACATTTGACCATTCTGTGGCTAGCAGAGAAAACACAATCTATCAAACCACAACACTAATGTTAATACATGAGTTTCAGCTAGGTTATCAGTTGGAGGAAACTATTCACTTGACCAAGTGAATCACTGATTCCTGTCAATCAAATCATCCTACCCTAGTCATCTAATGTTTGTAAGAGTCTGCTTCCTGACACTATTGGTCCAGATTTAGCCCAGGGCAGACATGCCTATTGCTGGCTACCAAAAGTACGGACTGCCATACATAAAAAGGGGAACTCATTTACATGATACTTACTTTGATAAGCAGAAAATAAATTATTAAAAAATTTGTTAAAGTTTTGGAAAAAAATAGATTTAAGTATTAAGTATTGTGTTAGGGAAGGCATGGCCTAGCAGTGGAGCGCTAGACTGCTAACCCAATAGTTTTGAGTTTGAATGCAGGTTTAAGTTAGTGGAACGTCCCTGAGTCCACCCAACTCTGATGGGTACCTAACTCACGTTAGGGAAAGTAAAGGCGGCTGGGCATAGTGCTGACCACATTATCCCTTTAGATGCCGAAGCCAAGAAACATATGAACTCCACTTCATCTGCCCAATGTCTTTGGTCTAAAGAAGAATCTTTACTTTTTAAAATTGTTTAGTACAGTTTACATATTTGATATCAACGCAGCATATAGATCTACTACTGTTTACTTTTTTTTAAAAACATGTGCCACTCTTCAATTAACTAGAACTAAAGTTGAATGCAACAACAATCAAAACTATCTGGATTTTTTGGTTTCTTTTCCAAGCCCATGGGATCCTGCTAGTTCCTGGCTTACTATGGATTTAATTTTGGCAGTAGGCCATATGTGACATCAACAAATGTTCATAAGCTATGGATTTGACATATATAGTAATGAATACATTCAGTAATAGTAGGCCTATTTGTATTATTTAGTAATATTCTTAGTTGGTGCGCTTAGAAGATTGATCTTTTTCCCTCCATATTTTATTAACTATAATTTATCATTAGAAATCCCAAAAAGAACAGTTATTTAGGTTTTATATGTTAATTATTTAGAATACTTGATAATATTGTATTCATATTTAAAGCTTAAGCAATCTTTGCAGCTGTTTTTTTTTAACGTGTAGGTAAACATTCAAACAAATACAAAGGGAAATAATTACATTTTTTTAAAAATATATTTTTTTTTTGCTTATTTTTGGAGATAGCTCAACAAATTTCGACAAGGGTGGAATAGTGGATGAAGATGCAATTTTTCATAATTTGGTGGGATTAGCGAGACAGTAGGCATGTGGGCCAGAGGCTGTTGGTCACCAATAATTAACCTTATACCAACCAGGGCATTAAAACTATTTTACTTCTCATTCAGCAGGGCAAAAAGACTGGACTTTTCAGCCCAGCACTTTTTAAAAAATCATTTTTAACATTAAAAATATAAAATAAAAAGCATTATACACAAAATTGGTCTAAGTTACAATAGTTACAATTAAAAAAAAATAATTCTTAACTTGAGGAAAATGATAGAAAATGAACCATAAGTGATATAACAACAAGAAACAACGTAAATAAAACTTTATTTCCCGCTTCTGCCGGTATCTTCAAAATGAGACTGCAGCTATAACGCGTAAATAAACTTACTATACATAGTTGGGTAACCGCTGGTGCACTGGACTGTACGGCACAAAAATTTGTTCGGGTGACAGCAGGCGCAAAGGCCTTTAAGGGTTAACTACCTAAATACCTATCATAAGTTGGTTATTTCTTTTACAGAACCTAGCAATAGAGAAAACAAGATTTTTTTAATAAAACTTTAAATGTTTTTCAAATGATACCCAAAAATATATTGGAGACAAATGTGACCTTGTTCATCTTGGCAAGTCTGCTGACTACTGGAACATCAGAAATATCTTTCTCATCTATCCCCATATCTTTCATGGCTTTCTCTCTCTTCTCAGCCTGGGACATTGCTTGTATAGGAGCTGACAGGGCATCCACAAAGTCTATGGATACAAAAATTCTTAAAGTCTATGGAACCCAAACCCAGCATATTTTCCATATGTCAAATTAAAAAAAGACCACAGATTTAAAAATATTCATATTACGTTTCAGTATCCATGAGAGATCTGTTTGTGAGACAACATATCAAATCAAGGTACATAAACTAAACCTAATTCCTTTACTTGGGTCCACATAGGAAATTAACAATAAAGGGGCATAACTATGAAATATATAGTACATGGGAAGTAACTATAACTAAACATAACATACTAGTTTACTAGTTAGTTAATATACTAACAGAGAAAGTTTATTCCAGATTTTTTTTTCCATTGGAATAAAGAGGTATAATAACTATAAAAATGTAGATTCAACTTCACTATATAAAAAGCTGCATTAGGTGACATGAGGAATGAAAGCATTTACGATGCAGAGGTCTCCAAACTTTTCATCTAGAGGGCAGCATTAACTATCAAATGTTAGTTCGGGGGCCAGTTTCTTCCATGCATCTCATTGGGGTGTCGGAGCCTCCCCCACTGGAAGAACGTCGCTCCCCCCACCCCAGCTCTTGTGTTACGTTCATGTCTTCATCCACACCTCTAATGAACACATGCAGTTGACAGGTGGAACAGTTGTTCAGCATTTCATCCATAGCATGTGAAAAATGGCGAAACTTGCTTGCATTTTTTTATATTTGAGTCACAATGTTTTCACCATTTTCTTCAAACCCAAAGGTACATTTTCAAATAGTTTTGAATTTATTTGGCAAAGTTCCTCAGCCACATCCAGCAAACATTTTTTTTTCCGTGGACAAAAAGATTTCCGCGGGCCGGATGAGAGGACCTCTCGGGCCACATTCGGCCCACGTGCCGTAGTTTGGAGACCCCTGTACTTTGCTATACATTAAGCTGAGTCATGTGATAACAATGATTGTACAACTTACCACCAAATTCTACAGGAACATATGTTTTCAAGATGATTCTACAAAATACAGTGGGTAATGACAGGGGGAAGTTGCCTTCTGTTCTCAGTGATATATGGCGATAACCTGTAGAGAATCAAACAGGTGGGGTGATCAAATACATCAACTACAAGCCCTGTACCAGCCAATTACATTCACACCAGAATGGAATCAGCAAGATTACAAAAGATTGTATGCTACACACTGATTTGGTGGATTGCCATTAATGCCCATTGCTTTAGTGCTACAGTTACCTGCTTGTACATGTATAATTTCTTTGGAAAAAAGTGCTATAGTTACCTGCTTGCAACCCATCCAGCGGTAGTATCCTCTGACCAATCAATTTACCCGTATCTTCAAAAACAGCTATTCTCAATACAGCAAGTTCTGGTAACACCACCTGAAAAAATATACACAATAGGCTTCATGGTATAACTAGGGTTGCCTACCTTTCTAAAGACAAAAGGTTCTTCATTATAAATTGGGTTGCCTACCTTTCTAAAGACAAAAGGTTCTTCATTATAAATAGGGTTGCCTACCTTTCTAAAGACAAAAGGTTCTTCATTATAAATTGGGTTGCCTACCTTTCTAAAGACAAAAGGTTCTTCATTATAAATAGGGTTGCCTACCTTTCTAAAGACAAAAGGTTCTTCATTATAAATAGGGTTGCCTACCTTTCTAAAGACAAAAGGTTCTTCATTATAAATTGGGTTGCCTACCTTTCTAAAGACAAAAGGTTCTTCATTATAAATTGGGTTAAGGCCATTGTTAGGCACAACCCTTGTCCGAAACTCGCGCCTGATGGTGTCTGTAGGCAGACCATACATGTCAACCTCCACATAGGTACCCACTTTCTTGTCTGATAAAAACTGGCCTGAAATCACCTGCAATCAAAGTCACATCAAGTCTTAGGGGATATTATTCTCTGCTTTAGCATAAGATACACATCAGTATTTGAATAAGGGATGTACATCATTAGGGTGTAAGATGTACTTAAAACTGATATCAAACTAGTCCTGCTGCAGTACCTGGACAGAGCAATGAGCTGCTATGACTCCATCAACTGGACTTTCTGAGAATGGGTCAAATGTCCTGTCAGGTCTCCGCATGAAGTCTGGCTTGAGCAGATAGCTAAAAACAATCACATGGAATTATTGGTGTAAGCTGAACACATGACAGTTGTATTAGAAACTTAAACACAGTTGACAGTCAAGTCCTTGAGCCCAGTCTGAGGTAGAAAGTGAGGAAGGGAAACTTACCCACAGTTGCCATTGTACTCAAACTTGCCCTGGTTCAGCTGCATGTTAATATCTGCTGTCTGGAAGTTCAAGGCCACCATTTGACAACCTGCATTCCAGAATATCTGAAATAGTTGCATCCAATGTTTAAACAAGCTGGTAACACCAAGCATGTGTATGCTAGACTGCAGTCTAATAGCTCAGCTCTAGAAAAGTTGCTGAGTCCACCCTGCCTAGTTACCAACTTACCTGGGGCAAAAAGTTGCTGAGTCCACCCTGCCTAGTTACCAACTTACCTGGGGTAAAAAGTTGCTGGGTCCACCCTGCCTAGTTACCAACTTACCTGGGGCAAAAAGTTGCTGAGTCCACCCTGCCTAGTTACCAACTTACCTGGGGCAAAAAGTTGCTGAGTCCACCCTGCCTAGTTACCAACTTACCTGGGACAAAAAGTTGCTGAGTCCACCCTGCCTAGTTACCAACTTACCTGGGACAAAAAGTTGCTGAGTCCACCCTGCCTAGTTACCAACTTACCTGGGGCAAAAAGTTGCTGAGTCCACCCTGCCTAGTTACCAACTTACCTGGGGCAAAAAGTTGCTGAGTCCACCCTGCCTAGTTACCAACTTACCTGGGACAAAAAGTTGCTGAGTCCACCCTGCCTAGTTACCAACTTACCTGGGGCAAAAAGTTGCTGAGTCCACCCTGCCTAGTTACCAACTTACCTGGGACAAAAAGTTGCTGAGTCCACCCTGCCTAGTTACCAACTTACCTGGGACAAAAAGTTGCTGAGTCCACCCTGCCTAGTTACCAACTTACCTGGGGCAAAAAGTTGCTGAGTCCACCCTGCCTAGTTACCAACTTACCTGGGGCAAAAAGTTGCTGAGTCCACCCTGCCTAGTTACCAACTTACCTGGGACAAAAAGTTGCTGAGTCCACCCTGCCTAGTTACCAACTTACCTGGGACAAAAAGTTGCTGAGTCCACCCTGCCTAGTTACCAACTTACCTGGGGCAAAAAGTTGCTGAGTCCACCCTGCCTAGTTACCAACTTACCTGGGACAAAAAGTTGCTGAGTCCACCCTGCCTAGTTACCAACTTACCTGGGACAAAAAGTTGCTGAGTCCACCCTGCCTAGTTACCAACTTACCTGGGGCAAAAAGTTGCTGAGTCCACCCTGCCTAGTTACCAACTTACCTGGGACAAAAAGTTGCTGAGTCCACCCTGCCTAGTTACCAACTTACCTGGGGCAAAAAGTTGCTGAGTCCACCCTGCCTAGTTACCAACTTACCTGGGACAAAAAGTTGCTGAGTCCACCCTGCCTAGTTACCAACTTACCTGGGGCAAAAAGTTGCTGAGTCCACCCTGCCTAGTTACCAACTTACCTGGGGCAAAAAGTTGCTGGAGTCCACCCTTCCACCCCTGGGATAGATCCGGCTCATTTGGCGCTTGTTGTAGCTATAGCAGTTAAGGTCAGAAGACCAGACTCTTCTTTCAACATTGAGCTAACATACTTCATCTGTCATCTAATTATTTCCCATCAAACATTAAAGGTACACTTCTAGATATTTTCACTAAATAAATTCCCTTAATAAATGACATCACTAAATACATTCCCCTAAATGACATTATCACTAAATACATTCCCCTAAATGACTTTATCACTAAATACATTCCCCTAAATGACTTTATTAAATTTGTTCCCCGAAATGACATATCAGTCTTTACATTTTTACCTCCCCTTTTACACTAAAGGGATGTGTGCTACACAACAACGCCATCTACTCAACAACTGTTGAATCAACTGTTTCAGTTTGATTCAGCTTGGTCTAAGTCCTGAATGCTGAACCTGGTCTAGGGCGAAATGTTGAGCCAGTTGACCTGAGTAACCAGCAAGTCCCACACTGTCTCACAAGCTAGCAAAGGATTCTTAACAAACTCTAGGGCTTGTGTCTTCAGGTACCCCAGGCCTGTGTTCTCATTGAAAGATGACATGTGGTACTGGATGTTCCGTTCTGTTGAAATATCAACATCAGTCATGTGTCAACTCTACACCAATCCCACATTGAAGAAATACAATATCAACATTAGTCATGTGTCAACTATACACCAATACCACATTGAAGAAATACAATACCAACATTAGTCATGTGTCAACTCTACACCAATCCCACATTGAAGACTTAAAAAAAAATAAACACCAATCATATTGTCAAGATGAGAAATGTACAGACCTGTACAGTGAGTAGGCCTATATGTCAGAGAGTTGCAACTGTACAGTGAGTATATGTCAAACAGAGAGTTGCAACTGTACAGTGAGTATATGTCAAACAGAGGGTTGCAACTGTACAGTGAGTATATGTCAAACAGAGAGTTGCAACTGTACAGTGAGTATATGTCAAACAGAGAGTTGCAACTGTACAGTGAGTATATGTCAAACAGAGGGTTGCAACTGTACAGTGAGTATAATATGTCAAACAGAGGGTTGCAACTGTACAGTGAGTAGGCCTATATGTCAGAGGGTTGCAACTGTACAGTGAGTATAATATGTCAAACAGAGGGTTGCAACTGTACAGTGAGTATAATATGTCAAACAGAGAGTTGCAACTGTACAGTGAGTATAATATGTCAAACAGAGAGTTGCAACTGTACAGTGAGTATATGTCAAACAGAGGGTTGCAACTGTACAGTGAGTATAATATGTCAAACAGAGGGTTGCAACTGTACAGTGAGTAGGCCTATATGTCAGAGGGTTGCAACTGTACAGTGAGTATAATATGTCAAACAGAGGGTTGCAACTGTACAGTGAGTAGGCCTATATGTCAGAGGGTTGCAACTGTACAGTGAGTATAATATGTCAAACAGAGGGTTGCAACTGTACAGTGAGTAGGCCTATATGTCAGAGGGTTGCAACTGTACAGTGAGTATAATATGTCAAACAGAGGGTTGCAACTGTACAGTGAGTAGGCCTATATGTCAGAGGGTTGCAACTGTACAGTGAGTATAATATGTCAAACAGAGGGTTGCAACTGTACAGTGAGTAGGCCTATATGTCAGAGGGTTGCAACTGTACAGTGAGTATATGTCAAACAGAGAGTTGCAACTGTACAGTGAGTATATGTCAAACAGAGGGTTGCAACTGTACAGTGAGTATATGTCAAACAGAGAGTTGCAACTGTACAGTGAGTATATGTCAAACAGAGGGTTGCAACTGTACAGTTAGTTTAATATGTCAAACAGAGGGTTGCAACTGTACAGTGAGTATATGTCAAACAGAGGGTTGCAACTGTACAGTTTGTCAAACAGAGGGTTGCAACTGTACAGTGAGTATGTGTCAAACAGAGAGTTGCAACTGTACAGTTAGTTTAATATGTCAAACAGAGGGTTGCAACTGTACAGTTAGTTTAATATGTCAAACAGAGGGTTGCAACTGTACAGTGAGTATATGTCAGAGAGTTGCAACTGTACAGTGAGTATATGTCAAACAGAGGGTTGCAACTGTACAGTTAGTTTAATATGTCAAACAGAGGGTTGCAACTGTACAGTGAGTATATGTCAAACAGAGGGTTGCAACTGTACAGTTTGTCAAACAGAGGGTTGCAACTGTACAGTGAGTATGTGTCAAACAGAGAGTTGCAACTGTACAGTTAGTTTAATATGTCAAACAGAGGGTTGCAACTGTACAGTTAGTTTAATATGTCAAACAGAGGGTTGCAACTGTACAGTTAGTTTAATATGTCAAACAGAGGGTTGCAACTGTACAGTGAGTATATGTCAAACAGAGAGTTGCAACTGTACAGTGAGTATATGTCAAACAGAGGGTTGCAACTGTACAGTTAGTTTAATATGTCAAACAGAGGGTTGCAACTGTACAGTGAGTATATGTCAAACAGAGGGTTGCAACTGTACAGTTTGTCAAACAGAGGGTTGCAACTGTACAGTGAGTATGTGTCAAACAGAGAGTTGCAACTGTACAGTTAGTTTAATATGTCAAACAGAGGGTTGCAACTGTACAGTTAGTTTAATATGTCAAACAGAGGGTTGCAACTGTACAGTTAGTTTAATATGTCAAACAGAGGGTTGTGACTGTACAGTGAGTATATGTCAAACAGAGGGTTGTAACTGTACAGTTTGTCAAACAGAGGGTTGCAACTGTACAGTGAGTATATGTCAAACAGGGTTGTGACTGTACAGTGAGTATATGTCAAACAGAGAGTTGCAACTGTACAGTGAGTATATGTCAAACAGAGGGTTGCAACTGTACAGTGAGTATATGTCAAACAGAGAGTTGCAACTGTACAGTGAGTATAATATGTCAAACAGAGGGTTGCAACTGTACAGTGAGTATATGTCAAACAGAGGGTTGCAACTGACCTTCGGCTACATCAAAGCCTTGAAATTTGACTGGCTGAGCATAGTTGACCATTGCGGAGAGGTAGGGGTGGATGTTGGTAGTTGCACCAGTGTAATGGTAAGATGACATGAGCAGAGCCTCTTCATCAGCTGTCAATGCTGTGTCCATAGAGTCTGTCTTTAGAAGCTCATCCAGCTGGAGAGACACAAGTCATTGCTCAATCTTCACTACTCACTACACCTATAGTATGCTGTGTTAAAGGGCCAAAAGTTTCCCATTTATACACTTACAGTCAAATAAATGATGCCATAGAGAAAGCTTTGATTGTATATTCACCTCTCCAGAACAAAGAGTTCTCATTCAACTGCACCTTGCATAAAACACCTACAAACATCAAGCTTTGAGTAGTTATTCCATTCATGGCTGACATTCATCATCAAATCCTACATAACATTTAGCACTTGCGAACATAAAAGCTAAGCACTGAGTTACTATCATAGATTGACTCACACAGTACAGCACTTTCAAACATTTTAAGATCCCAAATAATCATCGGGCCTTTTTGTTGTTGGTCCTTTTGTTTAGAGCCGCTCTGTCACGAGCCCTTTAGTTAAGATCATTTTCACTGGTTCTATTGTCACTGACCCTTTAGACAGCCTGAATATGTTCAATCTTGACCAGTTCATGGTGTTAGACAATGTTCAATTAAATACTTGTTTATTTAGGACAGTACAAATGTACTACACTATGGGTCTACAGGTTACCACAATAGTTCAGGTTACCAGAACTGTAAGAAAGGGACACAACTGAGTTTAGATTGTAGTCTTTGTTGTAGGTCCACAGTTAATGCCTTTTTACTTTCTCATATATACGAAGTATAGAGGAAGTATTGTAATCGGTGCAAAAAAATAAAATCTAGATTTTTACACATCTCAACGTTTTACACCTCCCTGAGTAAGAAAAACATAGTTTTGCAATTTTGTCTGTATGTCTGTGTGTGTGTATGTCTGTAAACATGATAACTTGGGTACTGTTACTGCTAGGTTGATGAAATTTCATATATAAGTATTATATCAAATTTGTAGTTTGGCTTCAACAACAGAGAAGTTGTGCGACTGAACAGCAAAGGTAGACCTACAGGTCATGTGACTGACGGGCTGTGACCTTGACACTGAGTGAGAATCACTGGGAGCAGAACACTTGGTATGAGTTGTTAGCATACACCTGTCTGACAGCAAGTGGTTAGCATACACCTGTCTGACAGCACGTGGTTAGCATAGTCTTAAGGTTTGAATCCCTCGCTACAGTCATAGCATGTCCACCCAACTCTAATAAGTACCTGAGTTACGGTATGGAAAGTAAAGGTGGTGAGCCCACTATCCTGTCATACGTCTAAGTCATGCAGTGGCATGTATTTGATGTATGAGCCCTACAATCATACCTCTTCCTTTGGCCCTACAATCATACCTCTTCCTTAGGCCCTACAATCATACCTCTTCCTTTGGCCCTACAATCATACCTCTTCCTTAGGCCCTACAATCATACCTCTTTCTTTGGCCCTACAATCATACCTGTTCCTTTGGCCCTACAATCATACCTCTTCCTTAGGCCCTACAATCATACCTCTTCCTTTGGCCCTACAATCATACCTCTTTCTTTGGCCCTACAATCATACCTGTTCCTTTGGCCCTACAATCATACCTCTTCCTATGGCCCTACAACCATACCTCTTCCTTAGGCCCTACTTCTTCTTTAGCTTTCTTGCTTATTTTGACACTTGTTTTCTTGATCTCTGAGTCTGAGTCCAGACTGCCAGTGTTGGCAAGCTCAGGGTGGGCTTCAGTGTCTGTATTCTTGGTACTTGGCGCCAGATCTGAAACAGTCAACTCTAGATGATGGCACCTACACATGTCAACCAACATGACAAACATGCTAACAACATGGTGCTCATCTAGAAATAGAGTTTGAACATTTCTCACATAAGCATAGCTGACAATACTATTGAGTGAGTATATCCCAGATGAGCATAGAATGACACAACATGTAGGCTGACTAAGACGGGCTGTTTCTACAATGCTTGTTTAGGCCAGTAACTTCAAGTAGCCACTAGGATTCTAGATCTGAGTTGGCTACATTTGCTCTTCAATGCCTAGCTACAGTCAAACAAAACTACTGGAATAACTAATGCCAGTTAGTCACTAAAAACTGCCATTCAATTTAATAAAGCCTCTGAAACATTTGTAATTTAATGTTGAGCTTCATTCAAAATGTATATTTCATTACACTGTAAGACTAAATAGCCTACAATAACAATACTACATGTGGCATATTTATATTTCATTACATTGTACGACTCAATAGACTACAAAAACATAACTACATGTAGCATATCTGCTTGAAGCAAAGAGCACATAGAGCATTATGTAGCAGCCTAAGGACAACAGACATTTGAGTAAAGCTAATTGCCTGATACACAAGCAGTTGATTGCCTGATACACAAGCAGTTGATTGCCTGATACACACACAGCTGATTGCCTGATACACAAGCAGTTGATTGCCTGATACACAAGCAGGTGATTGCCTGATACACAAGCAGTTGATTGCCTGATACACAAGCAGGTGATTGCCTGATACACAAGCAGTTGATTGCCTGATACACAAGCAGGTGATTGCCTGATACACAAGCAGGTGATTGCCTGATACACAAGCAGTTAATTGCCTGATACACAAGCAGTTGATTGCCTGATACACAAGCAGGTGATTGCCTGATACACACACAGCTGATTGCCTGATACACAAGCAGCTAATTGCCTGATACACAAGCAGCTAATTGCCTGATACACAAGCAGGTGATTGCCTGATACACAAGCAGGTGATTGCCTGATACACAAGCAGGTGATTGCCTGATACACAAGCAGTTAATTGCCTGATACACAAGCAGGTGATTGCCTGATACACAAGCAGCTGATTGCCTGATACACAAGCAGGTGATTGCCTGATACACAAGCAGTTAATTGCCTGGTACACAAGCAGCTGATTGCCTGATACACAAGCAGGTGATTGCCTGATACACAAGCAGTTAATTGCCTGATACACAAGCAGTTAATTGCCTGATACACAAGCAGCTAATTGCCTGATACACAAGCAGGTGATTGCCTGATACACAAGCAGTTACTTGCCTGATACACAAGCAGCTGATTGCCTGATACACAAGCAGCTGATTGCCTGATACACAAGCAGGTGATTGCCTGATACACAAGCAGGTGTTTGCCTGATACACAAGCAGGTGATTGCCTGATACACAAGCAGGTGATTGCCTGATACACAAGCAGGTGATTGCCTGATACACAAGCAGGTGATTGCCTGATACACAAGCAGGTGATTGCCTGATACACAAGCAAGTGATTGCCTGATACACAAGCAGGTGATTGCCTGATACACAAGCAGGTGATTGCCTGATACACAAGCAGGTGATTGCCTGATACACAAGCAGGTGATTGCCTGATACACAAGCAGGTGATTGCCTGATACACAAGCAGGTGATTGCCTGATACACAAGCAGTTAATTGCCTGATACACAAGCAGGTGATTGCCTGATACACAAGCAGGTGATTGCCTGATACACAAGCAGGTGATTGCCTGATACACAAGCAGGTGATTGCCTGATACACAAGCAGGTGATTGCCTGATACACAAGCAGGTGATTGCCTGATACACAAGCAGGTGATTGCCTGATACACAAGCAGGTGATTGCCTGATACACAAGCAGCTGATTGCCTGATACACAAGCAGGTGATTGCCTGATACACAAGCAGGTGATTGCCTGATACACAAGCAGGTGATTGCCTGATACACAAGCAGGTGATTGCCTGATACACAAGCAGCTGATTGCCTGATACACAAGCAGGTGATTGCCTGATACACAAGCAGGTGATTGCCTGATACACAAGCAGCTGATTGCCTGATACACAAGCAGGTGATTGCCTGATACACAAGCAGGTGATTGCCTGATACACAAGCAGGTGATTGCCTGATACACAAGCAGGTGATTGCCTGATACACAAGCAGGTGATTGCCTGCTGGAGAGACAAGACCATCTTCTCCTCTACCTGCTCTTATGTAAAGTTGCTAGGCCTCAAGCTACAGTAAAGTTGCTAGGCCTCAAGCTACACCTATGTTGTGAAGCATGAAGACAGACATGCAATCAAAAGATAATCTTTCAGCTCATCTACAACCATGATGAAGCATGAAGACAGACATGCAATCAAAAGATAATCTTTCATCTCATCTACAACCATGATGAAGCATGAAGACAGACATGCAATCAAAAGATCATCCTAGGCCTATAGCCTTCTTGACATTAGGTTACATGTTGTTAGTTGCTTCAGTTAGATCAGCCAGCCAGGACACATTTAGAAAACATGTGAACTGCCTGGTTGTCCAAACTGTGTAGAGAGGTCAAAGGTCAGGTCAGATTGTTGATGTCAAACAAAGCTATCACTTTCATTACTTTCTGCTATGTATGAAGATAGTAATGTTACAGTGGTTGGGACATGTTAATGTTACAGTGGTTGGGACATGTTACAGTGGTTGGGACATGTTAATGTTACAGTGGATGGGACATGTTAATGTTACAGTGGATGGGACATGTTAATGTTACAGTGGATGGGACATGTTAATGTTACAGTGGATGGGACATGTTACTGTGGTTGGGACATGTTAATGTTACAGTGGATGGGACATGTTAATGCTACAGTGGTTGGGACATGTTAATGTTACAGTGGATGGGACATGTTAATGTTACAGTGGTTGGGACATGTTAATGTTACAGTGGATGGGACATGTTAATGTTACATTGGTTGGGACATGTTAATGTTACAGTGGTTGGGACATGTTAATGTTACAGTGGATGGGACATGTTAATGTTACAGTGGTTGGGACATGTTAATGTTACAGTGGTTGGGACATGTTACAGTGGTTGGGACATGTTAATGTTACAGTGGATGGGACATGTTAATGTTACAGTGGATGGGACATGTTACTGTGGTTGGGACATGTTAATGTTACATTGGTTGGGACATGTTAATGTTACAGTGGTTGGGACATGTTAATGTTACAGTGGATAGGACATGTTAATGTTACAGTGGTTGGGACATGTTACAGTGGTTGGGACATGTTACAGTGGTTGAGACATGTTACAGTGGTTGGGACATGTCACTGAGTTGATAACTGCTAGATGAATGTAGGAGAGTGTTACAACATAGAACAACACTGACTAGAGCAGTAACAGAAGCACTACACAATGCTGTGAGAGGGGGTGTGTACCAGAGGTTTTGGTTGTTGTGGTGCTAGTGCTAGGGGTGACTTCTTTTATTTGTGGGGTGCTGTCGATGCTGCTTGCGCTATCAGCATCATCATCTGAGGAAAATAATATAACATGTCACTGGTAGTACTACAATGGGGGGGGGGGGGGGGCAGACATCTGATACTATATAGGGGAATATGTTATTGGTAGTATAACAATAAGGGGGGGGGGGGGAAATCTCAGATCTGATCCTATATAGGGGGAATGTGTCATGTGGTACAATATAGGGGAACATGTCATTTGTGGCACAGTATAGAGAGAATGTCATTTGTGGTACAGTATAGGGGTAATGTCATTTGTGGTATAATATAATAAGGGGAACATGTTATTTGTGATACAGTTTAAAGAGAACATGTCATTTGTGGTACAGTATAGGGGTTATATGTCATTTGTAGTACAGTATAGGGGTAATGTCATCTGTGGTACTTAGGTGTGGAGACACCTGTAAGTATTTGTGTTGGTCAGTTGGACATGTTTGATAATACAAATGAGATAAAGTGTGTGGTAACCACAAGAAGGTCTAGTGAAGTAGTCATTCAACTACATGGTTTGTTGAGTCTCTCCCATTCTAGTGAAGTAGTCATTCAACTACATGGTTTGTTGAGTCTCTCCCATTCTAGTGAAGTAGTCATTCAACTACATGGTCTGTTGAGTCTCTCCCATGAGCTCTTTATGGAACACTTGAAATGAATCATAGAAAATAAAAGAATGCTAAAACAATCTTGATGGCCTCCACTATGTATGTGTCATAAGAATCCTGGCATTTCATTCACTGGTCAGAAAAAGGTCAGAGTGGCTTCCCATATTTTCTCTACTTCATGCAATCACGCACTGATGCAAAACTTTTAATATAATAAACCATTATTTTTAAGATACTGTCAAATATACAAGAGTCTTTCTCTTTCCTCAGTATAAGGACTGATCCAGCCAAATATTGTATTCAAGATTGTTTCAATAAAAACAACATTTTGCCTTCTTAATGTCAATGGGTCAATGATTTACAATAGTTTTTGTGTGTGAGTATTGGGCTTTTTCCTGCCATTGTAAAATTTAAGTGGGTAGACATGGATGCATTTTCCATTGTATGTGAACCTGATGCGCTGCTCAGAATGTGTGAGGAATTTGTCTCTTTATTTTTTACTCTGTTCACATTTTGTAATGTGTTGATATTTCATGTCCAGAATGTAGTTTTGCTTTATTTCCTGAATCTATTGTCTTGTATTTCTAGGCCACATGGTAATATAGTTGTGTTAAGGTAATTTTCCTAAACAGTGATTTGAATGTGTACTTCATCATCATCATCTTTTCCCTTTTGTACCCAACACACATGGAGCTGCCACAGAAAGCTCCTTCCACTTTTGTCGGTCTCTGGCAATTTTTTTGGCATTTATTTTTAAAAGTTTTATTGGTTTTAAAAGTTTTATTGGTTTTATAAGTTTTATTGGTTTTAAAAGTTTTATTGGTTTTAAAAGTTTTATTGGTTTTAAAAGTTTTATTGGTTTTAAAAGTGTTATTGGTTTTAAAAGTGTTATTGGTTTTAAAAGTTTTATTGGAACTTACTATCCTCAACCATGTATATGTCGATATATTTTAGAGGGGTGACCCCTTTTTTTAAAAAAAATTAGGTGACCCGCGACCTCCATAGAATAAAAAGTCAAAATTAGTAGGGAAATGAATAAGATTTTCTAGTATAATTTCAATTAAAATAATATATGATAACTTTTAATGTGATGGGTGAAACTGCACGCTATTCACTTGCCTCAACATTCGCAGATGAGTTTTTATTTACGCCAAACTCATGTCATTCTCCACATTTAATTTACCTTATTGTTTTGTTTTTAATTGGAGAAGTATTGAAAATCCACTCTTGCAAAGATATGTAGACACTAAAGGAACTAAAACTTAAAAGGCAATCTATGTGGCGTTTGGGTATGAATCATTGAATGGTGCATACTAGACCAAAATAGTGTGAGCAGGTTTTCATTACATATTGTATGTGCCACAGAATCATTTCACAAATCCTAAAATTCATCTTGTAATTTATTGGGAATGCTGGCAACATCAAGAGAAGCAGAAAATGGCTTACGCGTCAGTGTAGTTGTCTTCTTCTTTCTACTCAGGGAAATAACGCTGCAGTTTGTTTTCAAGAGATTCAAGATGCCCAGAAATCTCTTTCAAATTTTTTTTATCTCACAATCAGATACATCTACCACACAGCAGAATTTCCAAAAAATGGCAATATTTCCACGATTTATTTTCTTTGCTAATTGAGCAGATTTGATAAAAATGCCCACATTATGATGAAAAGAGATAGTATTCGTTTCTTTTCCCTGAAGCTTTTCCTGTTCGAATATATCTGCTAGGTATGATACTCTCTCTAGCCTCTCTTTGTCATTAAAGTATATCAAAAGGTCTTGTTTCCCTTGCACTTCCTAGAACACTTGATTTCATCTTTCAATTCTAAAACATTATTCACAAATTTACTATTGACAGCCAGCGTACTGTAGTGTAGAAAAGCAGAACTTAGTGATCAGAATTCATGTCTTTGCACATTTCTTTATAAAGACGGGTGTTTAGGGCTCCAAATTTAAAATAATTTACAAGATTTATTATTGAACTAGGCATACTGCCTAGCTTCGCTTAGGTTTTCAAAAACATTTGAGATTTTGAATACTTAATTATTTAGTGACGGCTGAGGTGTGGAGTGCTTAAATTTAAACAGTAATGCTAATTTTAGAGAACATGTTGTTGTTGTTCTTTGTTGTTTACAGTCCATTTTCAGAGAAAATATTGGAAAGTTCTAAATGTATGACTAAAATGGAATTAGAACTACAGAGGTTCCATGTAAAGTATATCTCATAATTTATATTACATTGACTTTTAAAATTAATTAACTTATTTAATTAGGATACGTACCTTAATTAAAAACTTAATTTTTACATAAACAAATGCTATACTTCGTCATTTTCTGTTTATGTTTAAAATAGTATACAATTGTTTGAAAAATAGTTATTTTAAAAAAGTTACCTCCCTTGAAAATTGAACGTATGAAGTATGTCTTTGTTTACTTTTTTTTACAAACAATTGTTTATAAGAAAATACTTCATCTGGACAAATCTAATGACCCTAAGGTTTTTTTTCGACGGGAATAAAGTTTTTTGTTATCCTCCGGGGTCGGTCTACGACCTAACAAAATATTAGGGAGATCGTTTGTCAATTTATTTATGATATCTTATACAATGAGAATTTCATTCGCGGTCACTTTTTAGCCCTCGTCGAGTGCTTTAAGTCTGACCAACAGTTTTCCCATAGAGTCATCTATAGAGGTGCATGCAAAGAAATAGAGGTTGAGTATCCTAAAATTTATGTCGAAATTACTGTTTTTCCCATAAAATACAAAGATTATATAGGGAATAACGACTGGTCAGTTTTGACCCATTTCCAGATTTTCCCCGGAAATGGCGAGTTTTTTCTGACACCCCTAGGTGTTCTCCTACCACCTCACAAAATTTCAAGGGGGGGGGGGGGGGGGGGGTCGTCGGACGAAAGTTTTTTTTGTAAAAGAGCTGATATAAAGAGAATTTCACTCGCAGTCATGTTTTAGCCCTTGTCGAGGGCTTTGAGTCAAACCGACAGTTTTCCCTAAAGGCCAAGCCATTTACCTAGGAGCATGCAAAAAATTAGCCAGATATACTGAGTTTAAGTACCCTAAAATCTGCGTTGAAATGACCCTCTGTTTTTCCCATAAAATACAAAGATTATATGGGGAAATACAACTGGTCAGTTTTGACCCCTTTACGAAGTTTTCCCAGATATGCCGAGTTTTTTCTGACACCCCTAGGCGATTTCCTAACACCTCACAAAATATCAAGGCGGGTCGTCGGACGAAAGTTTTTTTCGTAATATAGCCCATATAAGGCGACGGTCAGTCGAGGTCAGTTTTGACCCCCTCTCAGTGGACTTTTTGACCAACCGTCACCGGCCCTCGTGTTCTATCGCCCCAAGGCACCATCTTGCCAAATTTGACACGCCTGCGGCGCCGGGAAGTGCCCTATCGGACATCTGACCACTTTGCTTTAAATATATAGATTAAGTGCCCCTAGCAAAGGAGTCAGAAGAGTCTAGCTGGCGAGAGCACAGTTGTGAATAATGAGGTGGATTCCCCTTGATTAAGGAGCTAAATCTTTTACTTTTTTCTGGAAGCATTGATGGCTAACCATCCGTACAAACCCCATAGCTGTTGTACCATTTTAATCCTCCAGTTTCAAAAAACTTATTTATTTGTTCCATGATATCTCCACTTTTTGTAGTAGCTTCAAGTTCAATACAAAAAGAAACACTTCTTTGATTTCATCTAAATGAATATATTTCAAAAAAGCAACTGCAAACTTGAACTCACGTCTGTTGATTCATCAACTTGAAAAGCAAACAATTGTGAAAGCTTGATTTCATTCATATAGTAGTATTATTAGACAGATATTTGTTGCATCTTTTCTGCACTGGAATCCCCAAGAATTAATTTCACCATCTTCAACATGCAGAGTTTGATGAGATTTTCTCCTATTCGGTGAGGTTTTTTTTTTGCTTGGCAATTTCTAATGCGACTTCATATGATGCTTGCACTAATGCTGTGTTTCCTTCATTAAAACTTCCTGTTCAATCAAGTCTCTGACTTTGCAACAAGCTTCATGCCGATGAAAAAACTTTAGATCTTTTTTGGTGTGTTCTGAATGACTCATCTCAAAATGACTAAAAAAAATCTAAGAACTTCAATACTCTGTTCATGTTTTTAAAACGTTAGTTAGAAAACAAACCCTTGCTGGAATCACGACTATTCGTATGATAAAGCTAAATGGGAATAAATAATAAACTTAAAAAGTTAGAAAAGTATATAGAAGTATTTTGAGGAATCATTCTCTCTTTGGTCTTTGAATATAAAATTATTCAATTTTTTAAAATTGGTTTAGTCTACCAGTTGCCCCCCCCCCCCCTCCCTTCAGAAAGCCCTTAGAAACCCATGTTCTAAAGATTGGTTCCCATTTTTTTTCTAGAAAAAAATGTGTTAGTTGTCTTTTAAATCTAGACTAAGGTCACGAGATTAAGCACAAAAGCACGGCCGCCTGATAGCTTATATCCCTAGAAGGTAGATTACCTTGGTAGGGCTAACATCCAATGCCAATCAACCCAGCCACTCATCCAACCTAAAGCATGCACCATGTCTGAGCATGTCAAGTCAGTTAGTGAGGGTGGGAGTGGGATGTTTTGACTGCATGTAATACACACAAGGAATTGTTATGAACATTTGATTTTAGTTAATTGGAGGGACACACAATTAAGCAGAAAGAAATGGTAATGCATATTTGATTTTAAAATGTGCAAGTCACTCTAAGAGTGCAGTAAAAAAACAATCGTGCATTGATTGAATCAAACACTAATGATCATTAAATGAAATCTTTTCAAGTCAACCAAGTCTCATTCAAATTGGGAACATCAGCATGTGAAAGCATAGGGCATCATTCATTTACACACAGAGGGCATCAGTCACTCCACAGTCAGACTTAGGGCATTATTCATTTACAGCCAGACACAGGGCAGACAAAGGGCATAAGTAATGGACTACGTGGGAGAGGGTGTGAGAAAACGTCAATGAAGGCTTTAAATGTAAGGCTAAAGCACATGAAGTTGTTTTTATGCCTGTGTGTCAAGCCTTGGTGTCAACAATAGAGGCATTGAGTTGCTGGTGGTATACATTTGTTCTGCTGGCTACAAGAGCTGTAGTTTTGTGTCTTATCCATAGCACCTTGTTTACTGCTGAGAATCAGCTGAGACAATCAATAGAGACAATAGTTTGGTGACAGGACAAGCAGACCAGAGACAGCTAAGATAGTGAGTTTACCATTAAGTGGCCCATCCTCTCCATCCACTGTAGCCACAACATTGGGATCTTCAATCACTTCACTATCCTCATTCACAATCTGGATCATCCCCTTCTGGTACAGCTCCATTTGCTCTGTGGAAAACAGCAAGACACAATCATTGATCTAGCAGCTTGCTCATTGCCTTATTCCACCCTGACAGGACATCAACAAGACACAATCATTGATCTAGCAGCTTGCTCATTGCCTTATTCTACTCTGACAGGACATCAACAAGACACAATCATTGATCTAGCAGCTTGCTCATTGCCTTATTCCACCCTGACATCAACAAGACACAATCATTGATCTAGCAGCTTGCTCATTGCCTTATTCCACCCTGACATCAACAAGACACAATCATTGATCTAGCAGCTTGCTCATTGCCTTATTCTACCCTGACAGGACATCAACAAGACACAATCATTGATCTAGCAGCTTGCTCATTGCCTTATTTCACCCTGACATCAACAAGACACAATCATTGATCTATCAGCTTGCTCATTGCCTTATTCTACACTGACATCAACAAGACACAATCATTGATCTAGCAGCTTGCTCATTGCCTTATTCTACTCTGACAGGACATCAACAAGACACAATCATTGATCTAGCAGCTTGCTCACTGCCTTATTCCACCCTGACATCAACAAGACACAATCATTGATCTAGCAGCTTGCTCATTGCCTTATTCTACTCTGACAGGACATCAACAAGACACAATCATTGATCTAGCAGCTTGCTCATTGCCTTATTCCACCCTGACATCAACAAGACACAATCATTGATCTAGCAGCTTGCTCACTGCCTTATTCCACCCTGACATCAACAAGACACAATCATTGATCTAGCAGCTTGCTCATTGCCTTATTCTACTCTGACAGGACATCAACAAGACACAATCATTGATCTAGCAGCTTGCTCACTGCCTTATTCTACTCTGACAGGACATCAACAAGACACAATCATTGATCTAGCAGCTTGCTCATTGCCTTATTCTACTCTGACAGGACATCAACAAGACACAATCATTGATCTAGCAGCTTGCTCATTGCCTTATTCCACCCTGACATCAACAAGACACAATCATTGATCTAGCAGCTTGCTCATTGCCTTATTCCACCCTGACATCAACAAGACACAATCATTGATCTAGCAGCTTGCTCATTGCCTTATTCTACCCTGACAGGACATCAACAAGACACAATCATTGATCTAGCAGCTTGCTCATTGCCTTATTCCACCCTGACATGACATCAACAAGAGAGACAACTCACGCTTCTCCACTTCTGGCTTGAGTCTCTTGTTTTTGATGAGAATCTTATACTTGAGTTGGTTGGGTGAAGGGAGGGCCACCCCAGGCTCCAGCTGCAACAAGAGGTCAACCAACTTAACATTGACCCTAGCAAGCAGGGGAAATAATCACTGGCAAGGGATAGAAGCACAGCTTTACTTACTGGGTGGCCTTCTAGTGGTTTCTTCAGCAAATAATCCCCTAAAATATCCTCACAGTATTTGGCCATTTTGTATTGCTGGAGTTTACTAAGAAGAAATAAAACATTTTCTATTGCTCAAGTTTACATTGAGGGAAAAAAGTCCTACTTGAAAAATGTTATTTCAGATTGTTTGCTAGATTAGCAGTATGTGAAATCAAAGCTGAGATAAAGTGGTTTGAACATGGTGAAGTTGTAGACAGATGAAGACACGTAGAATGTTATGAAGAAATGTAACTGATTCAAATAATTTCTTCAAATTTAAGATGTACTTGCTAAGTTAACTAAAGGTATAGTTTAATGAAGTCATTTACCCTATGCAAATCATTTTTTCTTATGTAAGATATCATAGTCATATCTTCCAATGTAATATAATATAGTCGCATTAACTTAATGTAAAAATAATATCTTCCAATGTAAGATATTATAGTCGCGTTACCTAAATGTAAAAATAATATCTTCCAATGTAAGATATCTTAGTCACGTTACCTAAATGTAAAAATAATATCTTCCAATGCAAGATGTACTAGCTGGGTTACCTGCAATGATTTTCAAAAGATAAAATCACAGGGTAACAAGAAGTAACAAAAGCTGTTTCTTTGATGGCTTGGATGACGTCTTTAAACAGAATGTCTGTACACATGGCCTTGCCGTGGGTTATGATTGGTTCCTGATCTTCATTCCTGCCATCCCAGCAATCCAACTCAACACAGCTATAGATTAGAGGAGCATTTCATTAGTGCAGTATTTCAATCACAAAATGGTCATTTGTTTATGCATCTAACAAGGAACATGAGTTTACCAGAGGAAACGTATTTGAAACCAGCCATTAGGAAATGGAGTAGATGTTTTTCTAACACAGAGTTGGATTGAGACTAAACACTTTAGCCTAACATTTAGTTGTGCCCTAACATGTGTGCTACAACTAGATTCTATTTAGTTGTGCCCTAACGTTTGCTACAACTAGATTCTATTTAGTTGTGCCCTAACATGTGTGCTACAACTAGATTCTATTTAGTTGTGCCCCAAAATGTGTGCTACAACTAGATTCTATTTAGTTGTGCCCTAACATGTGTGCTACAACTAGATTCTATTTAGTTGTGCCCTAACATGTGTGCTACAACTAGATTCTATTTAGTTGTGCCCTAACATGTGTGCTACAACTAGATTCTATTTAGTTGTGCCCCAAAATGTGTGCTACAACTAGATTCTATTTAGTTGTGCCCTAACATGTGTGCTACAACTAGATTCTATTTAGTTGTGCCCTAACATGTGTGCTACAACTAGATTCTATTTAGTTGTGCCCTAACATGTGTGCTACACCTAGATTCTATTTAGTTGTGCCCTAACATGTGTGCTACAACTAGATTCTATTTAGTTGTGCCCTAACATGTGTGCTACAACTAGATTCTATTTAGTTGTGCCCTAACATGTGTGCTACAACTAGATTCTATTTAGTTGTGCCCTAAAATGTGTGCTACAACTAGATTCTATTTAGTTGTGCCCTAACATGTGTGCTACAACTAGATTCTATTTAGTTGTGCCCTAACATGTGTGCTACAACTAGATTCTATTTAGTTGTGCCCTAACGTGTGTGCTACAACTAGATTCTATTTAGTTGTGCCCCAAAATGTGTGCTACAACTAGATTCTATTTAGTTGTGCCCCAAAATGTGTGCTACAACTAGATTCTATTTAGTTGTGCCCTAACATGTGTGCTACAACTAGATTCTATTTAGTTGTGCCCTAACATGTGTGCTACAACTAGATTCTATTTAGTTGTGTCCTAACATGTTTGCTACAACTAGATTCTATTTAGTTGTGCCCCAAAATGTGTGCTACAACTAGATTCTATTTAGTTGTGCCCTAACATGTGTGCTACAACTAGATTCTATTTAGTTGTGCCCTAACATGTGTGCTACAACTAGATTCTATTTAGTTGTGTCCTAACATGTTTGCTACAACTAGATTCTATTTAGTTGTGCCCCAAAATGTGTGCTACAACTAGATTCTATTTAGTTGTGCCCTAACATGTGTGCTACAACTAGATTCTATTTAGTTGTGCCCCAAAATGTGTGCTACAACTAGATTCTATTTAGTTGTGCCCCAAAATGTGTGCTACAACTAGATTCTATTTAGTTGTGCCCTAACATGTGTGCTACAACTAGATTCTATTTAGTTGTGCCCTAACATGTGTGCTACAACTAGATTCTATTTAGTTGTGCCCTAACATGTGTGCTACAACTAGATTCTATTTAGTTGTGCCCTAACGTGTGTGCTACAAATAGATTCTATTTAGTTGTGCCCCAAAATGTGTGCTACAACTAGATTCTATTTAGTTGTGCCCTAACATGTGTGCTACAACTAGATTCTATTTAGTTGTGCCCTAACATGTGTGCTACAACTAGATTCTATTTAGTTGTGTCCTAACATGTGTGCTACAACTAGATTCTATTTAGTTGTGCCCCAAAATGTGTGCTACAACTAGATTCTATTTAGTTGTGCCCTAACATGTGTGCTACAACTAGATTCTATTTAGTTGTGCCCTAACGTTTGCTACAACTAGATTCTATTTAGTTGTGCCCTAACATGTGTGCTACAACTAGATTCTATTTAGTTGTGCCCTAACATGTGTGCTACAACTAGATTCTATTTAGTTGTGCCCTAACATGTGTGCTACAACTAGATTCTATTTAGTTGTGCCCTAACGTTTGCTACAACTAGATTCTATTTAGTTGTGCCCTAACGTTTGCTACAACTAGATTCTATTTAGTTGTGCCCTAACATGTGTGCTACAACTAGATTCTATTTAGTTGTGCCCTAACATGTGTGCTACAACTAGATTCTATTTAGTTGTGCCCTAACGTTTGCTACAACTAGATTCTATTTAGTTGTGCCCTAACATGTGTGCTACAACTAGATTCTATTTAGTTGTGCCCTAACATGTGTGCTACAACTAGATTCTATTTAGTTGTGCCCTAACGTTTGCTACAACTAGATTCTATTTAGTTGTGCCCTAACATGTGTGCTACAACTAGATTCTATTTAGTTGTGCCCTAACGTTTGCTACAACTAGATTCTATTTAGTTGTGCCCTAACATGTGTGCTACAACTAGATTCTATTTAGTTGTGCCCTAACATGTGTGCTACAACTAGATTCTATTTAGTTGTGCCCTAACATGTGTGCTACACCTAGATTCTATTTAGTTGTGCCCTAACATGTGTGCTACAACTAGATTCTATTTAGTTGTGCCCTAACATGTGTGCTACAACTAGATTCTATTTAGTTGTGCCCTAACATGTGTGCTACAACTAGATTCTATTTAGTTGTGCCCTAACATGTGTGCTACAACTAGATTCTATTTAGTTGTGCCCTAACGTTTGCTACAACTAGATTCTATTTAGTTGTGCCCTAACATGTGTGCTACAACTAGATTCTATTTAGTTGTGCCCTAACATGTGTGCTACAACTAGATTCTATTTAGTTGTGCCCTAACATGTGTGCTACAACTAGATTCTATTTAGTTGTGCCCTAACATGTGTGCTACAACTAGATTCTATTTAGTTGTGCCCCAAAATGTGTGCTACAACTAGATTCTATTTAGTTGTGCCCTAACATGTGTGCTACAACTAGATTCTATTTAGTTGTGCCCCAAAATGTGTGCTACAACTAGATTCTATTTAGTTGTGCCCTAACATGTGTGCTACAACTAGATTCTATTTAGTTGTGCCCCAAAATGTGTGCTACAACTAGATTCTATTTAGTTGTGCCCTAACATGTGTGCTACAACTAGACACATCCCTAAATGTGAAGGAAGAGAATGCTGACTTACCGGCAGCCAGCCAACAAGACTTGTCTGTACATCTCAACAGATGAGCGCCCACCAAACTGTCTTCCTGTCAAGTATGTGTTGTGAGAAGAATTGATGATGTAATGAGCTAGTGGCTGATCCATGTCCATGTAAATGTCTAGTCGGTCAAGAAAAACTGGAGCATTTTCATCAGCCATCAAATAACGACAGAATCCATCTTGACTTAGCCATTCTGAATCAAGAATTAAATAGGTCCTTAAAGACACAAATTTGTAAGAATTAAATAGCTATTTAATGGCGCAGATTTGTAAGAATTAAATAGCTATTTAATGACGCAGATTTATAAGAATGAAATAGCTAAAACGTATTTTGTAACAGAAGCAAACAGGGATGTCTTGGGAGATTGCAAAATTAATAGCTGGGGATCAAACGAGCTTTCTCTGTTTCTTTATACAATACTATGCATTGGCTTACAGCTTACCTTTGTTGAGGTACTCTTGGTCAGTTTCATAGGATTGAATGATGTTTTTCACACGAGTATGGTTGTAGAAAGGGAAAAGGATTTCATTCAGTCTTGGATCTCTTTGTCTCTGTTACAATCAAAGTAAACCATGCAGTAGTTTAAGATCACGTTGACTGACATTTGTCTAGGTAACCTTAAAGATCACATTGACTGACATTTGCCTAGGTAACTTTAAAGATCACATTGACTGACATTTGTAGTGCTGCTATTGATGACTACACACAAAATGGACAAAAGTAACATACAAATAGATTGCGACAGTGTATAGGCATTAGGTAGAACAGTGGGTTACTACCATTTGAACAGTGTATAGTTAGGCATTAGGTAGAACAGTGGGTTACTACCATTTGAACTACTGGCAAAGATTACAGCTAGAATTATTTTTAATTTCTTGTAAAAGTTTTTAAAGAATGTGTAGTATAAATAAAAGAGACGAAACAAACAAACGAAAATCTTAGATTAACTTACATCATTGAAGAAATCTATTAACTGAGGAATTGTCAAGAATGAACGGCTTCGTGATCTAAAAGTAAAAATGAATTAAAGAGTTAAAAATTGAAACAATTTATCTAAGTGTTGAGATGTTTAAGTATGAAGAACTTACAAATCTTTGAACAACTCCTCTATGTCAGAACGAGGGCAGATCATGTGATACAGCTCATAGAACTTGTCAAATGTAAAAAGGATTGGATCAATCTCATCACCCTGTCAACAAGAGACAATGGAACTCAATCAAAGCCACAAGTGTCTGATACAACATTTATCAAGTGCTCAAGTGTGCACAGTTCTTCTCTAAAGCTTATAGATTACATCAAGTAAGTGACATCTAGGTAGCCATACAACCCTGTATGACATAAGGTAAGTGATATTAGGTGGCCATAAACCCACAAGACATAAAGTAAATGGCATCTAGGTGGCCATACAACCCTGTATGACATAAAGTGTCATCTAGGTGGCCATACAACCCCGTAAGGCAGGGGTTCCCAACCTTTTTTTTACTCTAGAGCATATTCTAAAATATCGGTAGGGTGGCGGGCACCACCTATTTTAAATCGACAAACTCATTCCAGAGGCGTAGCAACCCTTCCCGTCAGCCGGGGACAAAACTTTCGATTGCACACCCCCCCCCCCCCCCCTCAAATTTTCGATTTGCACTCAAATTTTCGATTTGCACCCCCCCCCCCCCCGCTCAAACTTCCGATTTTGATCCCCTTTAACCTTTCAATACTGTTTATGACAATTTTTTTGTCTCTGTCGAATAGTGAGAGGCTGGCACATACGAATCGTAAGGCATAAGGTAAGTGACATCTAGGTGGCTATACAACTCTGTATGACATAAGGTAAGCTACATCTAGGTGGCCATACAACCCTGTATGACATAAAGTAAGTGACATCTAAGTGAAGATACCACCCCATAAGGCATAAGGTAAGTAACATCTAGGGGACATTACCTCCCCGACCTTCACCAAGATGGGGGGGGGGGAAATGTCCTACTAGGCAGGGGGGGGGGGGTAATTGACAAGGGGGATTACTCCTGGGGGTAATGATGGGAGAATGTCCAGGGGGGGGGGGATTGACGGGGGGGGGGTAATGCCCTGTTCCCCATCTAGGTGGCAATACAATCCCGTATGACATAAGATAAGTGACATCTAGGTGGCCATACAACCCTGTATGGCATAAGGTAAGTGACATCTAGGTGGCCATACAACCCTGTATGACATAAGATAAGTGACATCTAGGTGGCCATACAACCCTGTATGACATAAGGTAAGTGACATCTAGGTGGCCATAAACCCACAAGACATAAAGTAAATGGCATCTAGGTGGCCATACAACCCTGTATGACATAAAGTAAGTGACATCTAGGTGGCCATACAACCCTGTATGGCATAAGATAAGTGACATCTAGGTGGCCATACAACAATGTATGGCATAAAGTAAGTGACATATTTATCCCATCTTGTCTAATTTGGCCTAATAATGAGTAGCATATGAGTAGCAAGATCTAGCAGCCAAGGAACTTCTATGTAATGGCTAAAGAAACAAAGTTAGTGATTCCAACAAATATGGACCTTTGACCTCTTTGGGCTACTAATGGTTTTTTCCAGTCAACTCAATGTCTTTAACCTCTATTTGGTATAGTTCTCTGTCCCGTAAAGACAACCAATAGAGGTCAAACAGTTGAACAAGATCAGGAATAAAACAAAAACAATTCTAATCTTCATATTATAACCTTTTGGCAATACCTAAACTTTATTAAAAATTTTAATTTTTTGTATTTTGCTGTTTTCATTTTTTGTTAAACCAGGTTAGATCTTTTCTTTTAAATTCTAAGAGCTTACTTTAAAATTGGACAGAGAGGTTAAACCTACAGTTTAAAAAGGGAAAAAAAGTCAAGAGGACTAAGAATAAAACATGTGAAGATATTACCAATGGCTAATTAATAAAGACAGTGCAACACAATGCTAAAAAAAAACAAAAAAAACTCCATGCACATGAGCTAAAGTAGCAAACAGCTGTGAACTAACATAGAACATAGTCATACAGAACCAATAACAACAAAAATACTACTCCAATTGGTAAATACAAGAAGCATGGTACTACTCACAATCAACCATCAAGTCTGAAAATAACATGAATCAGATTTGTTAAAATGTCTTCTGTTATAGGGCAGATGCCAGTTCTACCAACCTACCCACATCATTAATAGGATCACTTCAGAAATTCTTAATAGATGTGCTCTCACTTCTATTTAAAAAAATACAGTCACTACAGCAAGAACATTACAGGAATTGTAATCAAGGCAATAAGAACCAAACAATACTAACATGCAAAAACATGCAAATGTATCAGATAAAACATGTAACAATAGGCTTCCCCCTTGAATTTAGCTGAGTATTCTGGAATATTATATATATATATATATATATATATATATATATATATATATATATATATATATATATATATATATATATATATACTTATACTTATAGATGGACGGTTATATATAAATATATATATATACACAAATATGTATGTGTGTATATATATGTATACAAGCAGACCCGCAGTTGTTTTATTTTCTACTTTTCAGCAATTCATAATTTGTGAATTTGACACTACCAATGCTGCGACTGAAAATATTTTGCTTTAAAACACTATCAGTGGCTCATGAAGGGCGATTATCCTCACCTGGTATTGTAGTATACTTGTTTATACATAAAATAAAATTGTATACCATTGTAATAGAAGTTGCCTGTACATGAGAATCACTGGAAACTTAAAGTTAAACTAGAATTATTTGGTATGCAGCAGGTAAGGGGAAAGCTAATAAATGTTATAGTCACATGCAAGTAGTTCAGGGCTTTGAGCAGCATGTAGGATGACAGAGTCAGCAGACATGATCTCAAACATTGAACATTGGAGCCTGACTGGCAATTGTTTGTCTCTGGGGCAATGGGTGGGTAAACTATGTATTGAGCCAGGCACCAGAGTCAGCAGCTAGCCAAATAGGGATGTATCTAGACTACAGATCTGTAGTAGTTAGGTTAGATATTAGCATTTCTTATTTCAATCATATCTTTGTGGGATTTATTCTAGATGTTTTAACTTTGTTATGAAATTAAACTTTATCATACTGACAGGTGTTTGTTAGATCATATTCCTGTGCTTATTTACAACCTCTTTAGTGACATATTAGAGTTTGTAACTATATATATATATATATATATATATATATATAATTATATATATATATATATATATATATATATATATATAAATATATATATATATATATATATATATAAATATATATATATATATATATATATATATATATATATATATATATATATATATATATATATATATATATATATATATATATATATATATATATATATATGCATAGGGCATTTAAGATGCAATTCACAGCTACAAAAAAATAGGTAGCATTAAATGTAAGCTGTAAATGAATAAAAGACGTAAAAAAGTTGAAAGAAAAAAAAACCAACAGCTGAGAAGCCTGAGTGAGAACTGGACTAATCCACTTGACAAAAGCAGATTGTACATTCACACAAACTTGCAGGCCATAACACACAGACATAACATCTGGAGAAACACATCGTGCCAAGACATTGAGACACATAGACCGTATGACACACACAAGCCAAGAGCACACACTAGTTACAACACATGTTTAAGAGTGTGTTAAACATACCTTCCCACTTGGCAAGCCTAGATCCTTCAGACTTGACATCACCATTTTTTCTGTTTTACCTGATGCAAATGTTCTTGTAATACTGAAATAACAATGTCATGTGCTTACAGCAGCTATTGTACAGACTACGCATGTTGTACAGATGTCTAATAGAAATGTTTAGGATCCTGCTCTCATACTCAATCCAGAGCCAGACGTTTTCCCAAAAGACACTTGTCAGAATACCATTTGCTCAAAGGCCTTTTACCCAAATGGACACTAGGACAAATGCAACTTTGAGGCATTTGTCACATCTATGCAAGTGTCCATTCTGGCAAATGGCCTCTAAGGAAATGGTTGTAGACACCACTAAAACACCGGACATAATATTTTGCTACAGCACTCAGTGATGGCTTACCCACGCACAGGAATCTTGCCACTAGGGTTGACCATACAACAAAGTTTGATCCAACTGAGGAGAGAAAAAATCAGAGTTCTTGAGGGCAAGTGTAGACCCACACAACATTCTCAGATTAAACTATCTTTTCATAGAGTATGGGTGGCGTTATCTTTTAATGAATTTAGAAGTAAGTAAATGAGTCATGTATGATTCTTCTATCTATTATGTATGCTCTCCTATACCTACCATGTATTCTCTCTAATATCTATCATGTATTCACTCTAATATTTAAAATGTATTCTACCAAATATCTATCATGTATTCTCTCTAATATCTATCATGTATTCTCTCTAATATTTATAATGTATTCTACCTAATATCTGTTTTGTTTTGTCTCCAATATGTATCATGTATTTTCTCTGACATCCCCTCTAATATATCTATCTTGTATTTTCTACAATTATGTAATCTACCAATATCTATCTTGTATTCAGTGGCGTAACTAAAATAAAGTCTCCACAGCAAAAAATTACATTTTGGACCTCTATTTATATACTAGCCATAGGTACCCGTTTCACGTGAATTATAGGCCTATATATTTTTACTCATTTGGAACAAATAATTTAAAAAAATAGTTATTGGTCATAACGCAATGTGCTTTACAACATGTTGAACAATATAACTGACAAAGCAAAAAAAATAGCTAAATAGCTAAAAATCTGACACTTTTAAAATAACATAGGCTACTAATACTAATTAGAAAATTAAAACCAATAAAATCTTATTTACATTATTAGTCAACACAACACCATATTATCACACACTGATTAAGAGAATTAAATCATTTGGCTAAAAACCTGGCTCTTCAATGGTCATTATGTTGTTTTTTAAGGTAATTTGTATTAGTATGACAGAAAATTGTATACATTTCATAGCAAACATGTTGATAAGTAGATTTATAAAATCTAGATCTAAATCAAATTTGAATGAAATAGTTCATTTCTTCATATACTAAAATTAGAAGATGATGCCATTAGTGTTGTGTTCTTTTAGTAGTTTAAAAATGTGGCATTTGACGTCATTGTTTGTTGCGTTCTTGTCGCAACAATAAACGCTTTTCCGGTTGCATAATTAAAAATGTGCTTCTACATTCGAATATAGCTTAATTTTTATTATCTTTCTTTAAATAAAATTTAGTTTAAACATAAATTAAAACACATTTAAGTCTGTATCTTTAAGTTCTCCATATATTGTTAAATACTGATCTTTTAGGCTCGGGACATGTGGACAGAGAGAGAGAGAGAAGTGCACATAGGCTTTTATATATGAGGATATATTAATTATTATAGAATTTAAGAGGATATGTGAATTTTTGTATTTAGAAAATAATATCTTTGACAAGAAAAAATTTTTTTTATTGTGTTTAAAATACAATTTTTAATGCCCTATCAATTAAATAATTTTTTCCCAATCTTACACACTCTCTATAAAAAAGTTCAATATCCGTCGTCATATTGTATTTGGCATCATCGGAAAGCTGGATTGCTAAAATATTTGTTAAGCACATTTTCCGCTATCTCGAAAACACCCAAAGCTTACAATCAGCTTTACAATTTACACAGAAATAACCAACTTTTCATTACTTTATTTTCATTTTGCAGTTTTTTAACTCTACAAAGCCTACTATTTTATTTATTATTAATACAATGCCCACCATATTTTCAGTATTTGTTCTTCATATTAAAAAAAAAAACTCTGATGGCTTTCATAGAAAAAGTTTAAGGTAAATAATATGCACATTTTAAAACTTATTTTCATTAAAAAAAAAATGAGTGCAAGTTTTCGTACCTTGTAGAATTCTGACCAGTAGCTCTATCAAAACATTGTCATAACAAAAGTTTTAATCTAGGCCTATACTGAAACATACGCAGTGTAATTCTGATTTCTATAAGTGCATAAATAAAAAAGCCTTAGCATTTTTAAAAGTACCAAAAAATTAAAAATGGTGGAGGTTTTTTCAGGTTTCCTTGACAACTGAAATAGTTTTCATACCTCTTTTTGCTGTTTAATACCTACTTCATGTGACAAATCAGCTAAAAATATTCAAAATGCTTTAGATCTTAAATTGTAAAAAAGAAAAAAAAAACAGCGCATATCCCTTTAAAATGTAATTCTTTGTTAATGGTTGGGGGCCCACTAGAGGATAGTTTAGCCTTTGTTTACATCCTCTACAATATCTATCAACTATTTTCTTTCATTATCAATTGTGTATCTATCAACTATTTTCTTTCATTATCAATTGTGTATCTTCTCAAACATCTAGATTCTTTTCAAATATATATTTTCTCTAACATCTATCATATTTTCAAGTAAACTCACTGTTTTTTGAGCTGAGTCATGGGGCACACATTGTTGGCTTTTGTATTGAGAGTAATTTTGCGCAATCCTTCAAACCAGACCTGTAGATTGATATCAACAATTTAGGAGCATTAAATCAAGTTTTCAACACAAAATATAAAAGACAATTCAGATTAATAGAATATATAACTGTCTCAGTATTTAGGAGGATTTATGTGAGCGTGTGTGTGTGTAAATAAATGTGAACCACCCCCTTGATAAGTTCCTGCCTGCATCACTGAAATTGAGTAGTCTTTTTGTGTGATTAAACAATATCTGAACTGTGAAAATATCTGGTTCATACTTTGGCAACATCAGGATCTCTAGCAATGAGCAGAGTGTATGTAATATTGACCAGGTCTAGGCCACTGCATACTGTGACAGTGCGGGACTCCAGGCTGTGGGGACTCTTGTCTAGTATATCTGCTAGAACTTTGGTATCCTGGAAGAAAGAAGAGTTACACAAAAATAACAGTGGGTATACTCACATGCAGAGGCGCAGCAAGAGCAGGGCGGGTTTGTGTGTGTGTGTGGGTGGAACACACCGGGTGACACCATTTAGGGGGGTGATATCAAGGCAAAAAAATTGCAAAATGTACAGAAGAAAAATGCTATTTGCCAGTTCCATTAATGATTAATTAAAGTTAAATATTAAAGTACAAATAGACATTTATTACATGAGGGTGGGGGTGACAACATGACATATACGTGCTAACTTTAGAGGAAACAATGCTACATCCAACTGTATTATTAACAGACTATAGATAAATATTGTTAATATTAAGTCTGCAGTGATTAAAGCTTATACACATATACACACACACACACACTTTTGTTTCTTGGAAGGGTGACACCGGACCTAGCGATGCCACTGCCCACATGGCTAGATCTTAAGACCATCTATCATGCTAGTTCAGCCTGAGAAATGTTATAAACAGCCCACCAATTTGATACAAGTTTTTCCTTTAGCGAGTTGACAATCTTACTTACACTAATCTTGGGAGCCAAACCAAGCCTAATGTCATTGACTTGAGAACACTCCAAAACCTGGCCTTCCTGAAACAAAAATTAGAGAAGCTCATCTGGCACTACGTCCACCATATGTACTACAACAACCTCAGTTTCTAAACTGGTACCACAGCCTGCTCCTGTGCCCAGATATACTAGCTTACATATAAGTGACCACCCAGTTGGGATGATAAGCTTATGTAAAGATAAAATACTAATGAAACTTTAAAAATAATACAACATTTCAATGTAAAAGCTTATGATAGAAATAATTAGAATGTGTATAGGAATGGTAGGCTACTTACCCTTCCCTCACTCTTCCAGCAAATGAAAAAACCATACTCATCTACCTTGACCATACAAGTAGACTCATACACAGAGTATTCCTAAATGGAGTAGACACATGCTTCATGGATATTTTACAAGATAATATGGCACTTCCAGACATAATTGTCTTACGATCAGATCATTATATTGTGTATGTACACAGTAAATAAGATATAAGCCCGGACTAAACAAACTAAGCTATTTGAAAGATTAATTTTGGAGCTAGACAACTTTTTGGATGTGTGTGTTTGTGGACAAGTTTTTTCATGTGACTGATACTATGAATGAATCATGTGACTGATACAATAAATGAATCATGTGACTGATACTATGAATGAATCATGTGACTGATACTGTGAATGAATCATGTGATTGATACTATGAATGAATCATGTGACTGATACTGTGAATGAATCATGTGACTGATACTATGAATGAATCATGTGACTGATACTATAAATGAATCATGTGACTGATACTATGAATGAATCATGTGACTGATACTATAAATGAATCATGTGACTGATACTATGAATGAATCATGTGAATGATACTGGCATGTAGATGCCACTTGTCTCAAGTGAAATCATATATTAGTAGCGTCAAGTTTCTTTTAGATTATAATCAGGTAGATAAAAAATGTCCAGCACTGACATAGCACTGCAACATTTGAAATTAAGCATAGAGAGCAAATTACTTCATTAAGTATGTATCAGTTTGGAAAGAATAAATATGGTATACCTACTTGTTATTTTATAACATTAAACATTGACTTACTATTAAATTTTTACTATTTTTAATATCAAAAAGTACAAAAGGAAATATTTGTGAAAACTTTTATTCGAAAAAACTTTTAAATGGACTAAAAATTTAAGAAATAAACTAAACTAAAATGAGGTATAAATATTTCTTCAGATTTTACTGTTAGATCTAAGTTTTTTAAAAAATGTGTTTGTTTTCACATTTTGAATGCGGGTAAAAACTTGTTGAGTGCTGACTGTTTGTTTACCTCATCCCAGATGTCAAAAACACAGCCAATCTGTAGGACGTCTGGCACAGGGATCCGCCAGCTGAACTCAAATGGTTTGGCCATCTAAGCTGGGTCTTTACAGCCTGGGGAACAACACTCAAACTCTCATCTACAACCCAAATCTCTAACAACACTCAAACTCACATCTACAACCCAAATCTCAAACAACACTCAAACTCTCATCTACAACCCAAATCTCTAACAACACTCAAACTCACATCTACAACCCAAATCTCAAACAACACTCAAACTCTCATCTACAACCCAAATCTCAAACAACACTCAAACTCTCATCTACAACCCAAATCTCTAACAACACTCAAACTCACATCTACAACCCAAATCTCAAACAACACTCAAACTCTCATCTACAACCCAAATCTCTAACTGAGAATAAAGCTACAACAGATCTTATCATTATTACTGGTGCTAAGGCATAACCAAACTCTCATCTACAACCCAAATCTCTAACTGAGAATAAAGCTACAACAGATCTTATCATTATTACTGGTGCTAAGGCATAACCAAACTCTCATCTACAACCCAAATCTCTAACTGAGAATAAAGCTACAACAGATCTTATCATTATTACTGGTGCTAAGGCATAACCAAACTCTCATCTACAACCCAAATCTCTAACTGAGAATAAAGCTACAACAGATCTTATCATTATTACTGGTGCTAAGGCATAACCAAACTCTCATCTACAACCCAAATCTCTAACTGAGAATAAAGCTACAACAGATCTTATCATTATTACTGGTGCTAAGGCATAACCAAACTCTCATCTACAACCCAAATCTCTAACTGAGAATAAAGCTACAACAGATCTTATCATTATTACTGGTGCTAAGGCATAACCAAACTCTCATCTACAACCCAAATCTCTAACTGAGAATAAAGCTACAACAGATCTTATCATTATTACTGGTGCTAAGGCATAACCAAACTCTCATCTATAACCCAAATCTCAAACTGAGAATAAAGCTACAACAGATATCTTTATAGCTGGTGCTAAAGCATTACCTAATGCAAGGAGACCAGACCTATGAGCAGGCCCTAGAGTGCTGGTATTCTACAACAGTTGATTGATAGAAAAAAACATTTTTCAATTTGTTTATTGATTTGGTTTGTTTGAATATTCATTAACTTTCTTTTTAGCTTTGTGCTGTTATAGAAACTGCAGCTTAGTTATCTCTCTTCTATTGTATTGTTCTGCACAAATCAAATAGGTAAACCATTTAAATAAAAAAGATTGCCTTAATAAAACTTCTAGGTGTTAAAGATTAATGTAGGCATGTATTATTGGTGTTCAGTAAGTGAACATATAAAACATGACGTTTTTAGACTATTGAAAACTTTAATTGTTGATTTTGCTTAAGGTGTCATCCATAAATGACATCACATTTTAAAATAATTTTTTCCCTCACCCTCCCTATGGTCACACATTTTTAAATTCGTTTTCTAATGCTTTTTTATAATGCAAAAGTGTGACGTCACACCATCTAAACCCCTCCCACTAATCACACACCATCACAAAATTACGGGACCCCCCTCCCCTACGAGTGTGAAGTCATTTATGGATGACCCCTCTCCCCCCCCCCCCCCCCCATCCCCAGAGAAAGAAAAATGTCTGACGGAAACCTTGTCTATATAATATATCTATTAGTTTATTGATTATTTTATTATTTTTATTTTTATAATATTATTACAATATTATTCATTATTATTAATCTATGTAGTTATGTAGCCTAATATTATAATATTATTGTATTATCATTATGATTAGAGTTTAGTCTAGATTATAGATAGACAGGCCTACTTTCAATAGCTGATAGACTCAATCTCAACTCTCTACAGACCATGGCCTATAGATCTAGAATTATTTTAAGCACTTTATAAAAAATATAATCAATTAGTAAGTTATTATTAGTAGACGAATTCGTTAGAGTAGTGAGCAGAGTAGAGTGATAGTGAAGTTAACATTATTTTTAAAAAATGTATTATGAACAAAGAAAGAAAATAAAATTGGTTTAAAATTATTAGGCCCTATCTAGATCTATATAGAATAATATAGATCTAGATCTAGAGTATTCTAGAGTCTAGTATTACAATTTAGTAATTTACATTACAATAAAATTACATATAATTAATTAAATATAGTAGATAGATCTAGATTCTATATCTAAAATCTAAATCTACCAACGAGCTAATAATTAACGGATTAGCGAAAAAAGCAAGTGCATAATACAGTGATAAGGTTGTTAGGACCTAGAATCTATACTCTAGCCTAAACGAGACATTATTGTAGCCCTACTGTTATTTTCAAATTTTCACTATCGTCTGCTGCAAGCAACAACAGCGATTGATTGATTTCTAAAGTGTAGCCTTTGAATTCGTCAAGCGTGGATCTAAGCCTTGAAGTTGTTATGCATCTTTAATAGTGAAACAACAGCAGGCAAAAACACACCTTACTGCCTGCACAAAGCTAACCGAAATCACATTGTGTGCTCATTTTCAGGTCGTAGGTTGGATAGTTGTAGAACACTCATTTTGCATTTCAGCCGGCCATTTTGTTCTCACGGGTAGCACAGTGTTGACATCACTGTCCAATCGGATTCGGTTATTTCTTCACGTGATCGAACGAATGCATTAAGCGCGTGAGTAAATATTACTAAAGTGTGAGTAATTCTCCACGCGCTTTGTCCTTCTTCCTTAATTACCTATGTAAAACAGTAACTTTTTTTTAAACATATATAAATGTTATTATCTATTAAATATTGCGCTAAGTTTTGTCAAAAGGCCTAGAAGTAAATAATTTTTTTCGACTACACGTTAGTATCTGCCAAGGGCTGGTAACCCATTAAATCTTCTGGGAAACATTTTGAAAGTAGGTAATGCGCTCCCTTACTTAAACATAATATAATTAACACATAACACTTAGTTTAATTAAAATAGACTATAGATCTAGAAAAAGTTCTCTAGATTAATTTTTTTGATGTAAATGAATTGACCACAAAGGTATATTTTATATGATATGTATTTTATTATTGTAAATGACATGAGAACGAAGGTATAGTTTTTAGTTATCTTTTATTAATGTCAATGATATAAGCAAATGTGTATAGTTATAGAAGTAATGTATTAGTGTAATTGAGACACAAGCATTTAGGTGTAAGCGGGTCAGGTCACGTGGGGTCATAAAAAAATGGACATGTGCCAACTTTATGACAGCATCCTGCGCTAGCTAAAAGGTGACGTGTCTTGGGTCGATGAATGACGTCATTCACGTTGCAGAGCCTAAACAAAGAGGGCACAAATGAGGTCACCAAACGAATTGTTTTCACCTCTGGTCAGGGGCGGCGACCTACTTCAAGTGCCAATGAGTACAAGATCTCTGAAAGAAAACCGCAGAAGCCAAGCTGGACGTCCTATCTTAGCTGCCCTCTAGCAGACCTGCTGCACACAGCAAGAGGTTTGATTGCGCTTTTTTAATTCAGCTTTTGGCAACTGTTGTTTACATTGGCTGACAGAGCCGCAGTTAACCAATCAAATAACGGCACAGAGCCACGCTGGGAGATGCTGGTTGCAGACCCCTGTCAGGGGTTGGACAAGGCGAGGGAACGGGTTGCAAGGGGGGGGGGGGGAGAGACGACACATATTAGTAAACAATTAACAAAGCCGGAAACAAACACAAATTTCGTGAGGCAAACATTGCGAGCCTAGAGTGAAGGATGTTTAAAGGATTGAGCTAGATCTCTATTTTTTGTTTGAAATGAACAAGATCAAAATATGCTGGAGCAGTTCTAACGATGGCGTGGGATATCACTCGCGTTCAAATCAAGTGACGTCAAATGCCTACTAAAGCAAGCGCAGGGTTTCTTCCAGGCACCCCCCCCCCCCCACCGGACAAAAAAGTCTGGAAGAAACACTGTGCAAGCGTGTGACGTCACGCGTGATCTCAAGTTGTAGTGTGACGTCACGCGTGAGTCCATCACGTGACTTCTGGCCTATGCGACAGACATGAGAGCCAAACTTTGCCTCTTGCTCAGGACCGGTTGACCAGTCGTTAGGGACACCCATGCAGCCGAGTCCGCGAACTTGACCTTTAACCCCACGTGACCCGCATTCACCTGAGTTTGGGTCAAGGTTAAGTTACTTTCACTGTAGCTGAGGTCAAAGCTGCAGCCTCGGTAGTCCAGACCAGTAAACGTGACCTCTGTTGTCCTTGTGATCAGAACTGGGTCAAAGGTCAGATGGTCGTCATAAATGCGCGCGCCGCCATAGCCAAAGAGGACGAGTTGCAAGTAGCCTCCCATGCCGGTGAGGAAGTTGGTAGCGCCGTCACCATCCGAGTTCTCAGACCACACCTAGGTTGGTGGAGAGTACAAGCAGCGTTAGAGAGTTCTCAGACCACACCTAGGTTGGTGGAGAGTACAAGCAGCGTTAGAGAGTTCTCAGACCACACCTAGGTTGGTGGAGAGTACAAGCAGCGTTAGAGAGGCACGGACTCCTTTGTAATGGCTGCAAGGTTAGCAGTTTAAAATAAGGGCTAGCCTACCAGCTGGAATGTTAGCAGTTTAAAATAAGGGCTAGCCTACCAGCTGGAATGTTAGCAGTTTAAAATAAGGGCTAGCATACCAGAAATGGTTGCAAGGTTAGCAGTTTAAAATCTAGCCTACCAGAAATGGCTGGAAAGTTAGCAGTTTAAAATCTAGCCTATCAGAAATGGCTGGATAGTTAGCAGTTTAAAATCTAGCCTATCAGAAATGGCTGGAAAGTTAGCAGTTTAAAATCTAGCCTACCAGAAATGGCTGGAAAGTTAGCAGTTTAAAATCTAGCCTACCAGAAATGGCTGGAAAGTTAGCAGTTTAAAATCTAGCCTACCAGAAATGGCTGGAAAGTTAGCAGTTTAAAATCTAGCCTACCAGAAATGGCTGCTGAGCGTTCAAGACGGCACGGTCGTAGAGCTGCGAGGCTTTGGATTGGTTGCCGAGCTGTAACCAGCCGAGCAGAAACATGCCCCACGTCATGGCAGGGGCGGGGCCGACTGGTGTACTCTGAGAACAACACACACCCACAATCAGTAGCAATAAATATATAAATATAAACACAAGTTCAGGGGCGTCACGAGGGGGGGGTGGTCCCTGGACCGCACATGTTGGCACCATTTTGGGGGGTGGGGGGGGGGGGGGTAACACCAATGCATAAAAAAAAAAGAAAAAAATTACAGAGGAAAAAAGTTTTTTGTCAGTCAAATCAATGGTTAATTAGATAAATAGTCTTCTAATTGACGTTCCCAGGGGGGGGGGGGGGGGAGCATATGAAGGAATAGTGTGGTCAGTACTATGTCCAGCCGCCTTTCCCTAACACGAGCTATGGTACACGTCAAGTCTGGGTGGACTCAGTGACCTTCTATTCACTTAAACTCGGATTAGAAGTTTAGCGCTCTACTGCTAGACCACACCACTACTGCCTCCGACACAATTTCCCTCTGCCCACTCCCTGCCCCACTCTGCCCCTCCCTACCCCACTCTGCCCCCTTCACACCCCCAGTCTACCTCGCCCCTTCCTCCACCCTCAGCACTGACCAACTAGCCAGCGTGTGATGTTCACTGACCAACTAGCCAGCGTGTGATGTTCACTGACCAACTAGCCAGCGTGTGATGTTCACTGACCAACTAGCCAGCGTGTGATGTTCACTGACCAACTAGCCAGCGTGTGATGTTCACTGACCAACTAGCCAGCGTGTGATGTTCACTGACCAACTAGCCAGCGTGTGATGTTCACTGACCAACTGGCCAGCGTGTGATGTTCACTGACCAACTGGCCAGCGTGTGATGTTCACTGACCAACTAGCCAGCGTGTGATGTTCAGACCAACTGGCCAGCGTGTGATGTTCACTGACCGCCTCGTATATCGTCAGATCGTTTTTCCGCGTGGAAGGCGCCATGTCACGCATGAGCGGGAAGTCGAGCAACACGACGTCTGCCTGCTTGGTGCGGGTCGTCGGCTGGTAGCCCTCAAACTCTGGGTGGTAGTCAAGGTCAGGGTCGTACGGGATCCGCAGGTTCTTGCTGATGTCAGCCCAGGTTTGATTAGCTGGCTGTCAACAAAAATATAAGAAAACAGGGCTGTCAACAAAAATATAAGACAACAAAAATGTCAACAAAAACATTAGACAACAAGGCTGTTAAAAAAAAAAACATCAGACAACACAACTGTCAACAAAAAACATTAGACAACAAGGCTGTTAAAAAAAAAACATCAGACAACACAACTGTCAACAAAAAACATTAGACAACAAGGCTGTTAAAAAAAAACAACATCAGACAACACAACTGTCAAAAAAAACATATTTATTGGAAAACAAAGTTGACACAGCGCCACCTACCTTGCCAAAGACCTGGGCCAGCGTGTTCGCGAATGCCAAGTTGATTGAGGCGATGCTGTTGGTGTAGGCGGAGTCGTTGACAGGGTAGTTGTACTCATCTGGTGGCATCACACCTGCAGGTAGACAGGGCTGTCACTAGGTCACGCCTGTACAGGGCTGTCACTAGGTCACACCTGTACAGGGCTGTCACTAGGTCACACCTGCAGGTAGACAGGGCTGTCACTAGGTCACGCCTGTACAGGGCTGTCACTAGGTCACACCTGTACAGGGCTGTCACTAGGTCACACCTGTACAGGGCTGTCACTAGGTCACTAGGTCACACCTGTACAGGGCTGTCACTAGGTCACTAGGTCACACCTGTACAGGGCTGTCACTAGGTCACACCTGTACAGGGCTGTCACTAGGTCACTAGGTCACGCATGTACAAAGCTGTCACTAGGTCACACCTGTACAGGGCTGTCACTAGGTCACACCTGTACAGGGCTGTCACTAGGTCACACCTGTACAGGGCTGTCACTAGGTCACTAGGTCACACCTGTACAGGGCTGTCACTAGGTCACACCTGTACAGGGCTGTCACTAGGTCACACCTGTACAGGGCTGTCACTAGGTCACACCTGTACAGGGCTGTCACTAGGTCACACCTGTACAGGGTTGTCACTAGGTCACACCTGTACAGGGATGTCACTAGGTCACTAGGTCACACCTGTACAGGGCTGTCACTAGGTCACACCTGTACAGGGCTGTCACTAGGTCACACCTGTACAGGGATGTCACTAGGTCACTAGGTCACACCTGTACAGGGCTGTCACTAGGTCACGCCTGTACAGGGCTGTCACTAGGTCACACCTGTACAGGGCTGTCACTAGGTCACACCTGTACAGGGCTGTCACTAGGTCACACCTGTACAGGGCTGCCCTTACCACAACACCTAGCCGACCAGCTGGTGCACGTGCATGCCACTCACCCTGAATGCTGTAAGTGTGGTCAGGGTTCTGGGTCACCCTGGAGCTCCAGAACTTGGCCGTTTCCCAGACAACTTCCGCCCCACGTGACATCAGATCCTTGTCCTGCGTCAGCTGCCAGAACTGACGTAACATCACCGTGACGTCACCGTTAATGTGAATTTCCATCTCGCCGTAGGGCTCGGCGGGACACGTCTCTAGTCCTAGTAGATACATCAAGGCGACGTCAATGTCCTGTAGGACATGTGCTACATTCGTGGGACGTCAATGTCCTGTAGGACATGTACTACGTTCGTGGGACGTCAATGTCCTGTAGGACATGTACTACGTTCGTGGGACGTCAATGTCCTGTAGGACATGTACTACGTTCGTGGGACGTCAATGTCCTGTAGGACATGTGCTACATTCGTGGGACGTCAATGTCCTGTAGGATATGTACTACGTTCGTGGGACGTCAATGTCCTGTAGGACATGTGCTACATTCGTGGGACGTCAATGTCCTGTAGGACATGTACTAAATCAAGGGGACGTCAATATCCTGTAGGACATGTACTAAATCAAGGGGACGTCAATGTCCTAATAGATACATGGGCTACATCAAGGGGAGACACGACATCTAAACAGAGTGGGATATGACAGAGAGGACATAGAGAGAGGACAGAGAGGATAGAGAGAGAGGTATATAGAGAGAGGACAGAGAGAGTAGAGAGAGAGGTATATAGAGAGAGGACAGAGAGAGGTATATAGAGAGAGGACAGAGAGAGAGGTATATAGAGAGGACAGAGAGAGAGGTATATAGAGAGAGGACAGAGAGAGGTATATAGAGAGAGAGGACAGAGAGGACATAGAGAGAGGTATATAGAGAGAGGACAGAGAGAGGTATATATAGAGAGGACAGAGATGACATATAGAGAGGTATATAGAGAGAGGACAGAGAGAGTAGAGAGAGAGGTATATAGAGAGAGGACAGAGAGAGGTATATAGAGAGAGGACATAGAGAGAGGTATATAGAGAGAGGACAGAGAGAGTAGAGAGAGAAGTATATAGAGAGAGGACAGAGAGAGGTATATAGAGAGAGGACAGAGAGAGAGGTATATAGAGAGGACAGAGAGAGAGGTATATAGAGAGAGGACAGAGAGAGGTATATAGAGAGAGGACAGAGAGGACATAGAGAGAGGTATATAGAGAGAGGACAGAGAGAGGTATATATAGAGAGGACAGAGATGACATAGAGAGAGGTATATAGAGAGAGGACAGAGAGAGGTATATAGAGAGAGGACATAGAGAGAGGTATATAGAGAGAGGACAGAGAGAGGTATATATAGAGAGGACAGAGATGACATAGAGAGAGGTATATAGAGAGAGGACAGAGAGAGTAGAGAGAGAGGTATATAGAGAGAGGACAGAGAGAGGTATATAGAGAGAGGACATAGAGAGAGGTATATAGAGAGGACAGAGAGAGAGAGGTATATAGAGAGAGGACAGAGAGAGGTATATAGAGAGAGGACATAGAGAGAGGTATATAGAGAGGACAGAGAGAGAGGTATATAGAGAGAGGACAGAGAGAGTAGAGAGAGAGGTATATAGAGAGAGGACAGAGAGAGGTATATATAGAGAGGACAGAGATGACATAGAGAGAGGTATATAGAGAGAGGACAGAGAGAGTAGAGAGAGAGGTATATAGAGAGAGGACAGAGAGAGTAGAGAGAGAGGTATATAGAGAGAGGACAGAGATATGTATATAGAGAGAGGACAGAGAGAGTAGAGAGAGAGGTATATAGAGAGAGGACAGAGATAGGTATATAGAGAGAGGACATAGAGAGAGGTATAGAGAGAGAGGACAGAGAGAGTAGAGAGAGAGAGGTATATAGAGAGAGGACAGAGAGAGGTATATAGAGAGAGGACAGAGAGAGAGGTATATAGAGAGGACAGAGAGAGAGGTATATAGAGAGAGGACAGAGAGAGGTATATAGAGAGGACAGAGAGAGTAGAGAGAGAGGTATATAGAGAGAGGACAGAGAGAGGTATATAGAGAGAGGACAGAGAGGACATAGAGAGAGGTATATAGAGAGAGGACATAGAGAGGACAGAGAGAGGACAGAGAGAGGTAGAGAGAGAGAGGACAGAGAGGACAGAGAGAGGTAGAGAGAGGACAGAGAGAGGTAGAGAGAGAGGACATAGAGAGAGGTAGAGAGAGAGGACAGAGAGAGGTAGAGAGAGAGGACATAGAGAGAGGTAGAGAGAGGACAGAGAGAGGTAGAGAGAGAGTAGAGAGTTGAGCCTGAGACCTGTGAAGGCCGACTCCCAAGGATAGCGCGCCCCCTGGTAGCCCGTCCTCTGGGCCAGCAGCCGGGCACTGTCCAGCGTCTTGAGCCGCGTCTCCGTGATGGTGCGGGCTAGGTCGGCGTGGAGCAGGGCGATTGGCGGGAACATCCACGTGTCTTGGTCCCAGAACACGTGACCGTTGTAGTCCTGACGACATGATACCGAGGTTAGAAGATGTCTGACATCTCAAGGCTGCACGGAGAGTTTCTTGCTCACGTTGATGAGCTTTTGTTTCTCATGTTTCGCTGTGTTTTGTCATCTGTTGTTGTTATGTTTGTGATGTTTATTTTATGTTTTTGAGGTTGGGTTGTATTTGTGTGATAATGTGTTGAGTGGCCCACTGAATCTGATGCTGTGGATACTGTGGTGTGTCATTAGTTGAATGCTGTGGATACTGTAGTGTGTCATTAATTGAATGCTGTGGATACTGTGGTGTGTCATTAGTTGAATGCTGTGGATACTGTGGTGTGTCATTAGTTGAATGCTGTGGATACTGTGGTGTGTCATTAATTGAATGCTGTGGATACTGTGGTGTGTCATTAGTTGAATGCTGTGGATACTGTGGTGTGTCATTAGTTGAATGCTGTGGATACTGTGGTGTGTCATTAGTTGAATGCTGTGGATACTGTGGTGTGTCATTAGTTGAATGCTGTGGATACTGTGGTGTGTCATTAGTTGAATGCTGTGGATACTGTGGTGTGTCATTAGTTGAATGATGTGGATACTGTGGTGTGTCATGTGACTCACCCTGCCTGCCACACCGTGAGCGAGACCCCCGGGAGACAGGCCAATGAACGGCCAGTCTGGTCGGCTTCCATTGAAGGGGAGAGAACTGAGGATGTAGTACAAGCTGGCGTAGTTGAGGCGTGCCACGCTGACGTCCCCTTTGGTGTCTATACGGCCATTGGTCCACACCTTGGTCCACTCACTCACGTGATTAGCCAGTAGAGTTCCCTGGGCAAACTGGGAGAGGGCTGGAACAAAAACAGGCCGTTTATATATTCGTGCAGGTATTGGTGGAACCAATGTCCCGAGTGTTGGGACCAATGTCCTGAGTGTTGGGACCAATGTCCCGAGTGTTCGGACCAATGTCCCAAACCTACTTACCTTGATCAAAAGCCGCCTGCACGATCTCCTTTTTAACGTCGATGGCAGTCAGGTGTAGCAAGGTCATTGAACTAACCCCAGGGGTCAAGGTCACTGTTGGCTGAAAGATAGGATGCCAACACAGATTTTAACAATTATGGTCTACTGACCAACCTAAAGATCACAATACCAGAGCAAAGGTCATCTGACCCACCTAAAGATCACAATACCAACCTAAAGATCACAACACCAGCCCAGAAATAACCACCCAGCAAGCGGCACCTACCGGAAGGTCGGCTGTAGATTTGATGTAAAAGTCTGTTGGGGGAGCTATCTCAGGGTACTCAGCCTCCAGTGTCTGGCCATGCTGAAATCTGGGCATTGAAGGGTCACGTGATCACTCGTTGACCACACCAACCACACCAGTTGACCACACCAACCACACCAGTTGACCACACCAACCACACCAGTTGACCACACCAGTTGACCACACCAGTTGACCACACCAGTTGACCACACCAACCACACCAGTTGACCACACCAACCACACCAGTTGACCACACCAACCACACCAACCACACCAGTAGACCACATCAGTTGACCACACCCACCACACCAGTTGACCACACCAACCACACCAGTTGACCACACCAGTTGACCACACCAGTTGACCACACCAGTTGACCACACCAACCACACCAGTTGACCACACCAACCACACCAGTTGACCACAACAACCACACCAGCTGACCACAACAACCACACCAGTTGACCACACCAACCACACCAACCACACCAGTAGACCACATCAGTTGACCACACCCACCACACCAGTTGACCACACCAACCACACCAACCACACCAACCACACCAGCTGACCACACCAACCACACCAGCTGACCACACCAACCACACCAGCTGACCACACCAACTACACCAGCTGACCACACCAACCACACCAGCTGACCACAACAACCACACCAGCTGACCACACCAACCACACCAGTTGACCACACCAACCACACCAGTTGACCACACCAACCACACCAACTACACCAACCACACCAGCTGACCACAACAACCACACCAGTTGACCACACCAACCACACCAGCTGACCACACCAACCACACCAGCTGACCACACCAACCACACCAGCTGACCACACCAACCACACCAGTTGACCACACCAACCACACCAGTTGACCACACCAACCACACCAGTTGACCACACCAACCACACCAACCACACCAGTAGACCACATCAGTTGACCACACCCACCACACCAGTTGACCACACCAACCACACCAGTTGACCACACCAGTTGACCACACCAGTTGACCACACCAGTTGACCACACCAACCACACCAGTTGACCACACCAACCACACCAGTTGACCACACCAGTTGACCACACCAGTTGACCACACCAGTTGACCACACCAACCACACCAGTTGACCACACCAACCACACCAGTTGACCACACCAACCACACCAACCACACCAGTAGACCACATCAGTTGACCACACCCACCACACCAGTTGACCACACCAACCACACCAGTTGACCACACCAGTTGACCACACCAGTTGACCACACCAGTTGACCACACCAACCACACCAGTTGACCACACCAACCACACCAGTTGACCACAACAACCACACCAGCTGACCACAACAACCACACCAGTTGACCACACCAACCACACCAACCACACCAGTAGACCACATCAGTTGACCACACCCACCACACCAGTTGACCACACCAACCACACCAACCACACCAACCACACCAGCTGACCACACCAACCACACCAGCTGACCACACCAACCACACCAGCTGACCACACCAACTACACCAGCTGACCACACCAACCACACCAGCTGACCACAACAACCACACCAGCTGACCACACCAACCACACCAGTTGACCACACCAACCACACCAGTTGACCACACCAACCACACCAACTACACCAACCACACCAGCTGACCACAACAACCACACCAGTTGACCACACCAACCACACCAGCTGACCACACCAACCACACCAGCTGACCACACCAACCACACCAGCTGACCACACCAACCACACCAGTTGACCACACCAACCACACCAGTTGACCACACCAACCACACCAGTTGACCACAACAACCACACCAGCTGACCACAACAACCACACCAGTTGACCACACCAACCACACCAACCACACCAGTAGACCACATCAGTTGACCACACCCACCACACCAGTTGACCACACCAACCACACCAACCACACCAACCACACCAGCTGACCACACCAACCACACCAGCTGACCACACCAACCACACCAGCTGACCACACCAACTACACCAGCTGACCACACCAACCACACCAGCTGACCACAACAACCACACCAGCTGACCACACCAACCACACCAGTTGACCACACCAACCACACCAGTTGACCACACCAACCACACCAACTACACCAACCACACCAGCTGACCACAACAACCACACCAGTTGACCACACCAACCACACCAGCTGACCACACCAACCACACCAGCTGACCACACCAACCACACCAGCTGACCACACCAACCACACCAGTTGACCACACCAACCACACCAGTTGACCACACCAACCACACCAGTTGACCACAACAACCACACCAGCTGACCACAACAACCACACCAGTTGACCACACCAACCACACCAACCACACCAGTAGACCACATCAGTTGACCACACCCACCACACCAGTTGACCACACCAACCACACCAACCACACCAACCACACCAGCTGACCACACCAACCACACCAGCTGACCACACCAACCACACCAGCTGACCACACCAACTACACCAGCTGACCACACCAACCACACCAGCTGACCACAACAACCACACCAGCTGACCACACCAACCACACCAGTTGACCACACCAACCACACCAGTTGACCACACCAACCACACCAACTACACCAACCACACCAGCTGACCACAACAACCACACCAGTTGACCACACCAACCACACCAGCTGACCACACCAACCACACCAGCTGACCACACCAACCACACCAGCTGACCACACCAACCACACCAGATGACCACACCAACTACACCAGCTGACCACACCAACCACACCAGCTGGCCACAACAACCACACCAGCTGACCACAACAACCACACCAGCTGACCACACCAACCACACCAACTACACCAACCACACCAGCTGACCACAACAACCACACCAGTTGACCACACCAACCACACCAGCTGACCACACCAACCACACCAGCTGACCACACCAACCACACCAGCTGACCACAACAACCACACCAGCTGACCACAACAACCACACCAGCTGACCACAACAACCACACCAGTTGACCACACCAACCACACCAGCTGACCACACCAACCACACCAGTTGACCACAACAACCACACCAGCTGACCACACCAACCACACCAGCTGACCACACCAACCACACCAGCTGACCACAACAACCACACCAGTTGACCACACCAACCACACCAGCTGACCACAACAACCACACCAGCTGACCACACCAACCACACCAGCTGACCACACCAACCACACCAGCTGACCACAACAACCACACCAGCTGACCACAACAACCACACCAGTTGACCACACGAACCACACCAGCTGACCACACCAACCACACCAGCTGACCACAACAACCACACCAGCTAACCACAACAACCACACCAGTTGACCACACCAACCACACCAGCTGACCACACCAACCACACCAGTTGACCACACCAACCACACCAGTTGACCACACCAACCACACCAGTTGACCACACCAACCACACCAGTTGACCACACCAACCACACCAACTACACCAACCACACCAGCTGACCACACCAACCACACCAGCTGACCACACCAACCACACCAGTTGACCACAACAACCACACCAGCTGACCACACCAACCACACCAGCTGACCACAACAACCACACCAGTTGACCACACCAACCACACCAGCTGACCACACCAACCACACCAGCTGACCACACCAACCACACCAGTTGACCACACCAACCACACCAGTTGACCACACCAACCACACCAGTTGACCACACCAACCACACCAGTTGACCACACCAACCACACCAGTTGACCACACCAACCACACCAGTTGACCACACCAACCACACCAGCTGACCACACCATCTACACCAGTTGACCACACCAACCACACCAGTTGACCACACCAACCACACCAGTTGACCACACCAACCACACCAGCTGACCACAACAACCACACCAGTTGACCACACCAACCACACCAACTACACCAACCACACCAGCTGACCACACCAACTATACAAGTTGACCACACCAACCACACCAGTTGACCACACCAACCACACCAGTTGACCACACCAACCACACCAACCACACCAGCTGACCACACCAACGACACCAGTTGACCACACCAACCACACCAGTTGACCACAACAACCACGAATTGACCAACCCAGGTGTGTCGTTGAGAAACTTAACGTCATCACTTGGCTGTCCTGTGTTCAAGTGTGTTGTCACCGTCACTTCCTGTGTGACGTCATCCCGGGACAAGACAAGTTCGTTGACCAGAACAGCCGTGAGCTGACGATGTGCGTAGGTCCGTAGCGTGATGTCGACCCCCGGGGCTGTGTAGGACTCACTGAAGATAGCTGGGGTTTGTTTGGTTCAATTACCCGTGGGCCATATAGCTGGGGTTTGTTTGGTTCAATTACCCGTGGGCCATATAGCTGGGGTTTGTTTGGTTCAATTACCCGTGGGCCATATAGCTGGGGTTTGTTTGGTTCAATTACCCGTGGGCCATATAGCTGAGGTTTGTTTGGTTCAATTACCCGTGGGCCATATAGCTGGGGTTTGTTTGGTTCAATTACCCGTGGGCCATATAGCTGAGGTTTGTTTGGTTCAATTACCCGTGGGCCATATAGCTGGGGTTTGTTTGGTTCAATTACCCGTGGGCCATATAGCTGGGGTTTGTTTGGTTCAATTACCCGTGGGCCATATAGCTGAGGTTTGTTTGGTTCAATTACCCGTGGGCCATATAGCTGGGGTTTGTTTGGTTCAATTACCCGTGGGCCATATAGCTGGGGTTTGTTTGGTTCAATTACCCGTGGGCCATATAGCTGAGGTTTGTTTGGTTCAATTACCCGTGGGCCATATAGCTGGGGTTTGTTTGGTTCAATTACCCGTGGGCCATATAGCTGAGGTTTGTTTGGTTCAATTACCCGTGGGCCATATAGCTGGGGTTTGTTTGGTTCAATTACCCGTGGGCCATATAGCTGGGGTTTGTTTGGTTCAATTACCCGTGGGCCATATAGCTGGCGTTTGTTTGGTTCAATTACCCGTGGGCCATATAGCTGGCGTTTGTTTGGTTCAATTACCCGTGGGCCATATAGCTGGGGTTTGTTTGGTTCAATTACCCGTGGGCCATATAGCTGGGGTTTGTTTGGTTCAATTACCCGTGGGCCATATAGCTGGGGTTTGTTTGGTTCAATTACCCGTGGGCCATATAGCTGGGGTTTGTTTGGTTCAATTACCCGTGGGGTATGGACATTTCTATAGATTTTCTATAGATAATTTTATTATCCTCTGACTAGACCCACCCCTAACCTCTTCCTACATGATCACCTCCACTACCCCCCCCCCACCCACGTGACCGCCCCACGTGACCGCCCCACATGAACGACCCCCCCCATGCTTACCTCTGCCCACGTCCAGACTGTAGCTGCGTGTGAGCCCCGTGGGTCGGGCCGGGGTGAGGCTGTAGCCGACGGGTGAGGCGAGCCTGGCCCTGTGGCTGGTGATGTTGTGGCCGTTGTACAGACCGTTCATGCAGATGGTGTCGCTCTGTACCACGGTAGCCACGTGACCGTTGCCCACCTCGGGGTAGTAGTCGCCTCGCTTCGGCATGCTGGGGAGGGGGACAACTTGTTAGAAGACTCAGTACACCAGCACACCAATGGTGTGTTGTACCACACCAGCACACCAATGGTGTGTTGTACCACACCAGCACACCAATGGTGTGTTGTACCACACCAGCACACCAATGGTGTGTTGTACTACACCAGCACACCAATGGTGTGTTGTACCACACCAGCACACCAATGGTGTGTTGTACTACACCAGTACACCAAAAACGTACTCAGCACTTGTGAAAACAGTGGCATCTTCGGGCAGGGGGGTGGCAGGCAGGGGCGAGTGGCCCAGCTTCCAGATCTGTGGACAACAGACAGGTGTCTTAGTACAGGTGTCTTAGTACAGGTGTCTTAGTACAGGTGTCTTAGTACAGGTGTCTTAGTACAGGTGTCTTAGTACAAGTGTCTTGGTACAGGTGTCTTGGTACAGGTGTCTTGGTACAGGTGTCTTAGTACAGGTGTCTTAGTACAGGTGTCTTAGTACAGGTGTCTTAGTACAAGTGTCTTGGTACAGGTGTCTTGGTACAGGTGTCTTGGTACAGGTGTCTTAGTACAGGTGTCTTAGTACAGGTGTCTTAGTACAGGTGTCTTAGTACAGGTGTCTTAGTACAGGTGTCTTAGTACAGGTGTCTTAGTACAGGTGTCTTAGTACAGGTGTCTTAGTACAGGTGTCTTAGTACAGGTGTCTTAGTACAAGTGTCTTGGTACAGGTGTCTTGGTACAGGTGTCTTGGTACAGGTGTCTTAGTACAGGTGTCTTAGTACAGGTGTCTTAGTACAGGTGTCTTAGTACAGGTGTCTTAGTACAGGTGTCTTAGTACAGGTGTCTTAGTACAGGTGTCTTGTGGGGGGGGGGGGGGGGGAGGGGGGTTTGTGTCGGTTGAGTTACCTGAGCAGCAGGAGCGTCAGGCAAGAGAGCGCCAAATGCATGCAGGTTGTTGTATACTACGTCACCAGTTCCTGTGGTCCACGTCTCTCCCATCAAGACGGTCACCAGTAAAATAGAGGAGCAGACGACAGAGAGCAGCATGGCCAGTAGGGCTGACGTCATTACAGGACAACACACTGGGAACGTTAGTCAGCAGGTATAGCTACACGGCTGACACGGCTAGCTACACGGCTGACACGGCTAGCTACACGGCTAGCTACACGGTTAGCTACACGCCTGACACGGCTAGCTACACGGCTAGCTACACGGCTAGCTACACGACTAGCTACACGGCTAGCTACACGCCTGACACGGCTAGCTACACGGCTAGCTACACGCCTGACACGGCTAGCTACACGCCTGACACGGCTAGCTACACGGCTAGCTACACGGCTAGCTACACGACTAGCTACACGGCTAGCTACACGCCTGACACGGCTAGCTACACGGCTAGCTACACGCCTGACACGGCTAGCTACACGCCTGACACGGCTAGCTACACGGCTAGCTACACGCCTGACACGACTAGTTACACGCCTGACACGGCTGACACGGCTGACACGGCTAGCTACACGCCTGACACGGCTAGCTACACGCCTGACACGGCTAGCTACACGCCTGACACGGCTGACACGGCTAGCTACACGCCTGACACGGCTAGCTACACGCCTGACACGGCTAGCTACACTGCTAGCTACACGCCTGACACGGCTAGCTACATGGCTAGCTACACGAGTGTAGGGGAAAAAAGTCACAGTAAAAAATAAACCGGGAGCGATCTCCCCTAAACTTTCTCGAATATTCTTATATATAAAAAAAGGGGATGGGAACTCGGGATATAGACATGAATTTTAATCCATTTTAAATACTTAATTAAACTTTTTAAAATAGAATAAAATCTCGTAAAAAAAAGAATTGCACACCTGTGAACGCCGAATAAAATTTACATGCGTTTTTTTTTTTTAGAAATCGGAAATAGCGTAAATGTTGTTTTTTTTTGCACGATTACAAGACTTTCTCTATATAGGGCCTACTTCGTATAAATAATCCGGGAGTGACTGATCTCCCCTAAACTTTCTCGAATATTCTATATAAAACTACGAGGGATGGCAACTCAGGACATAGACAATATTTGTAATCCATTTTTAATTACTTAAACTTTTTATAATAGAATGGAATCTAGTTAAAAAAAAAAGAATTGCACACCAAGTGAACGCCTAATAAAATGAGCATAATAGTGCGGGATATTATTAGTACTTTATAAATTTACGTGCGTTTTTTTGAGAAATCGGAAATAGCGTAAATTAGTACTTCCGGTGAACGGAAATTACTCAAAATTTGAAAGAAGGTTGAGAATTAGATCTTTTACTTACATGTGAAATTTCATTTATCTATCTGAAATAGTACTTAAGTTGTAGGCTTTTTAAAAATTCAATATAGAAAAAGTACCACTTCCGGTTATCGGAAATCGCTTAAAAGTTGATCAGGATCTACGATTTTTATAAAATACTTATATATGAAATTCCATCAACCTAGCTGTAACGGTACTCAAGTTATCGTGTTTACACACAGACACACACACACACACACACACAGACATACGGACAAGAATGCAAAATTATGTTTTTCCGTATTAGTGAGGTGTAAAACGTCGAGATTTGTAAAAATCTCGATTTTTTTGGCACGATTACAATACTTTCTCTATACTTCGTATATACGAGAAAGTAAAAACAACACAGAAAATAGTTTCAGGAAAAAAGTCGCAGGAAAAAAATTCACAGTTATATATTTGCATAGAATTTGTAAATACTAATCTTGTAATAATGTGTTCAATATTCAGCGAGTGGAAACCTGTAATGTAGTGTGCGTAGGTTGTATATGTATAGTAATATTTATAGCAAACGTAAAAATATTTAATATGAATTGTGTAGGCTTTAATTCCGATAAACATATAACTTTTAATAGAATTTAATAGAATGTTCCAGTCTTTTCGGTTTTCATCTTTTAAATGAGCTTGAAACGGCATAAAGACGTTGCTCATTTGACTGGTTGCCCTCAACTGACCGTAACAAAAGTTCGACCACTTTTTCTGACCATATTCATCACGCTCATTACACAACAAAGCATAGCATCAAAACAGAAAGCCGACACGGTACAAAGGCTGTCATTGACGCAAAACGTCAACAACACACAATATAGACGGACAAGGCCGACGGAGGAGAAGCCGACAAAGGAAAGGCCAACGCCTAGAACAAATATTCAAAACATAATGATGTGCCAAAATTTCTTTTGTAATTCATTTTTCTACCGCATATTTAATACGTAACAAAAGTTGTCTTATATATATATATATATATATATATATATATATATATATATATATATATATATATATATATATATATATATATATATATATATATATATGTATATATATATATATATAGGCCTATATATATATATAAACGTTATCTGCATTTACAACTTATTAATAGTGATTCTTAAAATATTTATTTTCAGCATTTGCCGAGTGAATTGTGTCTAAAACTAGTCTTACCTGACTATCAAAGCAAAGGGTAGAAACTTTTTGAGATGAGAGTTGTCTGCATGTTGTTAGGTTTATCTTCGATTTGAATCAGGTCAAAGTGCAACAAATCAAAGGTGACATTCGGACCAAGTTGGAGATAACAAAGACTGATCTGCTTTGGTGTGTCAACAGGTGGCAGGGGGTGGGGGAAGGATCTTTCTGTCTATTTTAAACATATATTCAAGGTCTGTCTTACCAGTGGCCTGACTAGGTCGGGTGTCACCCAGCATGTAACTTGGGGTGTCACTCGCCCCTCGCCACCTTTCCACCGGGAGGTGCGTCAAGAATTATTTGAACTAGAACTAGACTAGCTACTAAGATAAAGCCATTTTGACTCTCTCAAATTGGTTTTATTTTCGGCTGGCATAGTGTGAACTCTTGATCGAGTTTTCAAAGATTTTCATAACGGAATTTTTACCCGTGAATGAAAGAAATGCAAATGGCATATTCTATCAAAATACTGCATGCAAATAGTATTATTAGTATTACTATTAGATTAAAAAAAAACCCAGTTCAAATTGATACTTAAGGTAATGTTAGTATTGTTAGGGTTAAAACTTTTGTTTTATATATATATATATATATATATATATATATATATATATATATATATATATATATATATATATATATATATATATCTATATATATAAAGCAAAGTGGTCAGGTGCCCGATAGGGCACTTCCCGGCGCCGCAGGCGCGTCAAATTTGGCACAATGGTGCCTTGGGGCAATAGAACACGAGGGCCGGTGACGGTTTGCCGAAAAGTCTATGGAGAGGGGGTCAAAACTGACCTCGACTGACCGGCGCCTTATATGGGCTATATTACGAAAAAAAATTTCCTCCGACGACCCCCCTTGAAATTTTGTGAGGTGGTAAGAGAACGCCTTGGGGTGTCCCAAAAAACTCGCCATGTCCGGGAAAATTCGTTAAATGGGTCAAAACTGACCAGTCGTATTTCCCTATATAATCTTTGTATTTTATGGGAAAAACAGTGTAATTTCAACACAATTTTTAGGTTACTTAACCTCTGTACATCATGCTAATGTTTTGCCTACATTTCTATAGATGACTAGGCCGTATGAAAAAACTGTTGGGCACACTCAAAGCCCTCGACGAGGGCTAAAAGATGACCGCGAGTGACATTCTTCTTATATGAGATGTATATAAATAAATTGACGAACTATCCACTTAATATTATTTGAGGTCGTAGACCGACCCTGGAGGGTAACAAAAAAACTTTATTCCAGTCGGGAAAAGCCATTGTAGTCGTTAAATATGTTCATATATTGTATTTTCTACTATAAGCATTGCATCTGTTTGTTTAAAAAAAAAGTAAACAATGACAGACGTCATTCGGGCCATTTTCAAGGGAGGTAACCTTTTTAAATAATTATTTTTCAATTAATTGTATACTATTTTAAACAGAAACAGAAAATGACAAAGTATAGCATTTGTTTTAGTAAACCATTAATTTCTTAATTAAGCTACATATCATAATTAAATAGAAAAATTAATTTTAAAAGTTAACGTAATATAAATTATGAGATATACTGATCGTGGAACCTCTGTAGTTCTAATTTCATTTTAGTCATAAATTGCGTACTTTCAGTTATTTTCTCTGAAAGCGGATCGTAAACAACATACAACAACATCTTCTCTCAAATTAGCATTACTGTTTAAATTTAACACTCCACACCTCATCAATCAATAAATAATTAGTATTCAAATTATCAAATGTTTTTGACAACCTAAGCGAAGCTAGGCAGTATGCCTAGTATATATATAGATGGATGGATAGTTTTATATATATATATATATATATATATATATATATATATATATATATATATATATATATATATATATATATATATATATCCCCCATTAACTTTTTAAAACCACATTAAATTGTGTTTCAGTTAGACTTAATTGGGTATTAGAATACTACTATTCTTGGTACGTAGACCTAGATCTATATTAAAATAGTGTTTTGGATCATATTATTATTTCTTATGGTCCATCTTTCAAAGCTAATGGCTGGACAAGGACATCATCAACTCTTGCTGCTAAAACCGGACACACACTGCTCACTGTGACCTTGATCGCCTGGATTGCTCACTGTGACCTTGATCGCCTGGATTGCTCACTGTGACCTAGCCAGGATTGCTCACTGTGACCTAGCCAGGATTGCTCACTGTGACCTTGATCGCCTGGATTGCTCACTGTGACCTAGCCAGGATTGCTCACTGTGACCTTGATCGCCTGGATTGCTCACTGTGACCTAGCCAGGATTGCTCACTGTGACCTTGATCGCCTGGATTGCTCACTGTGACCTAGCCAGGATTGCTCACTGTGACCTAGCCAGGATTGCTCACTGTGACCTTGATCGCCTGGATTGCTCACTGTGACCTAGCCAGGATTGCTCACTGTGACCTTGATCGCCTGGATTGCTCACTGTGACCTAGCCAGGATTGCTCACTGTGACCTAGCCAGGATTGCTCACTGTGACCTTGATCGCCTGGATTGCTAACTGTGACCTTGATCGCCTGGATTGCTCACTGTGACCTTGATCGCCTGGATTGCTCACTGTGACCTAGCCAGGATTGCTCACTGTGACCTAGCCAGGATTGCTCACTGTGACCTAGCCAGGATTGCTCACTGTGACCTAGCCAGGATTGCTCACTGTGACCTTGATCGCCTGGATTGCTAACTGTGACCTTGATCGCCTGGATTGCTCACTGTGACCTTGATCGCCTGGATTGCTCACTGTGACCTTGATCGCCTGGATTGCTCACTGTGACCTTGCTCGCCAGGGCCAATTGTGACAAGTGTAATTTTGTGATAGTGTGTGTTGAAGGACAGGGGTGGGTTCAGATAGTGTGACGTCACTATTTTGCATTAACAATTGTGTTCGAAAACGAATTTTAGCCGTTATTTGGCGTTTTAGAAAACTGTTTTAATAATAAAATAAAAAGGACGTTTTTAAGAAAAACTCAACTGCATTTTTTTAGAGGGTTGCAGGCTGAAGTGTGATGTCATTTTATGGTGGTGGGGGGGGGGTTCTGGCTTTTTGTGACAATATGTTACGGAAAGGATGGGAAGAGGTAAAAATCGTCCAAAAAAGCGAGGCGTCAATAATGGAACACCCCTAACGTTAACAAAACATTTCTTGCAGATTACCAAAGCGTTTGATTTATTAACTTGGATAAAAGAATATAACTATGATAATTAAAACAAAACTAAGTTTTAGGTTTCAGAAAAGCCATTAACATTACTTTTAGAATTATATTATTCAAGTGAACAGCAATGGCCAGCGAATCAATGCTATAAAAATTGTGACCTTGACATTAAATTTAAATCTAATCAGTACCTAGATAAAACCAGTACAACCACCACTGTACAAATGGATGCAGATTCTTGCAAGTGGGCTACTGATGGTATATCCACAGTTCAGCGCCCATGGACACTCTTTTGAGCCGCCCATGACCTCCAGTAGAGAGCGGCCGCTTATTTACATTATTTTATCATGCACTGTCAGTTGCAAACTTGGAAAAAACTTTGATTTAATACATATGTAAAGTCTACATATTTTACTAAAATGTTCACTTTGCTGCATTTATTCGCATTATTGCAAGCCACAAACGGATAAGGACCAGTTAGGCCTAATCCCGATATAAAAGCAGGATTTCATACAGCACACGACAGTTTGAGCAGTTCTAAAAATAGGCAGCACTCAACGCAAGCAGCCCGTTGTTGCAGGAGGCACTTTGATTACATCCCACACAACTGTCACATACTTTAGCTGGCTCTGGTCTTTTAAGAAAATCTCATAGATTCATGTATTATCAATATCTAACACAGCAGTCGTGGTGATTATGAATGACCTGGCTTAAGATTTGTGCATGCCAATAAAAAAAAAATGTTTACACACCGAAAATGTTGCCATTACGAAATAAGTCGTATGCTATTTTTAAACTCTAGTTTGATTGGTGTAGAGAGCCGTCAAACTGTGACGTTTACAGCAGTGTGTCCCGAGGGAGGGAGTGATAACAAAACTGTGTCAACTTTTCAGGTCTCGTAAACAAACCCTACAGTTTTCTTGTGTTTCCTCTACTAGATCTAGTCTAGATCTAGATTAATACTTTAGGGATTGGTGACCTGTCACAATGCCTGAACATCATGAACGTACTAAAACTTTTAAACAGAGAAAAACATTCGGTAAGATTAAGAAAGAACTAGATCTAGATCTAGATCTAGATTCTAGATCTAGTGAGATCTACTACTGCAGTTAATATCTAGATCTAGACTAGATCTAGATCTAGATCTTTTATATTTATATATAAAATATATTTACGAAGTGTTCGGTCCTACGTAATTTTTGGTGTGTGTCCGAAAAGTGTAAACTCCTCTAGGCCTAATATTGATTCTAGATCTAGATGTTAGATCAGATTTTGATCTCAATATTTTACTACTAGATCTAGATTCTAGATCTAATAATTATTATAATAGTAAAGACAATCTATATAAAATATTCTTTCTAGAAAATCTAGGCCCAGTAACATTAGGGCCTATTTAATATTTATTTAGGCCTAGGTATTAATATTCTATTTCTACTGTTTTTTACATTTAGTTTACACTTTAAAGTAGTAGATCTAGTACTAGACTCTAGTACAAGTAGTAGGCCCTACTACAGTAGTAGATCTAGAATCTATTACTAGAATCTAGATCTACTGTCATTTAATGTACTTACTTTGTAGTTAGTAGTAGTAAAGTAGATGTAGTAGATCTAGATCTAGTACTAGATTTAGAATCTAGATTCTTCTATGTCTATTCTAATGTAGTAACTGTACATAAAAATAAAATATAGATCTAATATTTAGCATGTCTCACGCGAAACCACGGCGCCTGCACGTAAACTGTTCATTTATGAACACTTCCGTGTCAAGTACTTCCGTTTCCTTTCTCAAGAATTATTTTTAGAAATTTTTTAACGTTGCATGGTACGCACATTTCTATTTTTACACCAGCCGGATGAAGTGACCTAGGGTTGGACTTAGGGGCAAAACTTGAACCAATCAATGCTTAGCTAAAAGGTTACACTATAAATAGCTTCTATATATGTATGGAACATCGTAAATGTCAAGGTTAATGGGTTTTTTTCGTGCTTGAACAATAAAAAAGGGGTGTTCGCTAACTTATTTGGCCTTACATGGGAGCGGACAGCAACACAAAAATATTATTAAATAAGAATTTAGAGCATAAAAGGGGCTGATTATTGAAGGGAAAGGGTCAAAATAAGGTCAAGAAGGCAGTGGAATGCGAAAGAGGAGGGGGAATCATGTGACCTGGCTGGCTTAGCAGCGTACTGCGCGAGCCGCAATGGCTGAATGGGATGAACTTTGGGAGTGTGGGGAAAAAGGTTTTATACTATTAAAATTACCTCACAAACAATCAATAACACAATATAAATGCATATAATATATGTTTTTATTCATTAAATTGACTTTAAATTATTCTAAATGAACAAAAAGTGCTATGTCCGATGACGGGTAAAGGTGTCCGAACACATGTAAAACTGTATTACATGTGTTCGAACACACGTTAAGACCCCCCCAGTCACTATAACAAGAATAGCTTAAGTTCTATGCGTATGAATACAAAATGACACACACATTATTAAAGTAGAATGGTTGCGGATAGATATGATACTTTTTTTTTGTTTTCTATGTTAAGCGGTTACTGAATGAGACCGCATGGAATTTTTACGTTGCGTTTTTTTCGCTATGTGTGTCCGAAAAGTGTAAGCTCCTCTATATTATTTCTATATTCTATAGGCCTATTGAATATTCTAATCTAGATTTAGTTAGACCAGAGTTTCTTCCAGGTTTCTTCTAACTAGCATACAGTCTAGCCTACTTAGTACAGTTTTTAATCTATCTAGCCTCTCTACCACAGTAGTGTTTCTTCCACTTTTTTCTCTGTGGGGGGGGGGGGGGAATTTTCTCTGGATGGGGGGCACTATTAAAAGTATATATTTTCTATATATATTTTCATTTCGTTCGGGGGGGGGGGGGGGGGGGGGCGTACTTTCTTTGGGGAGCCCCCCCCCCCCCCCCCCCCCCCCCCCCCGAGATGCCTGGAAGAAACTGACCACAGACTCTCCAAATCTAGCCCTAAAAACTGATGCAATATTTTAGGAGGGTTTACTCAACATAATAAATCATCCCCCCCCCCCTCCCTCATGAAGCTTGATTATAGGCCCAAATGTTAATTGTCAGAGTTGAATAAAATAAGTAGATTCTATACTGTACTTATCTTTAAATATAACTTAATTTGAAAATAAAAATGAATTATACCTAATTAATATTAATTTATTACCAATTAGGCTACCATTGGTCACATTTTATGAACTAAACTCAATAGTAAATAGATTTCAGCTTTCTCCCTGTATGATCATTATACATAAGTGCTGTTGTAACTATAGTATTAGTACATTCATATGCCCAGCTAAACATGTAACTATTGTAACTATTGTAACAAGAACATGAATATTTTCTTGTCATTTTAGTTGAAAGGTACATGTCAATATTTTTGTTGTCTAACTCTTGTCATTTCAGCTGTGAGGAAGGAAGAGGTTGAAGGCATAAGGCAGAAATTTCCATGCAAAGTTCCTGTAAGTCCATAGTTGTTTCATCATTAGAATCAAATGCAAGTCCTTTCTATCTGTCTGTAGCTTCTAGTTTGATGTGTTCTATTGTAGGTTATTGTGGAGAGATTTCACAAAGAGACAAGTCTGTAGCTTCTAGTTTGATGTGTTCTATTGTAGGTTATTGTGGAGAGATTTCACAAAGAGACAAGTCTGTAGCTTCTAGTTTGATGTGTTCTATTGTAGGTTATTGTGGAGAGATTTCACAAAGAGACAAGTCTGTAGCTTCTAGTTTGATGTGTTCTATTGTAGGTTATTGTGGAGAGATTTCACAAAGAGACAAGTCTGTAGCTTCTAGTTTGATGTGTTCTATTGTAGGTTATTGTGGAGAGATTTCACAAAGAGACAAGTCTGTAGCTTCTAGTTTGATGTGTTCCATTGTAGGTTATTGTGGAGAGATTTCACAAAGAGACAAGTCTGTAGCTTCTAGTTTGATGTGTTCTATTGTAGGTTATTGTGGAGAGATTTCACAAAGAGACAAGTCTGTAGCTTCTAGTTTGATGTGTTCTATTGTAGGTTATTGTGGAGAGATTTCACAAAGAGACAAGTCTGTAGCTTCTAGTTTGATGTGTTCTATTGTAGGTTATTGTGGAGAGATTTCACAAAGAGACAAGTCTGTAGCTTCTAGTTTGATGTGTTCTATTGTAGGTTATTGTGGAGAGATTTCACAAAGAGACAAGTCTGTAGCTTCTAGTTTGATGTGTTCCATTGTAGGTTATTGTGGAGAGATTTCACAAAGAGACAAGTCTGCCCATGCTGGACAAGACCAAATTTCTGGTCCCCCAGGAGTTGACCATGTCCCAGTTTCTCACCATCATCAGGTACGTTGTTTATGACCATACATTTAGCTACATACAGTGCTCAACATACAGTGCTCAACATACACTGCTCAACATACAATGGTCAAGCTTGACTGTCAGCTAAGCAATTTGTTTGACTGCTTTATTCTACCTCTCTCAACTCTCTGTCCACAGGAATCGTATGTCTCTCAACTCTCTGTCCACAGGAATCGTATGTCTCTCAACTCTCTGTCCACAGGAATCGTATGTCTCTCAACTCTCTGTCAATCTGTCCACAGGAATCGTATGTCTCTCAACTCTCTGTCAATCTGTCCACAGAAATCGTATGTCTCTCAACTCTCTGTCAATCTGTCCACAGAAATCGTATGTCTCTCAACTCTCTGTCAATCTGTCCACAGAAATCGTATGTCTCTCAACTCTCTGTCAATCTGTCCACAGAAATCGTATGTCTCTCAACTCTCTGTCCACAGAAATCGTATGTCTCTCAACTCTCTGTCCACAGGAATCATATGTCTCTCAACTCTCTGTCAATCTGTCCACAGGAATCATATGTCTCTCAACTCTCTGTCAATCTGTCCACAGGAATCGTATGTCTCTCAACTCTCTGTCCACAGGAATCATATGTCTCTCAACTCTCTGTCAATCTGTCCACAGGAATCATATGTCTCTCAACTCTCTGTCCACAGAAATCGTATGTCTCTCAACTCTCTGTCAATCTGTCCACAGGAATCATATGTCTCTCAACTCTCTGTCAATCTGTCCACAGGAATCATATGTCTCTCAACTCTCTGTCCACAGAAATCGTATGTCTCTCAACTCTCTGTCAATCTGTCCACAGGAATCATATGTCTCTCAACTCTCTGTCAATCTGTCCACAGGAATCGTATGTCTCTCAACTCTCTGTCAATCTGTCCACAGGAATCGTATGTCTCTCAACTCTCTGTCCACAGGAATCGTATGTCTCTCAACTCTCTGTCAATCTGTCCACAGGAATCGTATGTCTCTCAACTCTCTGTCAATCTGTCCACAGAAATCGTATGTCTCTCAACTCTCTGTCAATCTGTCCACAGGAATCGTATGTCTCTCAACTCTCTGTCCACAGGAATCGTATGTCTCTCAACTCTCTGTCAATCTGTCCACAGGAATCGTATGTCTCTCAACTCTCTGTCAATCTGTCCACAGAAATCGTATGTCTCTCAACTCTCTGTCAATCTGTCCACAGAAATCGTATGTCTCTCAACTCTCTGTCAATCTGTCCACAGAAATCGTATGTCTCTCAACTCTCTGTCAATCTGTCCACAGGAATCGTATGTCTCTCAACTCTAACCAGTCTTTCTACTTGATCCTGAACAACAAAAGCATCTCCAGTATGTCGTCCACCATCGCAGAGGTCTACAGGGAAGAAAAGGATGACGACGGGTTCCTCTACATGACCTACGCATCGCAAGAAATGTTTGGCACATCCAGGGCAACTCTTGTATAATTGTTGACACTCTTGTTAGGTCAGGATTAGGATTACACATCAAAAGTTAGATCAGGATTAGGATTACACATCAAAAGTTAGGTCAGGATTAGGATTACACATCAAAAGTTAGGTCAGGATTAGGATTACACATCAAAAGTTAGGTTAGGATTACACATCAAAAGTTAGATCAGGATTAGGATTACACATCAAAAGTTAGATCAGGATTAGGATTACACATCAAAAGTTAGATCAGGATTAGAATTACACATCAAAAGTTAGATCAGGATTAGGATTACACATCAAAAGTTAGATCAGGATTAGGATTACACATTAAAAGTTAGATCAGGATTAGGATTACACATCAAAAGTTAGATCAGGATTAGGATTACACATTAAAAGTTAGATTAGGATTAGGATTACATATTAAAAGTTCACTTTATCTTAAAGAAAACACTTCTTAATCACACCTTTGAGGTCATACTTATATCAGTACACACCTAAAGTCATACTTATGTCATAAAAAATGTTATGTCATGTAGTCATAACATGCCAAGCCATCAAGTTTCTCTTAACACATATATTACTATAACACACACATGAAGTTTTTTTAGGCTAGGCCAAAACTGAAGTTAGAGCAGTTGTGTGTGGGGGGGGGGGGGGTGTGGGCCCATTAGTTGGGTGCTACTCTCTATGTGCCTTCATTCTCTTGATTCTTTTATTGACCAATCTGCTCACTGGGGGGGGGGGGGGGGGGGGGGGTGCTTGCTCCAAACTACTGGCAATGGTCCTGGGTGTTTAGGGAACTGATCCAAACATCCCCATGACCAAATGTTCTGGGTGTTTAGGGAACTGATCCAAACATCCCCATGACCAAATGTCTTGTTAACATTTGTCCAATAAAACCACGTGGCCAAAACTAAACCAGCACTCTATCATGTCCACCCAGCCCACGTATCAGCTAATGAAACTTTACATATGGTTGATCATTGTTGACTTTATGCTTCTTCCATCAGCGCCTACTGTTGTCATGATATATCATCTTCACTTGTTACTATATATCATCTTCACTTGTTATAGTATATCATCTTCACTTGTTATAGTATATCATTGTTATATTTGGACCCACTGGATGCTCAGTGACACTACTGTAAATAATAAAAAAAAAATGACCCTCCACTCCAAAGCTCGTCAATTTTTCCTGGGGTTAATTAGAAGGGTGTGACCCAAGCAGCCTGCCTTAAACTTGACTCACACACGTGTCCATTGTTATTGGTTTTTGTTGAGTACAAAGTAAAGGGCAACCTTTCACATTTTTATGTCTACACATTTGTGATAACTGAAAGAATTTTTTTCTTTTCATTGTAATTTATTTGACTGTCCTTTATGACTGATTTACATATTGCTGATTTTTAAAACTAATTTTTAAACTGGTTCAGCCAAGGGAAGTGCAAGCAAGTACTGCTGGGACCATTCAACTGTTCAACATTTTTGTTTCCATTAAAAACTTTTCAAATTGTCTGTGTTTCCATTGACTTGAAATAACTGAGTGAAAATAGAAAGAATTTATTATTTGCTAACCCATACATGAACGAGCACAAGATTCTACAGAAACAGCTGACAGCTAATTATCAAACAGCTCTTTGTGGCTTGTTCAGAGGTCAATTTCAGAAATTTCACTGTCTTCTTCAGCAGAGGGCAGTGTCAAGGTCATTCTTTTCTGCCCACCAGTGTGGTCGACCAATCTAAAAAGAAAGGCAGAAATAAAAGTGTGAGAACCAGTCTCTCAAGTATTAGGTGCTGGGTAAAAGTGTGAGAACCAGTCTCTCAAGTATTAGGTGCTGGATAAAAGTGTGAGAACCAGTCTCTCAAGTATTAGGTGCTGGGTAAAAGTGTGAGAACCAGTCTCTCAAGTATTAGGTGCTGGGTAAAAGTGTGAGAACCAGTCTCTCAAGTATTAGGTGCTGGGTAAAAGTGTGAGAACCAGTCTCTCAAGTATTAGGTGCTGGATAGCTCTGACATTCTGCTTACACAGACAAGCTAATGACCCAGATAAAAATCACTTGACCCCTACAGCCATGCCCCCATCACTTGACCCCTACAGCCATGCCCTCATCACTTGACCCCTGCAGCCATGCCCTCATCACTTGTCCCCTACAGCCATGCCCTCACCCTTTGATCCCTACAGCCATGGCCTCATCACTTGACCCCTACAGCCATGCCCCCATCACTTGACCCCTATAGCCATGCCCCCATCACTTGACCCCTACAGCCATGCCCACATCACTTGACCCCTACAGCCATGTCCTCACCCTTTGATCCCTACAGCCATGGCCTCATCACTTGACCCCTACAGCCATGCCCCCATCACTTGACCCCTACAGCCATGCCCTCATCACTTGACCCCTACAGCCATGCCCTCATCACCTGACCCCTACAGCCATGCCCTCATCACTTGACCCCTACAGCCATGCCCACATCACTTGACCCCTACAGCCATGTCCTCACCCTTTGACCCCTACAGCCATGCCCACATCACTTGACCCCTACAGCCATGCCCCCATCACTTGACACCCTACAGCCATTCCCCCATCACTTGAACCCTACAGCCATGTCCTCATCACTTGACCCCTACAGCCATGTCCTCACCCTTTGACCCCAACAGCCATGCCCTCACCCTTTGATCCCTACAGCCATGCCCACATCACTTGACCCCTACAGCCATGCCCTCATCACTTGACCCCTACAGCCATGCCCTCATCACTTGACCAGCCATGCCCTCATCACTTGACCCCTGCAGTCATGCCCTCATCACTTGACCCCTACAGCCATGCCCTCATCACTTGACCCCTGCAGCCATGCCCTCATCACTTGACCCCTACAGCCATGTCCTCATCACTTGACCCCTACAGCCATGTCCTCACCCTTTGACCCCAACATCCATGCCCTCACCCTTTGACCCCTACAGCCATGCCCTCATCACTTGACCCCTGCAGCCATGCCCACATCACTTGACCCCTACAGCCATGCCCTCATCACTTGACCCCTACAGCCATGCCCTCATCACTTGACCAGCCATGCCCTCATCACTTGACCCCTGCAGTCATGCCCTCATCACTTGACCCCTACAGCCATGCCCTCATCACTTGACCCCTACAGCCATGCCCTCATCACTTGACCCCTACAGCCATGCCCTCATCACTTGACCCCTGCAGCCATGCCCTCATCACTTGACCCCTACAGCCATGCCCTCACCCTTTGATCCCTACAGCCATGCCCCCATCACTTGACCCCTACAGCCATGCTCACATCACTTGACCCCTACAGCCATGCCCTCATCACTTGACCCCTACAGCCATGCCCTCATTACTTGACCCCTACAGCCATGCCCTCATCACTTGACCCCTACAGCCATGGCCTCATCACTTGACCCCTGCAGCCATGCCCACATCACTTGACCCCTACAGCCATGCCCTCATCACTTGACCCCTACAGCCATGCCCTCATCACTTGACCAGCCATGCCCTCATCACTTGACCCCTGCAGTCATGCCCTCATCACTTGACCCCTACAGCCATGCCCTCATCACTTGACCCCTACAGCCATGCCCTCATCACTTGACCCCTACAGCCATGCCCCCACCCTTTGATCCCTATAGCCACACCCTCATCACTTGACCCCTACAGCCACGCCCTCACCCTTTGATCCCTACAGCCACGCCCTCACCCTTTGACCCCTACAGCCATGCCCTCACCCTTTGATCCCTACAGCCATGGCCTCATCACTTGACCCCTACAGCCATGCCCTCATCACTTGACCCCTACAGCCATGGCCTCATCACTTGACCCCTGCAGCCATGCCCTCATCACTTGACCCCTACAGCCATGGCCTCATCACTTGACCCCTGCAGCCATGCCCTCATCACTTGACCCCTACAGCCATGCCCTCATCACTTGACCCCTACAGCCATGTCCTCACCCTTTGATCCCTACATCCATGCCCTCACCCTTTGACCCCTACAGCCATGCCCTCATCACTTGACCCCTGCAGCCATGCCCTCATCACTTGTCCCCTACAGCCATGGCCTCATCACTTGACCCCTACAGCCATGCCCTCATCACTTGACCCCTGCAGCCATGCCCTCATCACTTGTCCCCTACAGCCATGCCCTCACCCTTTGATCCCTACAGCCATGCCCCCATCACTTGACCCCTACAGCCATGCCCCCATCACTTGACCCCTACAGCCATGCCCTTATCACTTGACCCCTACAGCCATGCCCCCATCACTTGACCCCTACAGCCATGCCCTCATCACTTGACCCCTACAGCCATGCCCTCATCACTTGACCCCTACAGCAAATTCACATGCTCACAGACAGCTTAAAATGACCCAAACCTTTTCAACTCTGATTCATCCAGTGATCCATCATACGAGTATGTCTGACTGACAGATCCTGCCTGACTGGCAGAGCCCCTGACGCTGGACCTGTAGGTGCCACTAAGATCAAAGTCCACTGACTTCTTGACCCCTGACTGTCTGGACTTGAGGCTAGAGGTCAATACAGCATCACCTGTGGGAGAGGTCAATACAGCATCACCTGTGGGAGAGGTCAATACAGCATCACCTGTGGGAGAGGTCAAGAGGTCAATACAGCATCACCTGTGGGAGAGGTCAATACAGCATCACCTGTGGGAGAGGTCAATACAGCATCACCTGTGGGAGAGGTCAAGAGGTCAATACAGCATCACCTGTGGGAGAGGTCAAGAGGTCAATACAGCATCACCTGTGGGAGAGGTCAACACAGCATCACCTGTGGGAGAGGTCAATACAGCATCACCTGTGGGAGAGGTCAATACAGCATCACCTGTGGGAGAGGTCAAGAGGTCAATACATCATCACCTGTGGGAGAGGTCAATACAGCATCACCTGTGGGAGAGGTCAATACAGCACCACCTGTGGGAGAGGTCAATACAGCATCACCTGTGGGAGAGGTCAAGAGGTCAATACAGCATCACCTGTGGGAGAGGTCAATACAACATCACCTGTGGGAGAGGTCAAGAGGTCAATACAGCATCACCTGTGGGAGAGGTCAAGAGGTCAATACATCATCACCTGTGGGAGAGGTCAATACAGCATCACCTGTGGGAGAGGTCAATACAGCATCACCTGTGGGAGAGGTCAAGAGGTCAATACATCATCACCTGTGGGAGAGGTCAATACAGCATCACCTGTGGGAGAGGTCAATACATCATCACCTGTGGGAGAGGTCAATACAGCATCACCTGTGGGAGAGGTCAAGAGGTCAATACAGCATCACCTGTGGGAGAGGTCAAGAGGTCAATACATCATCACCTGTGGGAGAGGTCAAGAGGTCAATACAGCATCACCTGTGGGAGAGGTCAATACAGCACCACCTGTGGGAGAGGTCAATACAGCATCACCTGTGGGAGAGGTCAAGAGGTCAATACAGCATCACCTGTGGGAGAGGTCAAGAGGTCAATACAGCATCACCTGTGGGAGAGGTCAATACAGCACCACCTGTGGGAGAGGTCAATACAGCATCACCTGTGGGAGAGGTCAAGAGGTCAATACAGCATCACCTGTGGGAGAGGTCAATACAGCATCACCTGTGGGAGAGGTCAATACAGCATCACCTGTGGGAGAGGTCAATACAGCATCACCTGTGGGAGAGGTCAATACAGCATCACCTGTGGGAGAGGTCAATACAGCATCACCTGTGGGAGAGGTCAATACAGCATCACCTGTGGGAGAGGTCAAGAGGTCAATACAGCATCACCTGTGGGAGAGGTCAATACAGCATCACCTGTGGGAGAGGTCAATACAGCATCACCTGTGGGAGAGGTCAAGAGGTCAATACAGCATCACCTGTGGGAGAGGTCAATACAGCATCACCTGTGGGAGAGGTCAAGAGGTCAATACAGCATCACCTGTGGGAGAGGTCAAGAGGTCAATACAGCATCACCTGTGGGAGAGGTCAATACAGCATCACCTGTGGGAGAGGTCAATACAGCATCACCTGTGGGAGAGGTCAATACAGCATCACCTGTGGAGGAGGGCTCAACAATACAATCATGGAGAGGTCAGCAGAGCTGGTGGGGCTCATATCTGACCCAGAGTTAACCTTGTGTGACCTTGACCTACCTGAGCGTCTGAGTGGACCTTCCATTGACTGGCTTGTCTGACTTTGGTAACTGGACAACACTGACCTTCTGGAGCCTGCAACATAAAGAGTTGGCTGGTCGGCAGTTCAAATGTCACTTTGACTGACAGCTCAAATGTCACTTCAGCTGGCAGATCAAATGTCACTTCAAATGACAGCTCAAATGTCACTTCCGATGACAGCTCAAATGACAGCTCAAACGTCACTTCAGCTGACAGCTCAAATGTCACTTCAAATGACAGATCAAATGTCACTTCAGCTGACAGCTCAAATTTCACTTCAGATGACAACTCAAATGTCACTTCAGATGACAGCTCAAATGACAGCTCAAACGTCACTTCAGCTGACAGCTCAAATGTCACTTCAAATGACAGCTCAAATGTCACTTCAGCTGACAGCTCAAATGTCACTTCAGATGACAACTCAAATGACAGCTCAACTGACAGCTCAAATGTCACTTCAGCTGACAGCTCAAATGTCACTTCAAATGACAGCTCAAATGTCACTTCAGATGACAGCTGAAATATCACTTTGAGCTGACAGCTCAAATGTCACTTCAGCTGACAGCTCAAGTGTCACTTCAGATGACAGCTCAAATGACAGCTCAAATGTCACTTCAGCTGACAGCTCAAATGTCACTTCAAATGACAGCTCCAATGTCACTTCAGCTGACAGCTCAAATGTCACTTCAGCTGACAGCTCAAATGTCACTTCAAATGACAGCTCAAATGTCACTTCAAATGACAGCTCAAATGTCACTTCAGCTGACAGCTCAAATGTCACTTCGGCTGACAGCTCAAATGTCATTTCAAACGACAGCTCAAATGTCACTTCCGCTGACAACTTAAATGTCACTTGTACATACCTGGGTCACTACCATAAGACAGCCTACTGTCACTACTTCTCCGCCCATGAGTAGAGTGTGTCCTTCCTCTGGTGGGTAGTGGCGCACCATCAGACAAAACTGGCTGATACTGGAGCTGACCTGCAACATTTTTCTGTTAGGCTTAGCAGGTCAAATATTTATCTGGCTTAGTAGGTCAAATATTTATCTGGCTTAGCAGGTCAAATATTTATCTGGCTTAGTAGGTCAAATATTTATCTGGCTTAGCAGGTCAAATATTTATCTGGCTTAGTAGGAGAAATATTAATCCGGCTAGTTTTTCTGTTAGGATTAGTAGGTCAAATATTTATCTGGCTAGTTTTTATAGAAAGTTATAGATATTAATTGGAGGCATATCCTAGGGGTTATATATAATCTCAATTTTACTGGGCAATGTTTGAACTTTTGGCCAACAATTTTACTAGGCAAGTTTTTAACGTTTGGCCAACAATTTTATTGGGTAAGATTATAACTTTTGGCCAACAACATTTTGGCCATGAGACCATCACCTTTCTTTTGTTGCTGTATCCTGTTAGAAGTGTGGGGGGCAGGTCTAAATGCGGGTGGGGGGGAGGTTGTGTACCCTTGTCTCTCATCTGTTTCCTCCTCATATTCTTCATCATAACTTTTCTCCATACTGTAGGTCGAGACGATCTCCCCTAAAATACAGATGAAAATTTCTAGAAATGTGCAACAGGATTTCTCTCCCCTGTGACCATCATCAAGAGTTGCAATAAACAGAGAAGAAGGAATGGAGACTTGCCGTGTGTTGTCCTTTGCTGGGTGGCACGTTTGGATGGTGAGACCTGTCCCATGTTGGATGGTGAGACCTGTCCCATGTTGGATGGTGAGACCTGTCCCATGTTGGATGGTGAGACCTGTCCCATGTTGGATGGTGAGACCTGTCCCATGTTGGATGGTGAGACCTGTCCCATGCTCAGCTCCCCCAAGCTGCGTCCTGTCAGGGAGAGGCCAGCTCTGGGGCGGGGTCTGCTCTGTAACATTAAGTCAAGGATAGAAATCAGTGGGCCTGTACTAGCTTTGTGGGCCACCACTAGCTTTGTGGGCCACCACTAGCTTTGTGGGCCAACACTAGCTTTGTGGGCCTGTACTAGCTTTGTGGGCCACCACTAGCTTTGTGGGCCAGTACTAGCTTTGTGGGCCACCACTAGCTTTGTGGGCCACCACTAGCTTTGTGGGCCAGTACTAGCTTTGTGGGCCTGTACTAGCTTTGTGGGCTGGTACTAGCTTTGTGGGCCGGTACTAGCTTTGTGGGCCTGTAGTAGCTTTGTGGGCCACCACTAGCTTTTTGGGCCTGTACTAGCTTTGTGGGCCTGTACTAGCTTTGTGGGCCACCACTAGTTTTGTGGGCCTGTACTAGCTTTGTGGGCCAGCACTAACTTTGTGGGCCAGCACTAACTTTGTGGGCCACCACTAGCTTTGTGGGCCAGTACTAGCTTTGTGGGCCACCACTAGCTTTGTGGGCCACCACTAGCTTTGTGGGCCAGTACTAGCTTTGTGGGCCTGTACTAGCTTTGTGGGCCACCACTAGCTTTGTGGGCCAGTACTAGCTTTGTGGGCTGGTACTAGCTTTGTGGGCCGGTACTAGCTTTGTGGGCCTGTAGTAGCTTTGTGGGCCACCACTAGCTTTTTGGGCCTGTACTAGCTTTGTGGGCCTGTACTAGCTTTGTGGGCCACCACTAGTTTTGTGGGCCTGTACTAGCTTTGTGGGCTGGTACTAGCTTTGTGGGCCGGTACTAGCTTTGTGGGCCTGTAGTAGCTTTGTGGGCCACCACTAGCTTTTTGGGCCTGTACTAGCTTTGTGGGCCTGTACTAGCTTTGTGGGCCACCACTAGTTTTGTGGGCCTGTACTAGCTTTGTGGGCCAGCACTAACTTTGTGGGCCAGCACTAACTTTGTGGGCCAGCACTAACTTTGCGGGCCATCACTAGCTTTATGGGCCTGTACCAGCTTTGTGGGCCAGCACTAGCTTTGTGGGCCAGCACTAACCTGTTGATCTTGTGGACCAGCACCAACCAGTGGGCCAGCAGTGTAGGGCAGACCGCCACCAGAGAGCCAGGGGTTGCGCTGCATCTGTGCCATCAGCTGTAGGGTGGGGTCTTGTTCAGGGGCAGATAACCCGTCAAAGTACAGCTCGCCCTCACTCTTGGGGTAGTCCGTTTCATCCTGGGGAAGGTGGGGTTAACATGACCTTGGTGGGGTAAACATGACCTTGGTTTGGTTAACATGACCTAGGTGGGGTTAATATGACCTTGGTGGGGTAAACATGACCTTGGTTTGGTTAACATGACCTTGGTGGGGTTAATATGACCTTGGTGGGGTAAACATGACCTTGGTTTGGTTAACATGACCTTAGTGGGGTTAATATGACCTTAGTGGGGTAAACATGCCCTTAATGGTGTTAACATGCCCTTGGAGGGGTTAACATGACCTTGGTTGGGTTAAAATAACCTTGGTGGGGGTTAACATGCTCTTGATGGTGTTAACATGTCATTGATGGTGTTAACATGCCCTTGGTGGGGTTAACATGACCTTAGTGGGGTTAATATGACCTTGGTGGGGTAAACATGCCCTTAATGGTGTTAACATGCCCTTGGAGGGGTTAACATGACCTTGGTTGGGTTAAAATAACCTTGGTGGGGGTTAACATGCTCTTGATGGTGTTAACATGTCATTGATGGTGTTAACATGCCCTTGGTGGGGTTAACATGACCTTGGTGGGGTTGACCTGACCTCATGAGTTGAACTAGCCAAGAGCAATGAACTGACCAGCAGCAGGTCCTCCGTGTCCTTGAGAGTGCTGGCTGTGCTGACGTCTGCTGGGTAACCCTTCAGGATCAGCTCTCTACATTGGGCTGGGAGTGAACAAGGTCAAGGTGAGTGACATGTGGATGTGAAGGTCAATGTGGGGACAAGGTCAATGTCAAGGTGAGTGACATGGTCAATGTCAAGGTGAGTGACACGGTCAAGGTGAGTGACATGGTCAAGGTGAGTGACATGGTCAAGGTGAGTGACACGGTCAACGTGAGTGACATGGTCAACGTGAGTGACAGGGTCAAGGTGAGTGACAGGGTCAAGGTTAGTGACAGGGTCAAGGTGAGTGACAGGGTCAAGGTGAGTGACATGGTCAAGGTGAGTGACACGGTCAAGGTGAGTGACACGGTCAAGGTGAGTGACACGGTCAAGGTGAGTGACATGGTCAAGGTGAGTGACACGGTCAAGGTGAGTGACACGGTCAAGGTGAGTGACATGGTCAAGGTGAGTGACACGGTCAAGGTGAGTGACACGGTCAAGGTGAGTGACATGGTCAAGGTGAGTGACATGGTCAAGGTGAGTGACATGGTCAAGGTGGATAAAACAAGACATATACATTACTAAATCAACAAACAGTATCATTGTAAGATGCCAGGTACTAATAACAGCTGAGTAGCGCATCAACTGAGAGAAGGACTAATTAACTTTAAGATAATTAAGCATCATCAGCCTGTAGAACAGAATGATGAGCAAGCTGTGCAGTGACCCACCTGGATTCAAGGGCAAGCCAATCAGCTGTCCCTCACTCAGTAGCCACTGGCCATCAGAGATGGGGTCGTTGAGCGTGTCCGAGAGACTGGTGTCAGAGGAGGAGAGTTGGGCCACACTCGGCTCAAACTGTCAAACATCAGACACATTTTACATGTTCAAACTGTCAAACATCAGACACATTTTACATGTTCAAACTGTCAAACATCAGACACATTTTACATGTTCAAACTGTCAAACATCAGACACATGTTCAAACTGTCAAACATCAGACACATTTTACATGTTCAAACTGTCAAACATCAGACACATGTTCAAACTGTCAAACATCAGACACATTTTACATGTTCAAACTGTCAAACATCAGACACATGTTCAAACTGTCAAACATCAGACACATGTTCAAACTGTCAAACATCAGACACATGTTCAAACTGTCAAACATCAGACACATGTTCAAACTGTCAAACATCAGACACATTTTACATGTTCAAACTGTCAAACATCAGACACATTTTACAGGTTCAAACTGTCAAACATCAGACACATTTTACATGTTCAAACTGTCAAACATCAGACACATTTTACATGTTCAAACTGTCAAACATCAGACACATTTTACATGTTCAAACTGTCAAACATCAGACACATTTTACATGTTCAAACTGTCAAACATCAGACACATTTTACATGTTCAAACTGTCAAACATCAGACACATTTTACATGTTCAAACTGTCAAACATCAGACACATTTTACATGTTCAAACTGTCAAACATCAGACACATTTTACATGTTCAAACTGTCAAACATCAGACACATGTTCAAACTGTCAAACATCAGACACATTTTACATGTTCAAACTGTCAAACATCAGACACATTTTACATGTTCAAACTGTCAAACATCAGACACATTTTACATGTTCAAACTGTCAAACATTTCATCAGACACATTTTACATGTTCAAACTGTCAAACATCAGACACATTTTACATGTTCAAACTGTCAAACATCAGACACATTTTACATGTTCAAACTGTCAAACATCAGACACATGTTCAAACTGTCAAACATCAGACACATTTTACATGTTCAAACTGTCAAACATCAGACACATTTTACATGTTCAAACTGTCAAACATTTCATCAGACACATTTTACATGTTCAAACTGTCAAACATCAGACACATTTTACATGTTCAAACTGTCAAACATTTCATCAGACACATTTTACATGTTCAAACTGTCAAACATTTCATCAGACACATTTTACATGTTCAAACTGTCAAACATTTCATCAGACACATTTTACATGTTCAAACTGTCAAACATTTCATCAGACACATTTTACATGTTCAAACTGTCAAACATCAGACACATTTTACATGTTCAAACTGTCAAACATTTCATCAGACACATTTTACATGTTCAAACTGTCAAACATTTCATCAGACACATTTTACATGTTCAAACTGTCAAACATCAGACACATTTTACATGTTCAAACTGTCAAACATCAGACACATTTTACATGTTCAAACTGTCAAACATCAGACACATTTACATGTTCAAACTGTCAAACATTTCATCAGACACATTTTACATGTTCAAACTGTCAAACATCAGACACATTTACATGTTCAAACTGTCAAACATTTCATCAGACACATTTTACATGTTCAAACTGTCAAACATCAGACACATTTACATGTTCAAACTGTCAAACATTTCATCAGACACAATTTACATGTTCAAACTGTCAAACATCAGACACATTTTACATGTTCAACAATTCTCCCATGGCTAATGAGTTGTCTCATGTAAAAATACTTTTTCTAACAGCATATGTTTTAAATATTTGGTAAAACCAAGTATTTGTGTTAGGTAAAAAATATTTTAAAATGAAAACATTTGAATATCAAATTTTTTTCTTATCATTAATAAAAAAAGTCTTTAAAACCTTGATGTGGGGTGGTGTGGGTGGTGTGGGTGGTCTCTCCTCAGGTGTCAGGTCCAGCGTGATTGGTTCATCTCTTCCTACAGCCACTGACAACATGCTGGGAAATTTAAAAACTGAGTCATCACTCACAACCTTTAGGGGGGGGGGGGGGAGACAAGAGTGAGAGACTTACATGAGGGTGGGGAGTGAGAGACTTACATGCGGGTGGGGAGTGAGAGACTTACATGAGGGTGGAGAGACTTACATGAGGGTGGAGAGACTTACATTGGCTGAGGCTGGTCAACTACATCCTCCTCCTCCTCCTCTCTTGGAACAGCAGCAACATTTTGATTGGATGTCTCAGGTTCTGTAGGGGGCGCTGTTGGTACAAGTTTAGCAGGGGGTGTGGGCGGGGGTGTGGTAGGTGTGGGGTGGAACACAGTTCCTGCTGCTTGTGGGGGTGGGGAGGCTGGAGGTGTGGCCACATCGTGTCTCACCACCCCCGGGCTGGCTGGCTCAACAAGTTTGTCCTTTCCTGGAAACACAACAAGAAATATTCACTCGGCTCTAGCTGTTTGGGTGGTGAAGGAAAAATTAAAGGGCGCCGCTAGGCTAGAAGGTCTGCAGCTAAATGAATCAAATAAAAAACATACAAATTGCTGTAACAAACTGAACTGAATTATTCTTAGAAGGAACCTCAGAGATCAGCCTTTGTCAAAACTCCACAGCTTAAACTCAAGCTCTAACAACATTATGTATCTAAACATGAAAGTAATAAACCAGGAGTCATCTCCCCTACACTTTCTCGAATATTCTTTAATAACACTATGGAAGATGGGAACTCAGGATATAGACATGATTTTTAATCCATTATTAATTGCTCAAACCTGCCACCCCTGACCTACCTGCCACCCCTGACCTACCTGCCACTCCTCACATACCTGCCACCCCTCACCTACCTGCCACCTTTCACCTACCTGCCACCCCTGACCTACCTGCCACCCCTCACCTACCTGCCACCCCTGACCTACCTGCCACCCCTGACCTACCTGCCACCCCTGACCTACCTGCCACCCCTGACCTACCTGCCACCCCTCACCTACCTGCCACCTTTCACCTACCTGCCACCCCTCACCTACCTGCCACCTTTCACCTACCTGCCACCCCTCACCTACCTGCCACCTTTCACCTACCTGCCAACCCTCACCTACCTGCCACCCCTCTAACCCTACCTGTCACCCCTCACCTACCTGCCACCCCTCACCTACCTGCCACCCCTGACCTACCTGCCACCTTTCACCTACCTGCCAACCCTCACCTACCTGCCACCCCTCTAACCCTACCTGCCACCCCTCACCTACCTGCCACCCCTCACCTACCTGCCACCCCTCACCTACCTGCCAACCCTCACCTACCTGCCACCCCTCTAACCCTACCTGTCACCCCTGACCTACATGCCACCCCTGACCTACATGCCACCCCTCACTCTACCTGCCACCCCTGACCTACCTGCCACCCCTCTAACCCTACCTGCCACCCCTGACTTACCTGCCACCCCTGACCTACCTGCCACCCCTCACCTACCTGCCACCTTTCACCTACCTGCCACCCCTCACCTACCTGCCACCCCTCACCTACCTGCCACCTTTCACCTACCTGCCACCCCTCACCTACCTGCCACCTTTCACCTACCTGCCAACCCTCACCTACCTGCCACCCCTCTAACCCTACCTGTCACCCCTCACCTACCTGCCACCCCTGACCTACCTGCCACCCCTGACCTACCTGCCACCTTTCACCTACCTGCCAACCCTCACCTACCTGCCACCCCTCTAACCCTACCTGCCACCACTCACCTACCTGCCACCCCTCACCTACCTGCCACCCCTCACCTACCTGCCACCCCTCTAACCCTACCTGTCACCCCTGACCTACATGCTACCCCTGACCTACATGCCACCCCTCACTCTACCTGCCACCCCTGACCTACCTGCCACCCCTCTAACCCTACCTGCCACCCCTGACCTACCTGCCACCCCTCTAACCCTACCTGTCACCCCTGACCTACATGCCACCCCTGACCTACATGCCACCCCTCTAACCCTACCTGCCACCCCTCACTCTACCTGCCACCCCTGACCTACCTGCCACCCCTGACCTACCTGCCACCCCTGACCATCATGCCACCCCTCACCTACCTGCCACCCCTGACCTACCTGCCACCCCTCACCTACCTGCCACCCCTGACCTACCTGCCACCCCTGACCTACCTGCCACCCCTGACCTACCTGCCACCCCTGACCTACCTGCCACCCCTCACCTACCTGCCACCTTTCACCTACCTGCCACCCCTCACCTACCTGCCACCTTTCACCTACCTGCCACCCCTCACCTACCTGCCACCTTTCACCTACCTGCCAACCCTCACCTACCTGCCACCCCTCTAACCCTACCTGTCACCCCTCACCTACCTGCCACCCCTCACCTACCTGCCACCCCTGACCTACCTGCCACCTTTCACCTACCTGCCAACCCTCACCTACCTGCCACCCCTCTAACCCTACCTGCCACCCCTCACCTACCTGCCACCCCTCACCTACCTGCCACCCCTCACCTACCTGCCAACCCTCACCTACCTGCCACCCCTCTAACCCTACCTGTCACCCCTGACCTACATGCCACCCCTGACCTACATGCCACCCCTCACTCTACCTGCCACCCCTGACCTACCTGCCACCCCTCTAACCCTACCTGCCACCCCTGACTTACCTGCCACCCCTGACCTACCTGCCACCCCTCACCTACCTGCCACCTTTCACCTACCTGCCACCCCTCACCTACCTGCCACCCCTCACCTACCTGCCACCTTTCACCTACCTGCCACCCCTCACCTACCTGCCACCTTTCACCTACCTGCCAACCCTCACCTACCTGCCACCCCTCTAACCCTACCTGTCACCCCTCACCTACCTGCCACCCCTGACCTACCTGCCACCCCTGACCTACCTGCCACCTTTCACCTACCTGCCAACCCTCACCTACCTGCCACCCCTCTAACCCTACCTGCCACCACTCACCTACCTGCCACCCCTCACCTACCTGCCACCCCTCACCTACCTGCCACCCCTCTAACCCTACCTGTCACCCCTGACCTACATGCTACCCCTGACCTACATGCCACCCCTCACTCTACCTGCCACCCCTGACCTACCTGCCACCCCTCTAACCCTACCTGCCACCCCTGACCTACCTGCCACCCCTCTAACCCTACCTGTCACCCCTGACCTACATGCCACCCCTGACCTACATGCCACCCCTCTAACCCTACCTGCCACCCCTCACTCTACCTGCCACCCCTGACCTACCTGCCACCCCTGACCTACCTGCCACCCCTGACCATCATGCCACCCCTCACCTACCTGCCACCCCTGACCTACATGCCACCCCTCTAACCCTACCTGCCACCCCTCACCTACCTGCCACCCCTCACCTACCTGCCACCCCTCACCTACCGGCCACCCCTGACCTACATGCCACCCCTCACCTACCTGCCACCCCTCTAACCCTACCTGCCACCCCTCACCTACCTGCCACCCCTCACCTACCTGCCACCCCTCACCTACATGCCACCCCTCACCTACCTGCCACCCCTGACCTACATGCCACCCCTCTAACCCTACCTGCCACCCCTCACCTACCTGCCACCCCTCACCTACCTGCCACCCCTGACCTACCTGCCACCCCTCTAACCCTACCTGTCACCCCTGACCTACCTGCCACCCCTGACCTACCTGCCACCCCTGACCTACATGCCACCCCTCACCTACCTGCCACCCCTGACCTACATGCCACCCCTCTAACCCTACCTGCCACCCCTCACCTACCTGCCACCCCTCACCTACCTGCCACCCCTCACCTACCTGCCACCCTGACCTACCTGCCACCCCTGACCTACCTGCCACCCTGACCTACCTGCCACCCCTCACCTACCTGCCACCCTGACCTACCTCCCACCCCTGACCTACCTGCCACCTTTCACCTACCTGCCACCCCTGACCTACCTGCCACCCCTGACCTACCTGCCACCCCTCACCTACCTGCCACCTCTCACCTACCTGCCACCCCTCACCTACCTGCCACCCCTGACCTACCTGCCACCCCTGACCTACCTGCCACCCCTGACCTACCTGCCACCCCTGACCTACCTGCCACCCCTCACCTACCTGCCACCCCTCACCTACCTGCCACCCCTCACCTACCTGCCACCCCTCACCTACCTGCCAACCCTCACCTACCTGCCACCCCTCTAACCCTACCTGTCACCCCTGACCTACATGCCACCCCTGACCTACATGCCACCCCTCACTCTACCTGCCACCCCTGACCTACCTGCCACCCCTCTAACCCTACCTGCCACCCCTGACCTACCTGCCACCCCTGACCTACCTGCCACCCCTGACCTACATGCCACCCCTCACCTACCTGCCACCCCTGACCTACATGCCACCCCTCTAACCCTACCTGCCACCCCTCACCTACCTGCCACCCCTCACCTACCTGCCACCCCTCACCTACCTGCCACCCTGACCTACCTGCCACCCCTGACCTACCTGCCACCCTGACCTACCTGCCACCCCTCACCTACCTGCCACCCTGACCTACCTCCCACCCCTGACCTACCTGCCACCTTTCACCTACCTGCCACCCCTGACCTACCTGCCACCCCTGACCTACCTGCCACCCCTCACCTACCTGCCACCTCTCACCTACCTGCCACCCCTCACCTACCTGCCACCCCTGACCTACCTGCCACCCCTGACCTACCTGCCACCCCTGACCTACCTGCCACCCCTCACCTACCTGCCACCCCTCACCTACCTGCCACCCCTCACCTACCTGCCAACCCTCACCTACCTGCCACCCCTCTAACCCTACCTGTCACCCCTGACCTACATGCCACCCCTGACCTACATGCCACCCCTCACTCTACCTGCCACCCCTGACCTACCTGCCACCCCTCTAACCCTACCTGCCACCCCTGACTTACCTGCCACCCCTGACCTACCTGCCACCCCTCACCTACCTGCCACCTTTCACCTACCTGCCACCCCTCACCTACCTGCCACCCCTCACCTACCTGCCACCTTTCACCTACCTGCCACCCCTCACCTACCTGCCACCTTTCACCTACCTGCCAACCCTCACCTACCTGCCACCCCTCTAACCCTACCTGTCACCCCTCACCTACCTGCCACCCCTGACCTACCTGCCACCCCTGACCTACCTGCCACCTTTCACCTACCTGCCAACCCTCACCTACCTGCCACCCCTCTAACCCTACCTGCCACCACTCACCTACCTGCCACCCCTCACCTACCTGCCACCCCTCACCTACCTGCCACCCCTCTAACCCTACCTGTCACCCCTGACCTACATGCTACCCCTGACCTACATGCCACCCCTCACTCTACCTGCCACCCCTGACCTACCTGCCACCCCTCTAACCCTACCTGCCACCCCTGACCTACCTGCCACCCCTCTAACCCTACCTGTCACCCCTGACCTACATGCCACCCCTGACCTACATGCCACCCCTCTAACCCTACCTGCCACCCCTCACTCTACCTGCCACCCCTGACCTACCTGCCACCCCTGACCTACCTGCCACCCCTGACCATCATGCCACCCCTCACCTACCTGCCACCCCTGACCTACATGCCACCCCTCTAACCCTACCTGCCACCCCTCACCTACCTGCCACCCCTCACCTACCTGCCACCCCTGACCTACATGCCACCCCTCACCTACCTGCCACCCCTCTAACCCTACCTGCCACCCCTCACCTACCTGCCACCCCTCACCTACCTGCCACCCCTCACCTACATGCCAACCCTCACCTACCTGCCACCCCTGACCTACATGCCACCCCTCTAACCCTACCTGCCACCCCTCACCTACCTGCCACCCCTCACCTACCTGCCACCCCTGACCTACCTGCCACCCCTCTAACCCTACCTGTCACCCCTGACCTACCTGCCACCCCTGACCTACCTGCCACCCCTGACCTACATGCCACCCCTCACCTACCTGCCACCCCTGACCTACATGCCACCCCTCTAACCCTACCTGCCACCCCTCACCTACCTGCCACCCCTCACCTACCTGCCACCCCTCACCTACCTGCCACCCTGACCTACCTGCCACCCCTGACCTACCTGCCACCCTGACCTACCTGCCACCCCTCACCTACCTGCCACCCTGACCTACCTCCCACCCCTGACCTACCTGCCACCTTTCACCTACCTGCCACCCCTGACCTACCTGCCACCCCTGACCTACCTGCCACCCCTCACCTACCTGCCACCTCTCACCTACCTGCCACCCCTCACCTACCTGCCACCCCTGACCTACCTGCCACCCCTGACCTACCTGCCACCCCTGACCTACCTGCCACCCCTCACCTACCTGCCACCCCTCACCTACCTGCCACCCCTCACCTACCTGCCACTCTGCGTAACTCCTCTGAAATGTCCAGACTGGCAGACAGCTCAGACTCAGATTCTCCCGTCTGTGGCAACACTTTCTCTGGCAGCTGATTGGTTGCCTCTGGTCCACGTGGCTCAAACAGGAAATGATTGGCTGGTGGGGAGCAGGGTGGGGTGGTGAGCTGGCGGGTGTGTGGGGGTCTGGGGGAGGCAAGTGGGGAGGTCTCTGGTGTGGGTTGTGGGGTGGGGACTCTGAAAGTCTGTGTGGGATGAGAACAACACTCTGGGTAAAACAGCTTTACAACTGGGAGAGCTTTATAGATGAAAAACAGTTTTGTCAAAGAGAAAAGAAAACAGTTTTGTCAAAGAGAAAAGAAAAAAAGTTTTGTCAAAGAGAAAAGAAAACAGTTTTGTCAAAGAGAAAAGAAAACAGTTTTGTCAAAGAGAAAAGAAAACAGTTTTGTCAAAGAGAAAAGAAAACAGTTTTGTCAAAGAGAAAAGAAAACAGTTTTGTCAAAGAGAAAAGAAAACAGTTTTGTCAAAGAAAAAAAAACAGTTTTGTCAAAGAGAAAAAAAAAACTGTTTTGTACCTGTTTTTCTGGAACAGGTTCGTTGACCAGAGCAGTGACCTTGACCTCTGCACTGCCATCAGCAGAGGTTTGAGCCAGCACGGCGTTAATTTTCTCCTGGATGACCTCCTTAATTAAAGCCTGGACCAGGGCGTTGTCCACGGGCTGACCGGCATCAATAAACATCTGGACCCCAGCCTGGCCTATCATGTCTGTCACTGGATAGTTCATGTCAGTCTTAGTAACAGACAGACAGACAGACAAACAGAACAACACTAGATAGACCAACAGACAGACAGACCAACAGACAGACAGACCAACAGACAGACAGACCAACAGACAGACAGACCAACAGACAGACAGACCAACAGACAGACAGACCAACAGACAGACAGACAGACCAACAGACAGACAGATCACAGACAGACAGACAGACCAACCAACAGACAAACAGAACAACACTAGACAGGCAAAGAGACAGACAGACCAACAGACAGACCAACAGACATACAGACCAACAGACAGACAGACCAATAGACAGACAGACCAACAGACAGACTGACCAACAGACAGACAGGCCAAGAGACAGACAGACCAACAGACAGACAGACCAACAGACAGACAGACCAACAGACAGACAGACCAACAGACAGACAGACCAACAGACAGACAGACCAACAGACAGACCAACAGACAGACAGACCAACAGACAGACAGACCAACAGACAGACAGACCAACAGACAGACCAACAGACAGACAGACCAACAGACAGACCAAGAGACAGACCGACCAACAGACAGACAGACCAACAGACAGACAGACCAACAGACAGACAGACCAACAGACAAACAGAACAACACTAGACAGGCAAAGAGACAGACAGACCAACAGACATACAGACCAACAGACAGACAGACCAACAGACAGACCAACAGACAGACAGACCAACAGACAGACCAACAGACAGACAGACAGACAGATCACAGACAGACAGACCAACAGACAGACAGACCAACAGACAGACAGACAGACCAACAGACAGACAGACCAACAGACAAACAGAACAACACTAGACAGACCAACAGACAGACAGACCAATAGACAGACAGACCAACAGACAGACAGGCCAACAGACAGACAGACCAAGAGACGGCCCTACCCAGCAGGGAGTCCTCCCTGTCACTCTCCTCCAACTCCTCCATCGTCTGCTTGTCTGCTGGGGTGGAGGTCACCATGACCTTGGACAACACTTGAGCCATCAGCTCTTGTTCCAGCCTAGAGAGAGGTCAGGGGTTCAAAGGTCAGTAATTCAAGAGGTCAATGGTTTAAAGGTCAGTGGTTCAAGGTCAGTAATTCAAGAGGTCAATGGTTTAAAGGTCAGTGGTTCAAGGTCAGTAATTCAAGGGATCAATGGTTTAAAGGTCAGTTGTTCAAGGTCAGTAATTCAAGAGGTCAGTTGTTTAAATGTCAGTGGTTCAAGGTCAGTAATTCAAGAGGTCAGTGGTTTAAGGGGTCATTAATTCAAGTGGTTGAAGGGGTCAGTGGAGACTCACCACAGGACAGCGTTGTCCTCCAGAATGTCCCGTCGCCTGAGGTCCTCTGCCACAACATCAGACATGAGGTGGGTGTCGCCCGCGGCCCACTGAGCCTGTGGTCTGGTGGGAGGGAACTCTGGGCCAAATGTAGGCGCAAGTTTAGGCTCGTAGCCAGGCAGCTGGATGCCCTCCCCGCTCTGCTCCTGGTCAGACTCACTCTCCTCTTCACTTGTTGGCTCACCTTGACTCACCTGACACAAACACATCAGGTGACCTAACTCACAAGACCTTTAAGACCTAACTACAACCCTTGTATGATTTAACTACAACCCCCATATGACCTAACACAAAACCTTTAAGACCTAACCCTAACCCCTGTATGACCTAACTACAACCCCCATATGACCAAACACAAAACCTTTAAGACCTAACCCTAACCCCTGTATGACCTAACTACAACCCCCGTATGACCTAACACAAAACCTTTAAGACCTAACCCTAACCCCTGTATGACCCAACTACAACCCCCGTATGACCTAACACACAAAACCTACATGACCTTAGACAAGACCTCACCATGCTGTTATTGTTATTGAACTGAAAGGTCCTGCTGCCTATTTGTGGACTCAACATTTCCAGCTCCGACCTTTTGGAGGATGAGGGGGAGATGGAGTCAATGTCTATAGGTGGCAGTACCTGGTTCAGACAGAAGGGAAGAAATGTCAAGCAGTGACATCTAGATGACAGACAACATACAACATCTAGTTGACAGACAACATCTAGGTGACAGACAACATCTATTTGACAGACAACATCTAGTTGACAGACAACATCTAGGTGACAGACAACATCTATTTGACAGACAGCATCTAGATGACAGACAACATCTAGGTGACAGACAACTTCCACATGACAGACAACATCTAGGTGAAAGACAACATCTAGGTGACAGACAACATCTAGGTGACAGACAACATCTAGGTGACAGACAACATCTAGATGACAGACAACATCTAGTTGACAGACAATATCTAGGTGACAGACAACATCTAGGTGACAGACAACATCTAGATGACAGACAACATCTAGATGACAGACAACTTCCACATGACAGACAACATCTAGATGACAGACAACATCTAGGTGACAGACAACTTCCATATGACAGACAACATCTAGATGACAGACAACTTCCACATGACAGACAACATCTAGATGACAGACAACATCTAGGTGACAGACAACTTCCATATGACAGACAACATCTAGATGACAGACATGAGCATGTCAGGTTTGACCAACCTGTTTAGCTAGCTCTGACTGTCTGGCCTTGCTTGGCTTGCTGTCCGCAGGGAATGAGACCATGACGACATTCCTGTCAGCTGTGACAGCTGGCACCGGGGTAGACGTGACTGGGGTGGTCAGCAGCTGGGCTGACCTTCTGACCCCTGGCTCCAGACGTGGCTGGCCCAGTGGGATGGCCATAGGCACCAGCTCACCTGGGATAGGTGCTGAAACACACAGGCACACCTGTCTGACACCTGAGAGACTGACAACTGAGAGACTGACACCTGTCTGACACCTGAGAGACTGACACCTGTCTGACAACTGAGAGACTGACAACTGTCTGACAACTGGCAGCAGCATTTCTATCAGTCAACCATACAAGTGACTGTTAAAAATTAAAGACTGACCACTCCCCATGACATACTGACACTCCCCATGACATACTGACACTCCCCATGACATACTGACACTCACCATGACAGAATGACACTCACCATGACAGACTGACACTCACCATGACAGACTGACACTCACCATGACCGACTGACACTCACCATTATCATAAACTGGAATGTAGCCTCTTGTTGGGCTAAAATAAAATTGTCTTGGGTTGTTCATCTGAAACTGCTTAGCTTTAGGTGACCTTGACCGTGCATCAGCACTAACTGAAGAAATAAACAAAAGACACACTGACCACATACAAAACACTGCCAACATCATATACTGACCACACCACACACTGACCACACCACACCACACACTGACCACACCACACACTGACCACACCACACACTGACCACACCACACACTGACCACACCACACCACACACTGACCACACCACACACTGACCACACCACACCACACACTGACCACACCACACACAGACCACACCACACCACACACTGACCACACCACACCACACACTGACCACACCACACACAGACCACACCACACCACACACTGACCACACCACACCACACACTGACCACACCACACACTGACCACACCACACACTGACCACACCACACACTGACCACACCACACCACACGCTGACCACAACATATACTGACCACACCACACAATGACCACACCACACACTGACAACACCACACCACACACTGACCACACCACACACTGACCACACCACACACTGACCACACCACACCGAACACTGACCACACCACACGACACTGACCACACCACACAACACACTGACCACACCACACCACACACTGACCACACCACACCTACCAAGCGAGTCTGTAATGGGAACAGGCCGTGTGGCTGGCTTGCTGTTCTTGAAGTGCAGATAGGGGTCCCTGATGGTGGTGCGCCCACGCTGGTGCTCTCCCTTGCCATACGTCCTCTCCCTGGTCTTCTCATCCCTGATCATGGCAGGCTGGGTAACAAAACATCATCACATCACATGACACATCATCACATCACATGACACATCATCACATCACATGACACATCATCACATCACATGACACATCATCACATCACATGACACATCATCACATCACACGACACATCATCACATCAATGACACATCATCACATCACTGACACATCATCACATCACTGACACATCACATGACACATCATCACTTCACTGACACATCATCACATCACTGACACATCACATGACACATCATCACATCACTGACACATCATCACATCACATGACACATCATCACATCATTGACACATCATCACATCACTGACACATCATCACATCAATGACACATCATCACATCAATGACACATCATCACATCACTGACACATCATCACATCACTGACACATCATCACATCAATGACACATCATCACATCAATGACACATCATCACATCACTGACACATCATCTCATCACTGACACATCACTTCATTGACACATCATTACATCACTGACACATCATCACATCATTGACACATCATCACATCACGGACACATCATCACACTCAGGACACATCATCACTTCACTGACACATCATCACATCACTGACACATCATCACATCACGGACACATCATCACATCACTGACACATCATCACATCACTGACACATCATCACATCACTGACACATCATCACATCACTGACACATCATCACATCGCTGACACAGCATCACATCACAGTCACATCATCACATCACGGACACATCATCAGATCATAAATACATCATCACTTCACTGACACAGCATCACATCACGGACACATCATCACGGACACATCATCACATCACTGACACATCATCACTTCACTGACACAGCATCACATCACTGACACATCATCACATCACCGACACATCATCACATCACTGACACATCATCACATCACTGACAAAGCATCACATCACTGACACAGCATCACATCACTGACACATCATCACATCATTGACACATCATCACATCACTGACACATCATCACATCACTGACACATCATCACATCACTGACACATCATCACATCACTGACACATCATCACATCACTGACACATCACCACATTAAAACATACACACATTAAAACATAGACACATTAAAACATAGACACTTTAAAACATAGACACTTTAAAACATAGACACATTAAAACATAGACACTCTAAAACATAGACACTTTAAAACATAGACACATTTAAGCATAGACACATTAAAACATACACACATTAAAACATAGATACATTAAAACATAGACACTTTAAAACATAGACACTTTAAAACATAGACACTTTAAAACATAGACACTTTAAAACATAGACACATTAAAACAGACACATTAAAGCATAGACACATTAAAACATAGACACATTAAAACATAGACACATTAAAACATAGACACATTAAAACATAGACACATTAAAACATAGACACATTAAAACATAGACACATTAACAGATCATTTCTTGTTTCATGCTAACCTTCGGAGGAACCTTGACCTTCCTGTTTTCTTTCCCCGAAGCCAACCTGGCAACATGTTGAGTCTGCTCCCTGGTCAGGTTGCCAGATTTTGTCTTGGGTGCCATGTTGACAGCTGCCAGTTTGTCCTGGGCCAGGCTGTGGGTGACTCCTCGCTGGCAGAGACAAGAGCTGGCTCAAGCAAACATTCACCTCAAACATCAGGGGCAACAGGTATACAGCCATACAAGGGCAAGGACAAAGTTCAACCACATGCCAAAGTCAAGGTCAGAGTTCAACAATTCATTAGAGCAGGGGTCTCCAAACTTTTCAGCCCGAGGGCCGCATTGACTATGACTATCAAATAGCAGTTCAGGGGCCAGAGTTTCTTCCAGGCATCTGTTAGGGATGACGCAGACCCCCTCCCCTGTGTTTCTTCCAGACTTTTTTCTCTGGGAGGGCACTCGATATTTTCGGGGGGGGGGGGGGAGAATCACTAGTTAAAGTGTATGTTTATTATATGAATTCCATCTCGTACGGGGGGGTAGACTTTCTTTGGGGGCAGAGCCTGAAGAGATGCTTGGAAGAAACTTTCCCCCCCTTCCCCCCGAAGAACGTCTCCCCCCCACCCAAACTAAATTAGATTTATTAAGATATATATATATATTTATATATATATATAAATTTCAAGTGCCCCCCCCCCCGAGAAAAAAGTCTGAGAGAAACACTTTTGGGGACAGACAACAATGGGAGATCCAAGTTTCTTCTCAAGTTGTTCTTCACGTAGGCCTACTTCATTATTGAAAATGTTTGTATGTTGTTCCAAACATTGAAAGGTACTTTGATGCAAAAGTTGTAATATTAGGAAAGTCTTCCTTGGGAAATACTCATTAAACCCACCCGCCCGCCCTTATTTTAAATTGTCTTTAAGGAGGTCATTTGCTGGGCAACAGGCCACATTTGCTTCAGTGGCATTTGCACCCAATGCTAAATTTTCAATTTGTTTAGAAGTTTTTCCTCAGCCACCTCCAACAAACATTTCTTTTTCCATGAACAAAACTTTCTCGAGGGCCGGATGAGAGGACCTCGCGGGCCTCTTCCGGCCCGCGGGCCGTAGTTTGGAGACCCCTGCATTAGAGTAAAGTGAAAATGCAGCCATTTAACAAGGTCAAGGTAAAAGTTCAAACACACAACAAGCTCAGGGCAATCCATTATTTAGCAAGTTCAGGGTGAAAGGTCAACAATTTGGCAAGGTCAGGGTGAAAGGTCAACCATTGAGCAAGGTCAGAGTAAAAGGTCAACCATTGAACAAGGTCAGGGTGAAAGGTCAACTATTGAGCAATGTCAGGGTGTAAGGTCAACCATTTAGCAAGGTCAAGGTGAAAGGTCAACCATTGAGCAAGGTCAGGGTGTAAGGTCAACCATTTAGCAAGGTCAGAGTAAAAGATCAACCATTGAGCAAGTTCAGGTTGAAAGGTCAACCATTGAGCAAGGTCAGGATGAAAGGTCAACCATTTAGCAAGGTCAGAGTGGAAGGTCAACCATTGAGCAAGGTCAGGGTGTAAGGTCAACCATTTAGCAAGGTCAGAGTAAAAGATCAACCATTGAGCAAGTTCAGGTTGAAAGGTCAACCATTGAGCAAGGTCAGGGTGAAAGGTCAACAATTGAGCAAGGTCGGGGTGGAAGGTCAACCATTGAGCAAGGTCAGAGTGAAAGGTCACCCACTCAGCAAGCCCCAATGTACCTGTACTTCAGCTTGTAAGGCAGCAATCTTCCTGGTGACCTTGACCTCAATTTGTTTTCTGTCATCATCAGCACTAGAATATAAGGAGAAGGCGGTTTTGTAAACATCATGCACATTCATTAAAATAGAATTAATGACCTATAGCAGCAACAAATGACCTATAGCAGCAACAAATGACCTATAGCAGCAACAAATGACCTATAGCAGCAACAAATGACCTATAGCAGCAACAAATGACCTATAGCAGCAACGTATGACCTATAGCAGCAACAAATGACCTATAGCAGCAACAAATGACCTATAGCAGCAACGTATGACCTATAGCAGCAACAAATGACCTATAGCAGCAACAAATGACCTATAGCAGCAACAAATGACCTATAGCAGCAACAAATGACCTATAGCAGCAACAAATGACCTATAGCAGCAACAAATGACCTATAGCAGCAACCTACCTTACTGACTCCTGCACTGCACTAAAGACATGGACATCCCTACGTGACCTAATGACCTGTTCCAGATTGGACTCTAAAATCTCTCGAGTCATCTGCAACTGTTTCAAGACTTGCTTGGCCTCCGCCAGATCTTGCGGCTGACCAAAATGTGATTTGTGCTGGGCTCGAAACTTGGGGTAGGGGCTGCCCTCTTTATGGGGGTATTTCTGACAGAGACATTCAGCTGGTTAGCCACAACATTTCTAGAACTCTAGTGACAAGACTTGACAGATAGAAAAAGATTTACCAAATAAAGATCCAGCTAAGGACAAGACTTGACAGCTAGAAAGAGATTTACCAAATAAAGATCCAGCTAAGGACAAGACTTGACAGCTAGAAAAAGATTTACCAAATAAAGATCCAGCTAAGGACAAGACTTGACAGCTAGAAAGAGATTTATCAAATAAAGATCCAGCTAAGGACAAGACTTGACAGCTAGAAAAAGATTTACCAAATAAAGATCCAGCTAAGGACAAGACTTGACAGCTAGAAAGAGATTTACCAAATAAAGATCCAGCTAAGGACAAGACTTGACAGCTAGAAAAAGATTTACCAAATAAAGATCCAGCTAAGGACAAGACTTGACAGCTAGAAAAAGATTTACCAAATAAAGATCCAGCTAAGGACAAGACTTGACAGCTAGAAAGAGATTTACCAAATAAAGATCCATCTAAGGACAAGACTTGACAGCTAGAAAGAGATTTACCAAATAAAGATCCATCTAAGGACAAGACTTGACAGCTAGAAAGAGATTTACCAAATAAAGATCCAGCTAAGGACAAGACTTGACAGCTAGAAAAAGATTTACCAAATAAAGATCCAGCTAAGGACAAGACTAGACAGCTAGAAAAAGATTTACCAAATAAAGATCCAGCTAAGGACAAGACTTGACAGCTAGAAAAAGATTTACCAAATAAAGATCCAGCTAAGGACAAGACTTGACAGCTAGAAAAAGATTTACCAAATAAAGATCCAGCTAAGGACAAGACTTGACAGCTAGAAAAAGATTTACCAAATAAAGATCCAGCTAAGGACAAGACTTGACAGCTAGAAAAAGATTTACCAAATAAAGATCCAGCTAAGGACAAGACTTGACAGCTAGAAAAAGATTTACCAAATAAAGATCCAGCTAAGGACAAGACTTGACAGCTAGAAAAAGATTTACCAAATAAAGATCCAGCTAAGGACAAGACTTGACAGCTAGAAAAAGATTTACCAAATAAAGATCCAGCTAAGGACAAGACTTGACAGCTAGAAAAAGATTTACCAAATAAAGATCCAGCTAAGGACAAGACTTGACAGCTAGAAAAAGATTTACCAAATAAAGATCCAGCTAAGGACAAGACTTGACAGCTAGAAAAAGATTTACCAAATAAAGATCCAGCTAAGGACAAGACTTGACAGCTAGAAAAAGATTTACCAAATAAAGATCCAGCTAAGGACAAGACTTGACAGCTAGAAAAAGATTTACCAAATAAAGATCCAGTGGTGCAGGGCCTGTCACTCTGTCCATCTGGAAAAAAATGTTTTGTTAAGAAAACTTTGTGGAACACAACACACAACACATAACAGATTATAATATCACAACACATAACACACAAAATATTACACAACACAACACATAACACAAGACAGATTATAATATCACAACACATCACACACAATACAGTACACATCAACACAGTACACACAACACAGTACACACCAACACAAGTACTCACCATTTGACCAGCAGTCTGACCATCTCTCGCCCCCTGTAGCAGGTAAAGAAATGTTAAGTCAGGGTTAGGGGATCAAGGTTGGGGGGCAGGGTTGGGGGGGGGGGGGGGAGTGAGACTAAGTGAGACAGTAAGTGAGACTAAGTGAGACAGTAAGTGAGACTAAGTGAGACAGTGAGTGAGACTAAGTGAGACAGTGAGTGAGACTAAGTTAGACAGTGAGTGAGACTAAGTGAGACAGTGAGTGAGACTAAGTGAGACAGTGAGTGAGACTAAGTGAGACAGTGAGTGAGACAGTGTGTGAGACAGTGAAAGAGACTAAGTGAGACAGTGAGTGAGACAGTGAGTGAGACTAAGTGAGACAGTGAGTGAGACAGTGAGTGAGACTAAGTGAGACAGTGAGTGAGACTAAGTGAGACAGTGAGTGAGACTAAGTGAGACAGTGAGTGAGATTAAGTGAGACAGTGAGTGAGACTAAGTTAGACAGTGAGTGAGACTAAGTGAGACAGTGAGTGAGACAGTAAGTGAGACAGTGAGTGAGACTAAGGGAGGCAGTGAGTGAGACAGTGAGTGAGACAGTGAGTGAGACTAAGTGAGACAGTGAGTGAGACAGTGAGTGAGATTAAGTGAGACAGTGAGTGAGACTAAGTAAGACAGTGAGTGAGACTATGTGAGACAGTGAGTGAGACTAAGTGAGACAGTGAGTGAGACTAAGTGAGACAGTGAGTGAGACTAAGTGAGACAGTGAGTGAGACAGTGAGTGAGACTAAGGGAGACAGTGAGTGAGACAGTGAGTGAGACAGTGAGGGAGACTAAGTGAGACAGTGAGTGAGACAGTGAGTGAGACTAAGTGAGACAGTGAGTGAGACTAAGTGAGACAGTGAATGAGACAGTGAGTGAGACAGTGAGTGAGACTAAGTGAGATAGTGAGTGAGACAGTGAGTGAGACTAAGTGAGACAGTGAGTGAGACAGTGAGTGAGACTAAGTGAGACAGTGAGTGAGACAGTGAGTGAGACAGTGAGTGAGACAGTGAGTGAGACTAAGTGAGACAGTGAGTGAGACAGTGAGGGAGACTAAGTGAGATAGTGAGTGAGACAGTGAGTGAGACTAAGTGAGACAGTGAGTGAGACTAAGTGAGACAGTGAGTGAGACTAAGTGAGACAGTGAGTGAGACAGTGAGTGAGACAGTGAGTGAGACAGTGAGTGAGACTAAGTGAGACAGTGAGTGAGACTAAGTGAGACAGTGAGTGAGACAGTGAGTGAGACTTAGTAAGACAGTGAGTGAGATAAGTGAGACAGTGAGTGAGACAGTGAGTGAGACTAAGCTAGACAGTGAGTGAGACAGTGAGTGAGACAGTAAGTGAGACAGTGAGTGAGACTTAGTGAGACAGTGAGTGAGACAGTGAGTGAGACAGTGAGTGAGACTAAGTTAGACAGTGAGTGAGACTAAGTGAGACAGTGAGTGAGACTAAGTGAGACAGTGAGTGAGACTAAGTGAGACAGTGAGTGAGACTAAGTGAGACAGTGAGTGAGACTAAGTGAGACAGTGAGTGAGACTAAGTGAGACAGTGAGTGAGACTAAGTGAGACAGTGAGTGAGACTAAGTGAGACAGTGAGTGAGACTAAGTGAGACAGTGAGTGAGACAGTGAGTGAGACTAAGTGAGACAGTGAGTGAGACTAAGTGAGACAGTGAGTGAGACTAAGTGAGACAGTGAGTGAGACAAAGTGAGACAGTGAGTGAGACAGTGTGTGAGACAGTGAGTGAGACTAAGTGAGACAGTGAGTGAGACTAAGTTAGACAGTGAGTGAGACAGTGAGTGAGACAGTGAGTGAGACTAAGTGAGACGGTGAGTGAGACTAAGTGAGACAGTGAGTGAGACTAACTGAGACAGTGAGTGAGACAAAGTGAGACAGTGAGTGAGACAGTGTGTGAGACAGTGAAAGAGACTAAGTGAGAAAGTGAGTGAGACAGTGAGTGAGACAGTGAGTGAGACTAAGTGAGACAGTGAGTGAGACTAAGTGAGACAGTGAGTGAGACAGTGAGTGAGACTAAGTGAGACAGTGAGTGAGAAAGTGAGTGAGACAGTAAGTGAGACAGTGAGTGAGACTAAGTGAGACAGTGAGTGAGACTAAGTGAGACAGTAAGTGAGACAGTGAGTGAGACTAAGGGAGACAGTGAGTGAGACAGTGAGTGAGACAGTGAGTGAGACTAAGTGAGACAGTGAGTGAGACAGTGAGTGAGATTAAGTGAGACAGTGAGTGAGACTAAGTTAGACAGTGAGTGAGACTATGTGAGACAGTGAGTGAGACTAAGTGAGACAGTGAGTGAGACTAAGTCAGACAGTGAGTGAGACTAAGTGAGACAGTGAGTGAGACTAAGTTAGACAGTGAGTGAGACTAAGTGAGACAGTGAGTGAGACAGTGAGTGAGACAGTGAGTGAGACTAAGTGAGACAGTGAGTGAGACTAATTGAGACAGTGAGTGAGACTAAGTGAGACAGTGAGTGAGACAGTGAGTGAGACAGTGAGTGAGACAGTGAGTGAGACAGTGAGTGAGACTAAGTGAGACAGTGTGTGAGACAATGAGTGAGACAATGAGTGAGACTAAGTGAGACAGTGAGTGAGACTAAGTGAGACAGTAAGTGAGACAGTGAGTGAGACAGTGAGTGAGACTAAGTTAGACAGTGAGTGAGACTAAGTGATACAGTGAGTGAGACTAAGTTAGACAGTGAGTGAGACTAAGTGAGACAGTGAGTGAGACTAAGTGAGACAGTGAGTGAGACTAAGTGAGACAGTGAGTGAGACTAAGTGAGACAGTGAGTGAGACTAAGTGAGACAGTGAGTGAGACTAAGTTAGACAGTGAATGAGACAGTGATTGAGACAGTGAGTGAGACTAAGTTAGACAGTGAGTGAGACTAAGTGAGACAGTGAGTGAGACTAAGTGAGACAGTGAGTGAGACTAAGTTAGACAGTGAGTGAGACTAAGTTAGACAGTGAGTGAGACTAAGTGAGACAGTGAGTGAGACTAAGTGAGACAGTGAGTGAGACTAAGTTAGACAGTGAGTGAGACAGTGAGTGAGACAGTGAGTGAGACTAAGTTAGACAGTGAGTGAGACTAAGTGAGACAGTGAGTGAGACTAAGTGAGACAGTGAGTGAGACTTTGTGAGACAGTGATTGAGACTAAGTGAGACAGTGAGTGAGACTAAGTTAAACAGTGAGTGAGACAGTGAGTGAGACTAAGTGAGACAGTGAGTGAGACAGTGAGTGAGACAGTGAGTGAGACAGTGAGTGAGACAGTGAGTGAGACTAAGTGAGACAGTGAGTGAGACAACTTGATTCTGAGTGAGACTTTGAGTGAGTCTGAGAGTGAGACAGTGAGTGAGACAGTGAGTGAGACTAAGGGAGACAGTGAGTGAGACTAAGTGAGACAGTGAGTGAGACAGTGAGTGAGACAGTGAGTGAGACTAAGTGAGACAGTGAGTGAGACTAAGTGAGACAGTGAGTGAGACTAAGTGAGACAGTGAGTGAGACAGTGAGTGAGACAGTGAGTGAGACTAAGTGAGACAGTGAGTGAGACTAAGTGAGACAGTGTGTGAGACAATGAGTGAGACAATGAGTGAGACTAAGTGAGACATTGAGTGAGACAGTGAGTGAGACTAAGTGAGACAGTGAGTGAGACTAAGTGAGACAGTGAGTGAGACTAAGTGAGACAGTAAGTGAGACAGTGAGTGAGACAGTGAGTGAGACTAAGTTAGACAGTGAGTGAGACTAAGTGATACAGTGAGTGAGACTAAGTTAGACAGTGAGTGAGACTAAGTGAGACAGTGAGTGAGACTAAGTGAGACAGTGAGTGAGACTAAGTGAGACAGTGAGTGAGACTAAGTGAGACAGTGAGTGAGACTAAGTGAGACAGTGAGTGAGACTAAGTTAGACAGTGAATGAGACAGTGATTGAGACAGTGAGTGAGACTAAGTTAGACAGTGAGTGAGACTAAGTGAGACAGTGAGTGAGACTAAGTGAGACAGTGAGTGAGACTAAGTGAGACAGTGAGTGAGACTAAGTTAGACAGTGAGTGAGACTAAGTGAGACAGTGAGTGAGACTAAGTGAGACAGTGAGTGAGACTAAGTTAGACAGTGAGTGAGACAGTGAGTGAGACAGTGAGTGAGACTAAGTTAGACAGTGAGTGAGACTAAGTGAGACAGTGAGTGAGACTAAGTGAGACAGTGAGTGAGACTTTGTGAGACAGTGATTGAGACTAAGTGAGACAGTGAGTGAGACTAAGTTAAACAGTGAGTGAGACAGTGAGTGAGACTAAGTGAGACAGTGAGTGAGACAGTGAGTGAGACAGTGAGTGAGACAGTGAGTGAGACTAAGTGAGACAGTGAGTGAGACAACTTGATTCTGAGTGAGACTTTGAGTGAGTCTGAGAGTGAGACAGTGAGTGAGACAGTGAGTGAGACTAAGGGAGACAGTGAGTGAGACAGTGAGTGAGACTAAGTGAGACAGTGAGTGAGACAGTGAGTGAGACTAAGGGAGACAGTGAGTGAGACAGTGAGTGAGACTAAGTGAGACAGTGAGTGAGACTAAGTGAGACAGTGAGTGAGACTAAGTGAGACAGTGAGTGAGACTAAGTGAGATAGTGAGTGAGACTAAGTTAAACAGTGAGTGAGACAGTGAGTGAGACTAAGTGAGACAGTGAGTGAGACAACTTGATGCTGAGTGAGACTTTGAGTGAGTCTGAGAGTGAGACAGTGAGTGAAAGTTTACACTGACCCACACACTCTGGGCTGTCCTCCTCTCCAACTCTGACAGTGAGGCCACCAACTGACGAGCTTTGTCCACGGGACTTTTGTCCCGCCTTGAAATGTCCCGCCTTAAGGCACTGTTGTTGCTGGGTGGAGAAAAACAAAAGATGTCATGTGATACGTGGTAGGGGGGGGGGGGTGGAGGTGGGTACCCGTGAGCCGGCAATGGATGGTGGGTCAGCTTAACGTACACTTTCTACTGGTATGGCCTCCACTGGGAGCCGGACGTTTTCCCGAAAGACACTTGCCCGAATGCCGTTTGCCCGAAGGCCGATTTCCCGAATGGACACTTGCCCGAATGCGACAAATGCCCGAATGGACACTTGCCCGAATGCGACAAACGCCCGAATGGACACTTGCCCGAAAGCGACAAATGCCCGAATGGACACTTGCCCGAATGCGACAAACGCCCGAATGGACACTTGCCCGAAAGCGACAAATGCCCGAATGGACACTTGCCCGAATGCGACAAACGCCCGAATGGACACTTGCCCGAATGCGACAAATGCCCGAATGGACACTTGCCCGAATGCGACAAACGCCCGAATGGACACTTGCCCGAATGCGACAAATGCCCGAATGGACACTTGCCCGAATGCGACAAATGCCCGAATGGACACTTGCCCGAATGCGACAAATGCCCGAATGGACACTTGCCCGAATGCGACAAACGCCCGAATGGACACTTGCCCGAATGCGACAAACGCCCGAATGGACACTTGCCCGAAAGCGACAAATGCCCGAATGGACACTTGCCCGAATGCGACAAACGCCCGAATGGACACTTGCCCGAATGCGACAAATGCCCGAATGGACACTTGCCCGAATGCGACAAATGCCCGAATGGACACTTGCCCGAATGCGACAAATGCCCGAATGGACACTTGCCCGAATGCGACAAATGCCCGAATGGACACTTGCCCGAATGCGACAAATGCCCGAATGGACACTTGCCCTAATGCGACAAATGCCCGAATGCCACTTGCCCGAAGGCCGTTTGCCCGAAAAATGTTAACATTATATATTACCAAATAATCATTCGTTATCAATTTATATTTGAAATGTTGATTAAATAACATCTTAAAACCCGTTGGTACTTATTTCTTCATTAGTGCTACTCTTTGGGTAATTAGTGCTGTTTTGACATTTTTTTTTCTTCTCAATTACTGGGCTCTTCTGTTTATTTAGAACAGCGTGTTTTAGTCAGATTTAATTTGGTACAGCGTGTTTTAGTCAGATTTTATCTGATCAGCAAGAACAAAAGAATAAATTCATCAACTGGGTGACCGATTTTAAGGGAGATAATAAAGATTTATTTCAGTACAGAAATTATTTTATTCTTGTCTCCCTTTAATGGCAGAACCTAATTAGAGCGTGGCAAGTACGGAATAGGGGTGGGATGGGGGTGGGATGGGGGTGGGATGAGGGTGGGGTGGGTGGGAAGAGGGTGGGGTGAGGGTGGGGTGGGTGGGAAGAGGGTGTGGTGGGTGGGAAGGGGGTGGGGTGAGGGTGGGGTGGGTGGGAAGGGGGTGGGATGAGGGGGGGATGAGGGGGGGTGAGGGGGGGTGGGATAAGGGGGGGAATGGGATGAGGGGGTGGTATGAGGGGGGTGGGATGAGGGTGAGGGGGGATGAGGATGAGATGGGTGCGGGTCATCATGCACAAACTGAAATCACGCACTTTCCATACAAATCTAGATACGGGAAATATGTGATGTCTCAATGGATCTAGGAAATATGTGATGTCTCTATGGATCTAGGAAATATGTGATGTCTCTATGGCTCTAGGAAATATGTGATGTCTCTATAGACCTAGGAAATATGTGATGTCTCTATGGCTCTAGGAAATATGTGATGTCTCTATGGCTCTAGGAAATATGTGATGTCTCTATGGCTGTAGGAAATATGTGATGTCTCTATGGATCTAGGAAATATGTGAAGTCTCTATGGCTCTTGGAAATATGTGATGTCTCAATGGATCTAGGAAATATGTGATGTCTCTATGGATCTAGGAAATATGTGATGTCTCTATGGCTCTTGGAAATATGTGATGTCTCTATGGCTCTAGGAAATATGTGATGTCTCTATGGCTCTAGGAAATATGTGATGTCTCTATGGCTCTTGGAAATATGTGATGTCTCTATGGATCTAGGAAATATGTGATGTCTCTATGGCTCTAGGAAATATGTGATGTCTCTATGGCTCTAGGAAATATGTGATGTCTCTATGGATCTAGGAAATATGTGATGTCTCTATGGCTCTAGGAAATATGTGATGTCTCTATGGATCTAGGAAATATGTGATGTCTCAATGGCTGTAGGAAATATGTGATGTCTCTATGGCTCTTGGAAATATGTGATGTCTCTATAGACCTAGGAAATATGTGATGTCTCTATGGATCTAGGAAATATGTGATGTCTCTATGGCTCTAGGAAATATGTGATGTCTCTATAGACCTAGGAAATATGTGATGTCTCTATGGCTCTAGGAAATATGTGATGTCTCTATGGATCTTGGAAATATGTGATGTCTCTATGGCTCTAGGAAATATGTGATGTGTCTATAGACCTAGGAAATATGTGATGTCTCTATGGATCTTGGAAATATGTGATGTCTCTATGGCTCTAGGAAATATGTGATGTCTCTATGGCTCTAGGAAATATGTGATGTCTCTATAGACCTAGGAAATATGTGATGTCTCTATGGATCTTGGAAATATGTGATGTCTCTATGGCTCTAGGAAATATGTGATGTCTCTATGGCTCTAGGAAATATGTGATGTCTCTATGGATCTAGGAAATATGTGATGTCTCTATAGACCTAGGAAATATGTGATGTCTCTATAGACCTAGGAAATATGTGATGTCTCTATAGACCTAGGAAATATGTGATGTCTCTATAGACCTAGGAAATATGTGATGTCTCTATGGATCTAGGAAATATGTGATGTCTCTATGGCTCTAGGAAATATGTGATGTCTCTATGGCTCTAGGAAATATGTGATGTCTCTATGGATCTAGGAAATATGTGATGTCTCTATAGACCTAGGAAATATGTGATGTCTCTATAGACCTAGGAAATATGTGATGTCTCTATAGACCTAGGAAATATGTGATGTCTCTATAGACCTAGGAAATATGTGATGTCTCTATGGCTCTAGGAAATATGTGATGTCTCTATGGCTCTAGGAAATATGTGATGTGTCTATAGACCTAGGAAATATGTGATGTCTCTATGGCTCTAGGAAATATGTGATGTCTCTATGGATCTTGGAAATATGTGATGTCTCTATGGCTCTAGGAAATATGTGATGTGTCTATAGACCTAGGAAATATGTGATGTCTCAATGGCTGTAGGAAATATGTGATGTCTCTATGGCTCTAGGAAATATGTGATGTCTCTATAGACCTAGGAAATATGTGATGTCTCTATGGCTCTTGGAAATATGTGATGTCTCTATAGACCTAGGAAATATGTGATGTCTCTATAGACCTAGGAAATATGTGATGTCTGTATAGACCTAGGAAATATGTGATGTCTCTATAGACCTAGGAAATATGTGATGTCTCTATAGACCTAGGAAATACGTGATGTCTCTATGGATCTAGGAAATATGTGATGTCTCTATGGCTCTAGGAAATATGTGATGTCTCTATAGACCTAGGAAATATGTGATGTCTCTATGGCTGTAGGAAATATGTGATGTCTCTATAGACCTAGGAAATATGTGATGTCTCTATGGCTCTAGGAAATATGTGATGTCTCTATGGCTCTAGGAAATATGTGATGTCTCTATGGATCTAGGAAATATGTGATGTCTCTATAGACCTAGGAAATATGTGATGTCTCTATGGATCTTGAAAATATGTGATGTCTCTATGGCTCTTGGAAATATGTGATGTCTCTATGGCTCTAGGAAATATGTGATGTCTCTATGGCTCTAGGAAATATGTGATGTCTCTATGGCTCTTGGAAATATGTGATGTCTCTATGGCTTTAGGAAATATGTGATGTTTCTATGGCTCTAGGAAATATGTGATGTCTCTATAGACCTAGGAAATATGTGATGTCTCTATGGCTCTAGGAAATATGTGATGTCTCTATGGCTCTAGGAAATATGTGATGTCTCTATGGCTCTTGGAAATATGTGATGTCTCTATGGCTTTAGGAAATATGTGATGTTTCTATGGCTCTAGGAAATATGTGATGTCTCTATAGACCTAGGAAATATGTGATGTCTCTATGGCTCTAGGAAATATGTGATGTGTCTATAGACCTAGGAAATATGTGATGTCTCTATGGCTCTAGGAAATATGTGATGTCTCTATGGATCTTGGAAATATGTGATGTCTCTATGGCTCTAGGAAATATGTGATGTGTCTATAGACCTAGGAAATATGTGATGTCTCAATGGCTGTAGGAAATATGTGATGTCTCTATGGCTCTAGGAAATATGTGATGTCTCTATAGACCTAGGAAATATGTGATGTCTCTATGGCTCTTGGAAATATGTGATGTCTCTATAGACCTAGGAAATATGTGATGTCTCTATAGACCTAGGAAATATGTGATGTCTGTATAGACCTAGGAAATATGTGATGTCTCTATAGACCTAGGAAATATGTGATGTCTCTATAGACCTAGGAAATACGTGATGTCTCTATGGATCTAGGAAATATGTGATGTCTCTATGGCTCTAGGAAATATGTGATGTCTCTATAGACCTAGGAAATATGTGATGTCTCTATGGCTGTAGGAAATATGTGATGTCTCTATAGACCTAGGAAATATGTGATGTCTCTATGGCTCTAGGAAATATGTGATGTCTCTATGGCTCTAGGAAATATGTGATGTCTCTATGGATCTAGGAAATATGTGATGTCTCTATAGACCTAGGAAATATGTGATGTCTCTATGGATCTTGAAAATATGTGATGTCTCTATGGCTCTTGGAAATATGTGATGTCTCTATGGCTCTAGGAAATATGTGATGTCTCTATGGCTCTAGGAAATATGTGATGTCTCTATGGCTCTTGGAAATATGTGATGTCTCTATGGCTTTAGGAAATATGTGATGTTTCTATGGC